ATAAATTTCCCCCCCCCCCCCCCCCCCCCCCCCGCAATCATTCAGTCGTTCAGCTGTTTTTTTAATGAAAATTAAAGAGTTTTCTGTACTTTCATCGCAATTAAACTTTTTTTAAATTAGAAGAAATATGCTTTACTAGTCTATTGGCCGTAAGACATAAAGACCCTCTTCGTTCTATATCCTCATATTTGAGAAACGATTCGTCAGCAAATAGCTGCAAGCGACGGACAGAAAAAAAAATGGCTGAAGACAACGGCAATAAGATGTTTCGAAGCAGATAGTCTGATTAGATCGCTGACTTGAGGAAACTTTAGATTGAATTATTGGATTGTTCCTCACCTTCAACAAGCTTTCACTCAGTTAGCATTTCGAAAAAAGTTAATGAACTAGCTGCTGCTTTACGTTCCTGGAAAAACTTTCTTTCTCTCTCTCTATCTCTCTCTCCCTCTCTCTTTCTCTCTTTACCAATTTTTCTAATAGTTTTCAAGAAAATTATCTTAAATGGAAGAAAAGGATGAGTAAATAAACACTTAGTGACCGGAAATTTGAGAAATATTGAAATTCCTAGCTAAGTGCGTAGGCATTGCCTTTCGTTTTCGGTTAAAAAATTAAATTTTGTTAATCTTCCACTCCCGTTCTTCCTCTTTCTCTCTCTCTCTTTCTCACTCTTCCTTTGTTTCTCACTCTCTTCCTCTTACTATCTCATTCTCTATCTATCTTACTCTCTCGGTAATATTGAGATTGCAATAAGAAATTCATCAAAGCTGATATAATGGCTGACAATCCCTTCTTCCATACTTATCCGACGAAAGTTTCTTTGTTTTTCTCATGAGTAAATTGGATTTGATACCATTTTGATATTTTGCAATGTTGTCTATTCCTACTTTTCATTGATTAAAAACAAAATGAAAGTTCTGTTCAGTAACATTTATGAACTTTCTTCTCGAAAAAGGTGTTTAGAGGTCTTTATCTTCATTCTCTCCACCTCTTTCACTGTCTCTCTCTGTCTTTCTAGTCAAATGAGGAAACTAAGCGTTGTACTTAGAAAGGTATAAGCTTCCATTTTATTTTCCTCCCCCTTCCTAAGTATGAGAAGCGTATGAACTGATCTTGCCCCTTCTACGAATGATGGGATAAACTGATTCGTATACATGTCTAAATGGTATACACCATTCATATTCATATTGCAAAAGCTGTTATCATAACCAACCGTTCTGCATGTCTTAACGCTTCACGAATGAATTCGCGTGTGAATTATTAATGCTTCACGTACCCCACGTGAAGCATTAGAATATCAAATGTAATCAAAAAGAAAATAATTGTTTGAATTGGAAATTTCTAAGAAATGATTGAGACGGAAATTTGAATAAATAAAATATATTTCCTACAATTATAGAATAGTTGAGATAAGCAACAGACAAATAATTAAATATATCTCTTTGAACATTTAAAATTAACCTGCAAATTACTTTCCTCTTCTGTTTTCCTCTCTCTCTCTCTCTTCCTCCCTCTGAGTCTCTTTGCATCTCTCTGTAAGCTGCACAATCCACGTAACTTCGTCAATGATTATGTGATAGGAAGCTGGGGGGGAAACAAAAAATAAATTTTTGAAGGCTAACTTCTCTTCTTCTTTAGTTTCCAACCACTCCAACACCTACCCCGACACCCCCCTGAAGGAATTTGTTCGTTTCTTTTGCAGAATTAGCAAAATTCCACTTTCTAATTATCTGAGTATATGAAATTTTCTATTTTGTTTTCAACTCAAATCTATTTTCGGATATCGAACTGTATAACGAATGAAAAGAAGATGTGACACGAACTGCGTCATTTTGAAGCTCGTTTTTGGCATGACGACATTGGTGTTTTAAGCTCAAGTTTCATGATGCTCTCGTAGGTCAGAGCGCATGATTTGAACCGGAAAATATCATTGTTGGAAAACAATTTGGAAGCAAAAAAATGAATTTTTTTCATTCTCATTTCACATATCTTCCCACCACCCCTCGATTGAAGGAAAAATGATTTCTTCGCTTCTTCTGTTCCACATGATATTGCCACACCATACAGAGAAACAGATTGAGAGAGAGAGGGAGAGAGAGAGAGAAAGGGAAAGATTGAAAAAAAATTGAGTTTTTGAGAAGAACATGGCGGAGGAGGGCTAAGCGATGAAGCTGAGGGTAAAGTGGTCGTTCTGACAAAATGCTCCGCCTCTTTTTAACTCCTCCTCCTTAGTCGATGTCTTCTTTTTAGGATAAAAGCAATAAAAGAAAGAACATTTCACTCGTTTTTGGCTTTCTCCTCAAGTTCGTCAGTTAACCATATTAAAACGAAAAAATGCCTGATCTTGAGTATTACGTGGTATGTGCTTTTGCAATTATTTCATCTTATAATCATGATTATCAATATCCCACTCTCTCTCTCACTCTCTTCCTCTCTCCCTTAACAGTATCTCAACTAGTCTGTGTTTGGATATGAAAACAAAGCATTGTTTTTTGGGCTTTATCACATAGATTTCGAAACAGCAAAAAGACAAACAAAACAGATTGTTCAATTGATATTGATAAGAATATTCAAGAAATGCAAATATTTTCAGAAAAGCGAAGAAGTCATAGATTTCATGAGTGGTCAACCGGAAATGAGTGATTCATCTTCGTTATTAGGTTTTATCGCATCTCCACATGGGCTTGATCCAAGCTGCAGTCATGGGTACGTAATCTTTGAAGTTTTTGATGCAATTTACGTAAAGAGGCTTAAGTTAAAAGAGCAAATTCTTGTGAGTTGATGATGTACAAGTATCACGTGGATATACAGCAGTACTTTATATAAAAAGAGTAGAGAGAGAGAGAGAAAGAGAGAGAGAGAATGAGAATCTGCCAAACATGAACGTTAATCTTTGAGTTTGCAAAAGCTCATCAGCAACATCTTGTTTATGTAAATTTTTCTCTTAAAACCCTGTGAAGACCATGATATACGTGGAATAATTAATCTCCTTTTCTTTTTTTCTTCTATTCTTTTTTTTTTTAAACAACTCGTTCAAAGTATTCAAGAAACAGAAATTTAACTTCAACTATGTCATTGAGTTAGACTGAATGCAACCGCTCCCATCTGAATAAATAAATGAAATGAAGACGGAATGTTTTAAAAATTCCATCCGTGACGCTACGTGGAAAGCACGTGAGACTTTTAAAAGTTTTTATTTAAACAATCACGTTGTTCTTTTTTTTTCTTCTCTCTCCAAATCCTCATTTTCTAAACGAAGAAATGCGAGAAAAACCTTTTTTGTGACTATCTTCTCATCTAAATTACGTTATTTACGTGTTGTTAGAAAGCATGGATGAAGCTCAGAGAGTGAATTGATAGCTGCTAACTCAAAGAGAGAGAGTAACTTACAGAAAGAGAAAGAGAGAGTGTGTGCGTGTGCTGCATGTGTTCGAAGCCATCTTGATTTCAAATCAAAGAGATATTTTTATAAAAAAAAAACCCCCAAAATCTTGCATAATGTCATTCATAATTGACATTTCCATTTTACAGCTTCGATTCGGAGGATAACTCATATGAGAAAGCCATCAGCGAATGTCATCTGTTTCGTGAAAGCCCGCAGTTTGTGGAAGGAGTTTTACTGAAATGTACCGACAAAAAACGTGAGTCTTCCTATTTTTTCACTCTCTTTGTCTCTTTTTCTCTCTGTCTTACTTTTCAAACAAATTGCGTGAGTTGAAAAGCTTCTTTTCAATAGTTCGGCTTCTCCTTCCAGCTTTCGCAATTGCCATTTGAAGTAAAAAAAACAATTTTCATCTTAAAAAACAAAGAAAACTTTCTTCTATTTTTGTGTCTCTCTCTATCTCTCTCCCTCTTTCTCTCTATCTCCCTCTCTCTGTTCCTATTTTGAAAAAGAAGTTTGTTTTTTATTAATACTTCTCCTTTATGTGAACATAAAGACAAACCTTCTTGTGAATAGTTCGCAATGCATTCAAAAACCTTTTTTTCAGCTTTATTTCCATATTTGCATTTCTGTCATTTTCAATCTCAAGATCATTCACATCGCATACGGGAAATCAATGATTGCATCCGAATGTGTTCCACCAATAACACTAGCTTATACGGTATTATTAATTATTTATTAAAGGTAAACATGATTGACTTTCTTTCTCGTTTAGGAAGTTATGATGAGGTATATTCAATTCAAAAGACAGCCACAGTGTTGGAGCAGAGACTTCCCACTCATAGACATGCTGGTTATATCGTGGTTGGCTTTAAGCTGCTCGATGATGCTACTAAAGTAGGCGACTATTAATAAACTCATCGTCACATCCTTTTTTAGCAACAAAATCTCGAAAGGACCTGGCTCTCATGGTCAGGAGCTCGTGAGATCTATAAGTACTCTCCCAGAAGTTGGAACTTGAGACGCATATCCTTATTACGACATCCGACTATGTATGCAACTTATTAATTTAAGTGAATTTAGTGGATATTTTAAGGTCTCGGAACGATCCTATGAGGCCATTTATTTATGTTTTAATGTGTGAATATGGCTCTATTTTGCATCCGTCCAATACAATCCAGGTAAACAGGATATGAAGAGAAAAAAATATTTTTCCTTCACCTTTTAAGGCGATGGACATGTGTGAACGTTTACGAGTACGAAACTGTGGTCATATAGCCCTTTATCAAGTAAATTATATTTTGAAAAATAATATTTTCTCATATTTGAAAACTCTTTCAGGTTCATACTGCTTATAATTCCAGTAATACTACAGCTACAAATATTTTATCGGAAAGTACAAGTGCACTCAGTTCATCATCTTCATCTTCACCACCTCGTCGGACAACTGCAGCTCGTTTAACGTCAACATCATCTACAACAAGCCAAACATCTTCCATGAAAAGAAATCCAATGATGAGAGGATTATCGCAAGATGTTGAAACTCATAGCATCAACACTGTGGATGCTCGTCGAAATCGGTTAAGATTACGAGAGAAGAGTTTCCAGTATCCAGACGATCACTATCACACGTATCACTATTGAAAGAAGAAGGAGAACTAGAAGAAGAAGAATAAGAAGCAGAAGAAGGAGAAAAGGATTTGCAGTAAGAAAATGAAATTTTTTCTCAAGTCATTTCGAGAGATGTGTCTTTAAACACTTCCCGGAAAATCCGGTAAACGGGTTGCTCATACATCATCTTCCATTTTTGAATCTCATATTACATTGATTATCAAATAGTTGACATCATAAAACATTTGTTATTTTACAGTTTTTTTGCTTCTTAACACGGGTATTAGGATTATCAACGAGTTCCGCTTAGTTTAAAGTTCACACTTCAAACCGGAAGAAAGTTTTAGGTTTGAAAATCATTTTTCAACTTTTCAACTTTCGAATTCTCTCTTCAAAAATTAGTTTTCACATCAATTTTTCTGCTAAAATACTTAGAATTTATAGAAAATATTGCTTGTGTTACTCTTAAATGAAGAAAGTTGTCTCAATTCATTGAGATCCGTCAAATTCCATCTGGGTTGTTGAAGAAGAGACATTCATCTTCAAAATCTATTCCATTCTCTTTCTTCATTGTGCATGAGCACAAATATACTTTGAAAACTATTTAACGATGACAATCTGAGAGAAGATATACATACATATATGGATAGATGTTTCAATTGCTTGTGTCAGAAACTTGTTTATTTCAATTTCAAATAAACAAATAAGGTCATGTATTTTACTTTAAAATACAATTTCTCATCTTTTTTCAACAATCAGCCGCAGCTTGTATACGATTTTTCTTCTCAATCAGTCTGGTCACCAAATAGAATCCAACAGCTGATGCGATTTGAAGAACTGAAATAATTTTTTTTTCAAAAAGAACAAAACTTTTTTGTTTGAAAAAAAACCTGCAAGTAATATCACCCAATGATAAATATTCAAGTAAGCTGCAAGGAAAGATGCCAGGCATGTAGCCAAGGACTGCAATTTTCATGAAATTTTAAAAACCTTTTGAAAGAGAAAGAGAGAAAAAAAAAGAAGACAAAAAAAAAGAAAAAAAGAAGAAAATTACTTGGAAAAGCTTAGCAGCTGAATAGAATTGAAGACGTCGCTCTGGCAAAGCTATTGTACAAATGATTGAACGCATAGTACATGAGCTACAATCAACCATTCCATGTAAAAGGCCAACCATTAAACATATATAAGCTCTAAATATTATTATTCAATGCCCAAATTAATAAGTTATTAGAAAACAAAAAGAAGTACCTAGGATCGAACAATAATCCTGATTCGTTTGTGGGATGCATTGATGATTCAGGTGGTGTGTAAAGAATAGTCAAAACATAAAGAGCACACGCAGAGCATAACTGCACCATCATAGTTGGCATTAATCCAAAAGATGGATTACTTTTTGACATAGTGTGAATGAAGAATCCAACTGTAAGAGATGGTTAATTAGCATATTTCACGTCAATTAGCTGTGGAACTTTTAGTTCCTCCTTCATTTTCATTAAGAGGAGAGAGTAGAGCGGTTGCATTCAGTATGAAAGTAAAAACAAACTTATTATATTTCCTATTCCAATCATAACACTATAAAAAGCTACAATCATTGGATTATCAGCTAGAGTGTTGGAAAAACTGAATGTTGTTGGATAGACCAACAGCCAGAAGGCTATGTGACAACCATAGAACAAGAAGAACGGAATGAGAAGTAAGAATCGAGATTCGGAAACCGTACTTCCCAAAAGTGCTGCAAGTAACTTCAGCGTTTTTGACAGTAATGAAAAGCAACACGAACCAATTTGATTTTTTAGAGTGGAATGTTTGTTCGGATTCTGCATTGCCAACGAGTTTTTACTCGGAACTTTTGGTAAAATGAAAAATCCTATGTTGGACAAGAAGCTGACCACAAATAATATGCCGTAGATTAATAATATTTCTTGATTAGAAAAGCTTCTTGAAAAGTTTCAGTTTGAATTCCGAAAATAAATTTCTAAGAACCTATAGAGAACACCATCTTCTTTTCCCGTACTGTATGAATGGTTGAATGTTGATATGATAGCAAGAACGAGCCCTCCCATGAGCATACTGGAAGAAGCTACTACCCAGAATCACGCCAATCTAACCTGCTGTTTCCAATAGCACTCATGAGTACAGAGTTTCTTGATATAGTTAAGTTGGTTGAGTGTTCCGACACATAAGCGCCTTGACCACAATAATATACTTCAAATATTTTGTTTCAAATGCAATTATGTTATAAGCTCACATGCAAATCCAATTCCTAATAAAACTTCTGACGAATAATAAAACATAGAATTTAAAAAGAAGAACCCAGCCTCAAAAGGTCGTTTGCTCATTTGTAAAGAAGAAAGAATCTCACAAGGAAAATTGAAAACAATACAGATCCAATGAACAAAGACATTCTGGATCCAAATTTATAACAAATCCACGGTGCAAAAAGAGTGGATACTGTGTAAGCTGCATAGAGCACAGTTTGACTTCAAAATATTGTTGAAAGGGAACATGAAAAAGAAAATTCTTACCCGTAATACCCTGCATGCCCATCTATTCGATCAGGTTCTCTGCGGTGAACCGAATGTAAGACCGATTCAACGACGAAAGCTTGAGTATCATATCCTGTGAAAAGGAATAGAGTAGCGAATCCCATGATTAGGATATTCATCAATTCTCGAGCTCCATCGGAGAGATGCATGGCTTATGTTTCCCTGAGTTTGAGCACACCTGTGATTAAGAAAAAGTACAAGCTCAAAACAACAAAATGATGAAGAATCTGAGTAAAAAATGAGCCAGACGACCAACAAAGGTCTGTGCACCGAACATGAGTGCAAAAGGCACCAAGGAGTATTGTCGCCAAACTTAATTTCAATGCAAATCTTCCCTGTTTTGTAATTCAAAATTCAAAAACATTAAATTATTCACTGCCTATCACATACAAACCAAAAAATTCGAAAAACCTTTTATGGTCCTCATGATTCTACAAATACATCTATAACTTTCTAATGATGAGCGTGTTCATGATCATGACCATGACCATGCTGCTTGCGGTATTTGTAATGAAGTCTCTTTTCCTCTGGGATCACTGTATCGTATAAAACAACTCCAGCCTCAAAACAATTAGGTAAAAGAACATTTTACACAGGTAGAAGCATACCTTGACAATTCCAAGGAGAAGAGCAATTCTCCAAACAGCTTTGAAGTATTGACCGAATGGCGATTGCGAGAAATAGTCTGACTTATGATTCTGAATAGAAAAGCATTATTCTGAACAGAGTAAGCTCGACTCACGATAGCGCCGAATGCAGCATAAGCTTCCTTCTTGGCAGCTCCAAAAAGGAACTTCTTAGGCATATTGTTAACGCTGTCCCATTTGCCTTCGCTAGCGAGACGGTTAATAGCACGGAAAGCAGCTAATGAGTCTCTGCAATGATTTGAATAATAGCAATACTCACAAGTATCTTACCCAGCATGGGACGAACCATTACGAGTCACTACTCTAAGTGTTGGTACTGATGCTTTTGCAAGATTCGACATCTTGAGGCTGACCACCCTTCAATTAATTTTTTTAGTTAATAAACAAGTACAAAGACAATCAACAAAGACTTCAAAGTTACAAAGTTTTAATAATGAAGCATGGTGTACGCAGTAAGTGTGTGTTTTACAAAGCAGCCTACCGTACTCCTATTTTCAGAATTAAGCTTAGAAATCTAAAATTCATTTTTTAATGATAATGCGTAATGATTGGTTGTGTTTAGACCTCCGCTTATCATCAATAACTTAGAGAGGTTTGTTCTATTTCCAAATCTTTTGCTAAACGAAATTTTGATGACTGCAATTGTTTGAAGCTAGAGAGAATCCTCAGTAGTTCTAGCTTAGTCTCTTGCAAGCAGAAGAGATATGTTTCCTCAGGGTTTTTATTTTGTTTTTATTGATTCCATGTGATTGTAATGTCTTATCATACCACAAATGTTTGTCTTATCAATGACCCCACCAGTTCCATTCATTGTAATAAAATCTCAGTGTACCGAAAATTCAACCATGCTTACTTCTCTTTTAGAAAAATATTCTTAAAATAGAAATTTAGATGAATATGTTGCTGAACTGTACTCGATCGGCTTCTAATTCGTTGCGATTCTTCAGTTCCGCCAAGAATACTGCGTGAGTAGATTGCATATGATTGGATGTTTGTTGATTTCTGATTTCTTCAGGAAGAAGACTTGTCTGTACGATTTACATAAGAAACACAATGGAAAATTGGTTCCATTTGCAGGATATGAGATGCCTGTTCAATATCCCGACTTATCCGTCAAGGATTCTACTTTGCATACTCGTAAGCATTTGAGTATTTTTGATGTTTCTCATATGCTTCAAACTCATATTATTGGAAAAGACAGGTTCGTGTCTAACTCGATTTCTGTTTTGATATCAGAGTGTTATTTCATTTTGTTCTCAAAAAAATCGGAATTATTACAGGGAAGCTTTTATTGAGAGTTTAACCACCGCTGATGTCCAAGGCTTAGCTAGCAACAGCGGGACCTTATCAGGTTCGAGAAACAACCCTGTTCTGAATTTTTTTCTCCAGTTTTCACCAATGAGAAAGGAGGAATCAAAGATGATTTGATTGTAACGAAAACCGATCAAGACTTCATCTATATGGTCACAAACGCAGGATGCATTGAAAAGGATTTGCCATACCTTCTAGTACTACTGTAACTCACTTCGTAAACAACTGATGCTTCTTTGCAGGAAAACGCTGCTAAATGGAGATCTAACGGAAAAGATGTTCAAATCAAAACTCTTGATGACCGAGGCCTTGTTGCTGTTCAAGGTGTGTCTTCCGTTTATATATTGATTTCATAGTGTTTTTAAGGTCCCGAAGTAGCCAAGGTCTTACAAGGCGAAACAGACATTGACTTGAGCAAGTTGACTTTCATGAGAACCGCTATCGGAAAAGTCTTCGGTATTGAAAATTGCCGTGTTACCCGCTGTGGTTATACTGGTGAAGATGGTGTTGAGGTATGAAGCTTTTTTGTTTCATAAACGTTTATTAAGTTCAGATTTCTGTCGATCCCGCTCACGCTTCCACTTTGGTAGAAAGGCTTTTGGAGTCTAAGGTATTGCAGTACGGATGTTAAGATCACAACAGCAGTATTCAGAATGGAAATGTTAAACTCGCTGGTCTAGGAGCTAGAGATGCTCTTCGTTTAGAAGCTGGTTTATGTCTGTATGGAAACGATATTGACGAGGGAACTACTCCCATCGAAGCCGGTCTTGCTTTTATTGTTGGTAAATAATCTGAAACAAATAGATGATCTAATCGTATTCCTCAGCCAAACGTAGACGCGAAACCATGGATTTCCCTGGGGCTGAGAAAATTGTTGGACAATTGAAAAACAAAAGTTGGCCCAAGAGAAGAGTAGGTCTCATTTCTGACCCTGGAAGAGCTCCAAGAAGTTTGAAAAGAAACGATAAACAGGTTTTAATTTGAGTTGTTTAGCTGGTCTTCCTCTTGTTGATCCACTGGACAAAGCAGCCATCGGTTACGTCACTTCAGGATGCCCATCTCCTTGTTTAGGTAATATTGGAGAAGAAAATAATTTTTTTATTTATTTTTAAGGAAAAAATATTGCTATTGCCTATGTTGATAAGCCATATTCCAAAGAAGGAACTCAATTCATCGTTGATTTCGGAGCAAAACAATCCAAGGTTACGGTGACGAAGATGCCTTTCGTGAAAACTAATTACTACACAGGGAAGTAGATCTAGAAACTTTAAAGCTCAAATCAAAAACTTAATCACTTTGCTCATTTTCTGCTCAGATTTTTATTTGTTACCAAATTGTTCTGTTTATCTGTGATATAGTTTATAATAAGTTAAAGATTGATCATAAGCAATGATGTTCATGTCAGTTTCTCAAATGAATGGTCTTTCCTCCAAATATGGATAATGATAATGATGCTCACGAGGAACGTAGCGGGAACCATATTGTCTTGGGATTGGTCCAAAAGCGAATGGGAAATTCGGAAAATGTTGGGCCAAAATCATTTTTGATTCCTCCCTCAAGAAAGAAGACATAGCATCAGTTAGTTCCTGAATATGAAAGTTTGAGAAAGATCACATGAAAACACTTACCCTTGTGCGTTCCGCCGCTTCTTCCCGGTTCTCAATGGGTTGATCGTCTGTCCACTCATGTCTTCGGTACATCTTATTGTATTGATAACTATGGAGAGGCTCCATCTCTTCTCTGGACACATAGGGCATCTGCAATTTTTAGGTTTCTCAACTTCTTTCAACTATTCGAACTTTGTTCGCAAATTTTACAGGAGACTTACGAACATCGTGAAGTTCTCGAGGATAAACAATTCCTTCTTTCGATTGGCCATTCAAATTGTCTGGAATGAACGACAATTAAAATAAAATTCAAAGAGAGTGCGTATCACCATATTTCCAATGAACAATTGGCTCTTTTCCTTTAATTGGATCGTATTCATACCTGTACTCAATGGTATGTCCGAAAGCTTTCGGTCTTTCAATTGCTGAATATAATGAGTGGTAATTAGAATATTGCCGAAACAAACAAACGCTACGTGTAATTGACGGAAAAATTCAAATTTCATTTTCAATTTTCAGCAAACGCAAAACGGTTGTGCTAACTTTTGATTACTTCTTGATACAACGCCGTCTGTTACAGAACTGGAAAGTACCTTACCTCTGATTGATGCCAAAGAACATATAAATAATACTAACAGATGGACTTTGGTTAGCCACATAGCCCGACGCGAAGTAGCGTTTTTCTTAGTTTCAATTCACTCTTTTATATATCAACGATATGGGTCAGAATAATGACGGTCCATTACTCTATGAAAAAAGAGTGGTGAATTGATGAAACATACGAAATGAAAATAGTAAAGATATAGCTGAAAAGCATGAAAAAGACCATAAATCCTGATGGTCATCATCGAGTTATACTTTCATTACATACAGACAGAACCAGCTTCATATCTCCTCTCTCCAATGAACATTTTTTAAGCTAAAAGTTCCAAACAAATCCAATGAAACAAGGTTGAGCTTTGTGAAGAGAATGGTTTTATTCATTTGTAACAAGCTTATTTAAATAATTTAAACAGAGAAATTGTTTTATTTTGCTTTAGTCGACGTCTTCGCGTCTTCTACATGACTTTGATTTTCTCGTTTGAAACTGTTGAGTTGGATTGAAGGGGCTCAGCCGTTGGCAATACGAGTTTGGTTGAGTTTGTTGTTGATTCCATGGGTTGTGGATCATCGTATTTGAGCTCTTCCTCAGACTTTTCTTCCGCATTGGCAGATATATTTCCATTCCCCAAACGTTGGCCATAGTTTGAATAACCATCCTTTGGCCCCAAATTCTATAAAATTATAATTTAAAAGAACATCATTTGAACATCCAGTTTTGTTGTTACTTTCAGATTTTAACAACTGGCAATTATATATATGAAGAAAGCTTGTTTCAGCACATTCTTTTTTCATCAATTAAAAATAAATAAATGGTTATTAACATACTTTTGCAGATGAGATATCCTCCTTTCGATTTTTCGTATTGGCTCCATCATTTCTGCGTCGTGTATCGGACTGAGAAAGTAATTTTAAAGCGTAGAATTTGAGATGAAAAAACATAGTTCACAATATGTTTTAGCTGCGAAGTACCTCGAATCGTTGTGGCTTGATATTTTGAAATCCAGATTTGGGAAGCTCATCGAAGTCATGGGACTAAAAATAAAGGATGCAAAAGGATTCTCTGATTACTTTCTTGTATTTCTTCTGTTTCAAAACATCAGAAGCCAACTTACAGCAGAAACCTTTGTAGATTCCTTTTCTTTTTTTGGAGATTTCTTCTCAAAATCGGATTCCTTAATCATATTTACTTTATGCTGATGTTGCTATGACACACTCACGTCATTGAAGTTTTCGAAATCGAATGGTTCGAATCTTGGTGGAGGGAAAAACTGAAAAAGTTTGGATTACTCCACGCAAACAAAATGTGGGAAGAGATTACTCTATGACGGGGATGGTAGTCTTCACGTTCATTCCTATGGCTTTTTCCTTGAAAGCGAGGTTTGACCTGGAGACATTGCAAGATGAAGAGTCAAAATATAAGAAAAAATCACTTGTTTGGGTAATTGCTCCTCTTCATCTCTCTCGTAGGATTCATTGCTATCCTCTTGAAATGGTCGATACTCTCGATAACCCCATGGTTGTCTTCTAAATTATGAATTATCTCCATTTTTGATTGAAAAGTAGAAAACCTTTTGTGTTGTCGACTCTCTTCCGGGTAACGCTCGTTCAGGAAAGGGACACGGAACTCTAAAAATTAATTTTTCCGTTTCAAAATGGTCTGAACCAAGAATACCTTTTGGAATTCGGGGTATATGCTCTTGACGGTTTCTCTTCATGTAGGGATATGGACGATGATGACGTTCTACCGGAACATATTCTCTTTCCTCATCCTCAGAATCTTCTTCCTCTGCATTCGATTTTCTTCCTCTTTTGGGATAGGGATTTCCTAACTCAAAAGTAGGTTTTTCTAAACGTTGATTGGGATAGGAATGGAAATGACGTCTTCCACTAGGATTGAAATCCTCTTCTTCTCCATCGCTTTCACGTGAACGCGGATGTGGACGACGAGTAGGAGCAGAATGGTCATCAGATTCTTTAGAACTGTCATCAGCCATTCGTCGTTCACTTTCTGGATAAATTCCGGCCACCATGTGCATGTCAACTCCCACAATCTTAGCTTTACCATTGTGAGGCATGTTGCTATCCCCAGAATGCTCGGATCCACGTCCAACCGGTCTGGAAGAATCGATTTCTGGCTCCGGGTAGCCGGTTGGACGTTGATGAAAATCCATCTCCTCTTGGTTATCATCCTCCTCCTCTCCGACATCATAATCAGAGTGGGTTGGTCTCTCTTCGTACTCATTGAGGTGATGACGGAAAGGTGTCCGACTGCTGTACTTGGGCAACACATCAGAACGATACTCATCTGTAAAGGACATGTTTCAAGTGTATCAAAATGTTATATTAAAATTATACACATGAAATAAGAAACTACCTAAATTTTGAGCAAAGGTGCTCAAGAGAGAGCATCCCAGAATCACGAAGAGCATAGCAATGGAAGATTTCATGCTTTTCCACAGATCTGCTGATGCCTTCAGAAGATTTGAGGATTCTTATGTAGTCCTTGAACCGGAGAATCAACATCGTTTGCTATCATAATGACAATCTTATAGCCAATGTAAACTTTTTATTTTTTGATTTCAGCATAAAAATCTGGTCTAATACCACATTATAATGTGCATAATGCGGATAAGATATATGATATAGTAAGCATATTATCTCTGTCTAAATACAAACTGAACAGTGTTCAGTTGATTGTCGTTTTCTGTATTCCTCACTCTATGTGTTACAAACTGTTGTAAACGCTTTATTTGCATTAATGACTTTCGTCTCACATTTTTTCAAACCAAATATTGAGTGTTTACGTGTTTTCAGCCAATTGATAGAAAGAATTTTAAGAAAAAAAAACTTGTTGTTCATGAGTTTAAGAAGTATGTTTGATAGTAGCAACTCATCTAGCATGCTGATGCGATACACGTGAACTTCCATAAGTGACGTATAGTGTCGTCTTCATCTTCCGAATGTTATCATTGGAGTGGACAGACGAGACACAAACATAGATGTTGATTGTATGCATTTGTTTATGAGAAACAACAACAGAAGGAGAGAAAAAAAATGTTTTTATTGAGAAAACTCGCAGTGATTGAGCATAAGTTATCATTTTCGTAGATAAGAAGTGAAAATGCAAATGAACACCAGCATAACAAATAGAAACAAAGAATGATATAGTGTAAGGAATGAATGTACAATAGGTGTAACAAATAAATAAAAATCTTCATATATTTCTATGTACAAGGGATGGATAAGGATTGGAAAAGGAAAAGAGGATGGGGGGGGGGGGGGATTAGGAGAAGGTGGGGGTGGATGGGAGTGTGTGTAGGGAGAAGGGGAGAAGCTAGATTTCCCTGATAAACTGATTTGCTTCGGAATTATTGTGTGGAATAAGTTCTATCTAACCCATAATTAACTATGTGGATAATTAGAATATTATTATGCTTTACGAAGACTATCAATATTGATCATATTCTATCATCGAATGACGTTCTTCATTAGCAAAAGCTTCAGAAACACCGCTTGACGTAATCTATTTTTTTTTGTCTTAAAATACTATAAATATAATATATTTTGTCCATATATTATATTAATTATTCCATTGATCTGTGTTAGCATTCTTCTTCGACTCGTGTCGCTTGCTCTAAGCAGTTCCGTGAGTGAGCTGCTCGAACAATCAGTACGATTGACAGTAATATACAAATACAGACTGTAAATGATTTTTCTTTAATCTAACAAGTTTGATTAACGGATTTCTTACCTGCCATCACGAGAATGTAAAGTTTCGTAAAAACGAATATGTAGAGAAGTAAAAAGACAATGGACATTAAGAGAAATGCTATTGACGTTGATAAGTAGATTTGGCATTGTTGTTTCGTCTGCAATGACAACTATCATTTCTATCATAAAATTCATTTTTCGTTTTAAAAAATTTAAAATTTTTTTATCATCCTTGTTACAAACAGCAGATTGACACTTTGAGTAACTGCCGAGATGAGAAGCTAAGCTTTCATTCGGCAAAAGTCAACAAAAAAAAAAGAGAAAATTTTATAGGAAAATAAAGAAGGCATAAATGATTTCTTATTAATCTTGTAAACTCACATAACGACCAACTGATACTGTATTATAACAAAATGGACATAAGACGACTCCATTCAAACGATGAAACTGAAAAAGATTCAAATATATAATTATGAATGAAGGAGGATAGAGAGATGGAGAGGGATGATGAGAGTGAGTTGGAAAAGAAGCAACCGTGTCATGTATTTGAAAAACTCAAAATGGAATGCGGTTATTGACGTGTGAAAATGAATTAGCCTACATCATATCTCTCAGCTCATATCAGGATTTATTTTTATTTTACATCCCATACATATGTAATTTAATTTTGAAATAATATACTTACCAAAAACTGCTCATTGCAATGCGGACACATATACCTTGGAGCACATACATCTCGAGGATATTTCACTTTTGATAGATTTGGCCCTTAATCATGTAATATATGATAATGTAATTAGTATATCTATCTATACCAGCTGGATATGGTGGTAATGGCTCTAATGGAAATGCCTGACCGGGTGGACAATTCAGATGTGCCTTTTCCGTATACGGCGGTGGAGGAGAAGTATTTCCTTTAACAATCATGACTTTCTCGTCTGAAAATAATACAAAGAAATAAGAAGAAGAAAACACATTGTTTGGAAGACCAAAAAACGATTTAACAGCTCTTTGTACTTTCATGGAAGTTCACTTAATTGCTAACAGCTAATCGATATTCAGAAATGGACAAGGGGGGGGGACAAAAAAAGGAAAAACGAAAACTCATTCTTATTTTACCAACAAAAAAAGAAAATAAGACGAGAATGAGAGGGAGAGAAAGAGATATGCATAGAGGGAGGGAGATGGACACACAGAGAGAGATGAGGGTATGGGGGGTAGAAGGAGGAAGAGCGTGCAAATGATGTGTTTTGTGTTTATAAAATTAAGATTTTTGTTTATAAAGCAAGAAGTCACAGATGTCATGGAAAACGAAAATATCGGCCGAAAGTCTTCATGATTGTCAGCGAAATAAGCTTTGTTAAAGACAAAAACTTTTTTTTTGCTTCTTAGTTTTAACAAAAAGAAAAAGAAAAAAAAAAGAAAAAAGTTTTGGCACAGCCCATGGTCTGCGTGGATTAAATGTTCTTCGTCAAATAGAATAATGTTGATTTAATGAATACAATAATAGAATTTGAGGTCAGACAAAAGGTTAATTGGCGTTTTGCTAGACGGCTAGATGTTGATCGTGATGGAATGCGAGTTACAGCTTTATGCAGAAGCATTTCCAGCATTTCACTCACCAACACACACACACACACATACACATGTACACATGTACACATGTACATGCTAGAATTAGAATAGATGAACTGAGCAAATGAGAACGATTGAGATGACATCTTGTAATTTCCGATATCAAACATATAATTCAGATTATGAGTTCAACGGCAAGTTCAAAGACGATGGGATGAATGATGAGCAAAGTTGAAAAAAGAAGTTATTTATAGAAGAAATTTGTTTAAAAGCTTTTGATTCGTTATATTCTTAAAATTATATAAAAATCAATCAATAATTACATAAAAATGTCAACAAAGAAAAGAAATTTCCGTTCTCTCTCTCTCTCTGTACGTGTACGTGTGTGTGTGTGTTGGTTGGGTTGGGATGAGTCGGGTTGGGGTCGAAGAAAATTTGTTTTTGAAAGGTCAATTAAACGAATGAAAAAAGCTGATAATTAATTATGCAAGTTTGTAAGAGATGAAAGGAAATTAGAAGAGGATGAGGATGTGTGGCGAGACTGAAGATGCTTGACGTCAATGATGATGAAGATGATTCATGTTCTACTTCGTATAGATGACGTCAAGATGGAAGAAAACTAGTGTTCAGATAGTTCGAACACGATAAAGACTATGAAAACAGGAGGAAAAAGACAAGAAACACGTCGAATAATCAGTTGAAGCTAAAAAAAAGTGTTTGAATGAGAAAAAAATCTTGACAACCAAAAATCCGAAAAATCAAGAAGCAGAGTAAGAGTAGAAGGAGATGACTAAGATGAAGAAGAAGAAGAAGAAGAAGAGGACGACGGCAAAAAATAGAAATATCGTCTTGTAATATTTATTGAAAAATGTGTTTTTCAACACTTTCCATGTCATTGTTCTTTCACATTTTTGAGTAATTTGTTTGACAAATATGAAAAGGGAGAAGTCTGAAAGATTGCGTTCTTCTATTAAAGATGGAATTCGAACATATTCCAAGTCTAACACACAAAAGAAAATGAAAAGCAATGTGTTTGAGCTTGGTAATATGAAGCCAGAAAATGCTCGAATTTCATGACCAAATCAGTATTTTGTAATAAAAAAAAAGGAAGAAGAAGAGAGGAAGAAGAAGAAGAAGATGCAAAAAGATGATGAAAATATAATGGTCTCTCATCAAGTTATGATTGTCTGACTATCATGCAACGGACGGAGCAGCTAAAAGGAAGATGATGAAGCTGAACGAATGTTAAGGAGATGAGAAAACTGAAGGAAATATGAAAGGCAGAAAAATAAATATTATTGAGGACAGATCGTCGGTATTTCCGTTAAACGTCTATGATTTCAGATGTTTTGTGTGTGTGAGTGAGTGTGTGTGCCTTCTTAAAGATGTACATCGATGGGCTAGCTAGCTTAAAGCCTTTTTTGTCTGATAAGAAACTGATGGAATAGCAAAAACAAACGATGGAGGGGCACGATGCTAGACAGAGAGAGAGAAAGAGCTGCGAAAAATATTTCCAAATATAGACAAAAAAAAGCCAGGAAAAATAGAATATTCCAAAGCTAATGTGGTCAGCAGTTCGAAGATAAATATGTTTGTTTCTCTTCCATCGGCAACTTTACTTGGAAATTGAATTTTGAGACGAAAGCTAGACGGATTTTTGGCAACCTCATGACCAGAAATGGAAAGTTCAAAACGATAATCGAAGGTATTGTTATGAGGAAAAAAGAGAAAATGGGAAAAATATATGTAAAAAAGAAAAAAAATAGGGAAAACGCGAGAAAAATACGGAGAGAGAGAGAGGGAGAGACAGAGAGAGCAAGGTGACGAGAGAGAGAGAAAGTGAAATTGAAGATATGAAGAACTTAAAGGTAACAAGGAGAAGAGTTTGAGGGAGAGGCAGAAGTAAAAAAAACTGGCTTTGACGTGTAAAACAGTAGAAAATCTCGAAAGTAATGAATGACAGGCCTCCTCCCTCTCCAATTTGTTTCAAAGTGGAAAGTTCGCAAAGTTATATTGAGTTGATCAACTATGCAAACCATTTTTCAAAAGGGATTGAAAATATTAAAACTTTTCAGATAATTTCTGGTCGATTATGCCTTTACAAACAACAAATGGAAAAAAGGGGAATCTGTGACCTACGAGAGAGAAAAAATCTGACCGGAACCGGAACGGAACGGAACGTTTAGTGTGTGTGTGTGTGTGTGTGTGTGTGTGCTGGAGCAGCACATGACAGCTCTAGACGGGTTTGCTCCTGGTGATGCTTCTCGTGCTTCTTAGCCATCCGCCTTTCTTCCGTCTGATTTTAGGCTTTTCTCTTCTCACTCTTTTACTTTTGGCCTTTCCTTTTTTTTGTGCCAAAATGACAAGAAAATAGCTAAAGCTTAGAGAATTCTCTCTCTCTCTCTTTCATTTCTCTTCAAAATTTCATACGTATTTGCCATCTTTGAATGAGTTGAAGCACAAGCAAATCTTAATCGGTATGGAGAGGATGGGCAATGCCAATATATCAGATGAAAAGCTTTGAATATATGAAGCCATACATTCTCCATTCTCACATTTCATCAAGCTAATGTTCAAGCTTAACATAGTAAGAAACAAAAATGCGAAGATTACGAATGCGAAACTTTCATTCAAAAATTTTGCAAAATGAATAGAAATAGATCTGGAAAGACAACCGCTCATCAAGTCTGCACAATGGTAATGATGATTCTTGAGCTTACACGTGAACAAAACGTGGATGTAAGCGTGCCACGTTGAAATATGCATATGAGGCATTAAATGATGAAAACAATAAAACTTAAATGAAATTTGAATTAAATTCAAAAAAAAATAAAAGAAAAAAAGAAATCCAGAATGACATCCATCGGACATCTAAATATGAGTGAAAAGCTGTCATGTCGTTATTTGGAGCAAAAAGAAAAACAGCAGGCTGTCAAAAAAGATCCAACTAAGCAAAAACTTTGTAAGTTTTTTGAACGAAATCAGTCAAGTGATGAAACTAATACGTTTGTTAAGGGAAAATAGAGAAGCTACGGAACGAAAAACTATTTTATGATTGAATGCGTCGCTTGAAATGGACATTAAAAAGGAGAATCGAGATGGCGAGCAAGGTATAGAGGGATAGAGAGAGATGGAAAGAGAGAAAGAGAAGAAGAAGAAGCAGAGAGAGGGAAAGAGAGAGAGTTGAAAGAATCAACGGAAGAAGGGAGTGAAAGATAAAGAGAGTGGAATTAGAGAACCTTTCTTTGAAATAAAAAAAAAATTCAAATATAAATTTCATAATAAAATCGTTTAATTCAATTTTTTAGGCGATTGAGAACAAAAATTTCGTTTAAAAATAGAGTAAATTTGTTTAATTTTATTAAAAAAAGGGGAAGAAATCGTATGTCATTTGGCATTTTCTAATGAAATTGTGGATATTCCAAAGAGAGAGAGAGAGATAGAGAGAGATAGAGAGAGAGAGAGAGAGAGCTGGGGGAGGAAGAGGTTGTAAGGATGAAGAAGAGAGAAAGAGCAAGACCAACACTTTAAAGGAGAATAATTTGCCTTAAGGCAATGAGATAAAAATAGAAAACTCACCATATTGCTTGGAAGGAAGATCAATCATATCTGTTTTCCTGGCCTCTGTTACCTTATTATATCTGAAATTGTTTTTTGTATTTAGCTTACCAAAACGAACAATATGAAATGAAAAGACATATTGTGTTGCATCGTACATCATTTAGGAAAACACCTTTTTGATAAAGTTCAAATTGAAAAGTACTATAGATTGGAATGTCTACTACAGAATCGGCTTAAATGGTTTGTTGACCAATTAAGGAAAAGAAAAGAAACCGTTCAAGGTCGTCATTCCAAGCATTTTGAAATAAAAAAGTAAATTTAACTAAAATATTGAAGAATAAATACAGGAAAATGGAAATTGAAAGAATAAAACAGAATTTTTTGATCATCCGAATACGGGAGATGAATGGGAGTTGAAGAACAGATAATGTGAAGATCGGTTAGAGATTGCAATAGAAAATGGAGGCGACACGGTGATAGAACTGTCTGCAAGAGGAAAGATTCGGAAGCCGATTCGCCCAAGTACTGTTAGAAGTATGATGAGAGATGAGAGAATTAAATGGAAAATTAAAGAGAAAGAGAGAGCGACTCGTTTTTTTCTTGCTTCACCGCTAACCCTCATTCGAGGTCAAATGATTCCGAATGACCTTATCAGTCATCTGGACGACGGTCAAACGGCTAGTCATCTTTTAGTGGCGCCTTAGGCGACGATTACTTCAAAGGAAATAATCCAAAAACAAATTTTCCAGTACATTTACCTGTCAGATAACAGAAAGATTTATTGAAATACGAGGAAAGTCAGAGGAGAATTGAATGGTTTGAGGTCGTCCTATTGAAATCTCAAAAGAGAGACGTTCAGTTAAAAAAGAAATATTGTTGAGAAGGGAAAGCGGATGAAGAAAAACGAAAAACTTCAAAACGGTTGACTGTCTGGTTGCGTCATGAGGAATTCATTTGTAAGCTATTTTGATTTCAAGCTGATAACAATCCTTTTTCGTCTTTTATCAGCGGTTTTTTGATGAAAAAATTTCTTAAAATAAATATTTTTAACTCGAAAATAGTTTATTTTTGAAGTTGTGGGTGTAATAATTAGAAAATTCTAATAAATTGGAACAAGTTGATTTCAAAACAGCCAAAGGAGTACCTTTTCTTCGTTGGACGAGTCCAGTTTCAACCTTGGAACAGTGATGAATCAGATTGAAAAGTAATTTCTCTTTGGTTTCTGGGTTCTTAAAACTGAACGACTCACAGTCGTCGTATCAATCGAGTTACAGGAAGAATGAATGTAAAAGAGCTTGTTACAGTCATTGTCAAAGGAGTACTGTAAGCTATACAGTTACCCAATTAGCAAGTTACCGTACATACATGAACTGTTTAAACCTAATTAATACGTAATGAAAAGTTACGAAATATGAATAATTATAGAATATCTTGAAGAATTTGGTCAAATGAAATCAGAAGAATTCGTCTGTGCTGACATAAGTCGTCTGAAATCTGGTTTTCATTACTCTTGTTAAGAGAGATAGAGGGAATGAAAGAGAGAGAGGGAAGAAGGAAGAGAGGGTAAGAGAGAAAGAAAGAAGAAGAGGAGGAGAGAGGAAACTTGGGTTCCAGTACAGAAACGAGAAAACAACTGAAATATTTTGAAAATTTGAAAAACGGAGAAAATGCCTTAAAGCGAAGATTTTTGAACACAAAATGATATATTTCGGAAAAGGGCAAATGACGGTTGAATGGATTGAAAATGAAAAAAACAACAAAAGAGAAGAACGACAGGGTAAGAGTTTGAGAATAGTTAAGTATGCTATATATATAATATAATATATAAGAAAACATCATATACAAGGTTATTTATGAAGAGAGACAAGTTATATCAAACGAACTAACTAGAAGATGATAGTCATACTCATACAGATCGATCATTATCATGCAATCATTCTTAAACTATTTAGTGAAAACATTTATTTTACACACACACACCCACACCCACAGTTCATATTCATTCATTTTCTTATTTTTTTTTCGCATCTTTAGAATTTTCCTTATCAGGAGTACAAGATGACGAATATGAAAGAGAAGATGATGGAAAAAAACTTTTTTTTGACAATATTCGGGAAAAACGAAAAGATACCGTAGCTGGAAATTATCGGCCCCAAATAAAGCAAAAGCTGGTTGTTGTTTTTGATAATTTCATTGATTAGATTGCGGGTTTTGGGAGAAGAAAAGAAATAAAATTTTTACAAAACATCTTCAGATCAGCCAATTAAGCAGAAGAATAATGAATGTTGATTGAACCATCAAAGTTTTATGGAAAAAAAAAATGACGAAAAGCGAGAATATTCACTGTTACAGTCCGGTCATTGAGTAGAGAGAAGACATAACAACAACCGTTCTTCACACATCTCTCGTTGTAAATGTACGATTTTGCGTGATATACGTGGAATTTACATACAATTCGTGTAATCTATGAGATTGTATAAGAGGAAGGGAAGGAGGATATAAACGGATGAAAGATATCGTCTTATCAAACTTTACAAGACGAAGAAGATAAGAAGATGAAGGAAAGTGTGATTTGTGACATCCATGGAAACGAAAAAAAATTTTTGGAGAGACTGGTTGATGTTCTATGATGAAGACGTGAAGAAGTTTATGACGCCAAAAGAAGAAGGAGAAGAAGATGATGATGATGATGACGGCAATGAGATGTTCGTGAGTCTTTTCTTTTCTTCTTTCCTTCAGTTGGATAACAAGAGAAGAAGCTGAAGTTGAACAAAGTGGGAAAAGATGTCGCGACAATGACGAACAAAAAAAGAGGAGATTTTTTGGTTGCCTCCATGTACTCGATAGAACAAGAAATAACAACTGATCTCGGCTAAGATACTGTGTGATCTCTTATGAATGTTCTCCTCAAATAACTTGTAAAGTGTATGCTTCTGCATCTTCGCCTTCTGCTTCTTCTTTTTTTTTTCTTCTGCAGATAAGGCTGAACAAGCTTGTTTATGGAAAAGATATGAAGTTATGCAGGCATTAAAACCAAAATTCAGATGACATCTGGCTTGTTCAAGTGTCATTTGGCACATAAGAGACACAATCAGTAAGGTTTAGCAAATTGGAATATTTCAAACGGCGAAGCGCTTCTGCTTTATCAAAGCTGAAGTCGAGAGGAGATACACACAGACACGCACTCGCACACACATACACACAAGTAACTTTCTCGATATTTTTCTTGACTTTTGTCTTTTATTAAAGCAAAAAAAAAAATGACGACAATTCTTATGATTCATCCATTCTCTTTATTCGTCAGAAACGGCTATCGCCAAGTTTGACGCCTTCGTCGTCATCTTCTCCCCTTCAGCCTCCATCCCCAAGAACCGGATTCGAACAACAAAACCGAACATGCTGTTGCCCTCCACAATTACATGCCAACGAAGGAATTTGTTCATCTGGCAGACGTCAAAAGCTGCCAAACTTGGATAAATCAGGATTTAGAGGCATCTTGTTTTAAGGACATCCACATTCTTCGGTAGTTATGGAAAGTCAAAGCTCAGAGGAGAAGTCATTTATCTTTGAACAAATGAGATGGTGGGGGTGTTGGGATAGTGGTGGGGGCTGGAGAACCGTTTGTTTTTCTAATCTCAGATCTCTCTGCAATCATCAAAAGATGTTTTTAATCTTTATGAAATCAAATTCAAATAAATCAGTTCATAACTTGTTCTCTATTCCTTCTTCACACACATACACACGCAATCTTTTTAAAACAAAAATTGTCGTAAAAAAAGAGCGACGAAGATGTTGCTGACGAGCAATCGAGATGTTGCGTAGGCCATGAACAACCGCTCATCAAATGGTGTTCACATTCAAAAATGAATTGTACAGGTAATGGGCGAATCACTTAATTGAATATGCAAATAATTGAAATGTAAGCGGACACATCAAGCATTACAATGAAACTTTGACGATTGAAAGAAGGAAGTTTTAAGTTTTCCAGTTTGTTTAGTGAATGTTCAATGATTCGTTCATTCAATTCCCTACTATGGTTAGAAATTCCTAAAGTTTTGTGATGAAGCTGAACGAAATTAAAAGAAGTTTTGGGTTTGACAGCAAAGACAGAACTTGAAACATTGGAAAATGACGATGAAGAAGTAGAAGAAGTAACACAACAAGTACGTTTGTGATTTTTATTTTGAAACCGTTACATACCAACAACACAAACATGATATTTGGAATTTCTCAAAGAATTTAAAATTAAAATGAACACGGTCATATAGAGAATCAATAGATAAATACGAAATTGGAAGACAGATGTAAAAGGAATGAAAAGAAGATATAAGGGAGATTCCATAGAAAGATAACTATCCCCATCAACCTACAATCCCCTCTTTCTCTATCTCTCTCTCTCTTCCTTATATCTTCTTTCTCATTCTCTCTCTCTCCCTCCTCACCATACCTTCCTGTTCTTGAAAGTCGAGAATTGTCATTTTAATGAGATCAAATGGAAGAAACTTCATCTCCTAACCCAAAAAATTCAAACAAATCAGATTTTCAACTGGAGTTGCTGCACTTTCGCCAATGATGATTACCCAATCACCGTTATCATTGCATATCAGACGTATATCGCGTAATTGGAATAACTTAAAAGATATATATGTATATGGTATTGGATATCAAACTGTGGATTTACATTCTCTGTCCACGTCAGAAAGCCCCATTCCTGCCCTCCGAAGTTAAATCCGATCTGATTATATCCTTCACAGTTTGCAACTATCTGAAACGCAGTATAGAGATGAGATAACATAAGATGTCCGAAAAAACCTCTAAACATCCGGCGGTGGTGTGAACGATCTCAAAGCTAGTTGATGCATCCTTGATCTCACACATTCTCCCTTCCGGACAGTCTGTGGTTACCAAACTTGCTGGATCACATGTCTCACATTCTCAAAAAATAATTATCGTGTTTCAATTATTTCCGATTATCTTCCGGATTATGTCGACAGACATGATCCCTCTCTTCCAATCTAATATCAAAGCTGTTCCCTTATTAGATTGCTCAAGTTCAGCAGAACGAAAGTTGAAAGAGTCCAAGATATGTGAAAAACAATAATCTTAAAGGAATTTCTTAGTTCGAAAGCTGTTCTTGAGAGAACAAAAAACTATTCGCTCAACACTTCTCTCTCCCACGAGACAAACCATCCCTAAGCAGAACATTACCTTCAGGAGGGCTATCATCAATCTAAAAACGAAAACAAAAAAATATTTTTCTTCTCAAAATCAAGTTGAACTAACCGTTCGAAGACAAGCTGCAGTTAGCGAAACAAAACAAAGGAAGGAAGCAAATTTCATTTCTGCAAATCATGTGGTCAGATGTCCTTTTATAGGATTATCCCTCAAACTTTTTATGTTATGAATGTTCTAGCAAGGGAAATCGTAATCATCTTTTCCATTTCTTAATGACATGCTCCCAATCACAAACTTCCTTCCTCGAACTTTGATTGCAAAGTCTTCCGACATGTTTTTGTAAGCAATTATTCCTTTTTTGGTTAACACAAAATTACCTTTATTCATTTATATAATTAACCTCATTCATACTTTATGCGTTATTACAAGTTTTTCCATCCAGTCTTCCTCTCTCTCTATCCCTCACATTCTTGTTCTCTTCCCTTTCAATCCCCTCCCTCACTCCTTTCTCTTTAACAAACAAATAATATCGGAATGCTGTTACCTTATGCAAATTATTTTTTTTCCTTAAGAAATCACTTCCTTTCACATGAAAAGTCACGTGGAAGATCATGTGAACAATCACGTGGGAAGATTTTCATTTTTCCATTGAAAACAATAAATGATCGGTTGTACATTTTCATTCAATTAAATGGATTATTAAAAATATAATATATCAGACAGTATTCTACAAAAAAAAATTTCGGAAATGAACGGGAAAATGGCAATGCGACGATGAGAGAGAGCTTAGAGAAGCTTGATTTGTTCCATTAACTCATCAAGAAATACGGTTATCTTATCCATTGAGGCTGGACAGTATTGTCGTTGAAGTTGTTCCTAGAAAATGAAAGAGAAATGTATGAGTGGTACGAAATCTTGAGAACATACAAATACAAACTTTCTTTTGTCATGAATAGACGGCATGTCGAGTAATGTATCCAAATCTATCTCAACTCCCTTAAAAAAAATTTTTCGTTGTTAGAAATTTTCAAATTTGACATCTTTCTTACGTTATCATCTTTACCATTGAATAATTTGCATATTTGCTCTTCAATCCAATTTTCTGCCTGAAATGATGAGACAATTGAATGTCAGAAACGAATGAATGAGGAATAATGATATTACCTGCATCCTCTTACGAATGACCATCATCTGCTGTTTTCCATATTTCATAGTCAAAACTCGATTTCTTTCTATCTGTAAACGAATTTTATTTGTTTTTTTTGTGTATTCTTCATTTGAATCTCACACGACGAGTATTCGAATCTGATGCGAATCGAGGATGTTTCACTTCTTCTGTCACGTTTGAACTTTTCAACATTTTTCTGAAACAACCGAGTTTAAGATGTTGGTAGACAAGCACCATTGGAAGAGAAGAGAGAGAAAGAGAGATACAAGAGAGTGAGAGAGGGAATAGGTAAAAGATAAAGAGGGAATTTAACAAAACTGAAGAAAGATGAAGAGATGCAAGAGTGTAAAACAGGTAATTGATTCTCTTTTAATGGGAACAATCCCACACACAAAGAAATCGCATTTGAATGCCGCAAAAAAGGGAATAAAAGAATAAAAAAGTTGTTTTCTAAGATAAACTCGAAGTAAATAAAGTCAAAATGGTTATTAAAAGTTTTATGAGTATTTGAACACTCCCCACAGGTATGAAGACGACGAACAAACAAATAAAATCTTCTTCTGCGGATTCTGAAGAAGATGACAAACGATGAGACTTTTGTATTTTCAAAAATTGAGAGATTGTCGTGTGAATGAAATATCCAAGGAAAACAAAAGAGAAATGAAAAATAAAAGAAATAATATTCTGAATAAAACAATAAATGAAACGTGAATTTACATGTGATTGGTGTGGGAAGGAGAGCTTCGACCACTGCGAAAAGGGCTTAAGCCATCAAGTAGATCGAAGGGATAGAAAGAGAGAAGGGAGTAAGATAAGCAGGTAGCGATGAGACCCGGAAGAGGAGTCAACAGCTTTTTTCTTGTAATGATCAGACAGTAGATATGATTCTAAATTATCTGTTGGCTGGTATGGTGGGTGGATAAGATGACGCCAAAGCTCTCGAAATGACGAAGTCATCTACTAGCAGCTGAGACACAAAGATGTTTTACGCTAAATTTCTTTTATTTAGTTAAGCAAAATAAGTTGCCAAATGGAAATTTAGTGGAAAAAGAGAAATAGATTGGATAAGAGGGAGGAAAAACTGAATCAAAAAGAATGGAAGAAAGCGAAGGAGGGAGAAATGATCAAGGGAGGCAATGACACGAAGAGAAAGAGAGAAAATGATAGAGAAAGGACTAGCAGGAGAAAGAGGGCAAGGTTCTTGTGAAATAAAGATGAGCTCTTTATGAAGTATGGGAGGAGAAGCAATTCACAATAAGACAACGATAGGAAATGAAAACAAGACAAACAGAGGAAATACAGCCGCCGGACAAGCAATTGTATGGAAAGTTTGAAGAAAATTTCATGATTTTCCAGCTTTTCCTATTCAGCGATTCGCATCTTCTGTGTTTGACAAATGTTTTTGAAAGGAAAATCAAAATTTACGTGATTGACACGTGAGAGAAGGCAAAAAAAAAGATTTGCTGGTGATGACGGACTGAGAATTATCAGAGTTTGCTTCTCTTTGAAGCTTTTCCTCTTTTATTCGTTCTCTCTTTCCATCTCTCTTTCTCTCTTCCTCCCCCTCTCTCTCGCGTTCAGATGGTTGTTGCTGTTCCAGAGTATCATGGATGAAAAGCATTGTGAGCCAATAAATCTGAGTTATAAATCTTCGATAAACATTTATTGAAAAGCAAAAAAAAAGCTGAAAATGCTGAAAACTGTGAGTTTGTGTATATGAGACGTCACTCGACTTTTGTCAGAAAGGCGCTTCTCTCTCTTTCTCTCTATCTTCCTCTCTCTCTAATCGTTCGTAAATAAAGATAATTTAATTGCAAAATAAAAGATTTAATGAAATAAATATTTTCTTTTGTTGTCAAATTTTGAGAAGGATGAGAAAAGACACAAAGAATCAAACTAGTTGAGAAAGGGTCAACTGTGATGGAGGGTAGAAGGAAATCCATTGGGGATTTCAATACTTGGCAACATTCAAATTGAAAGAGTTTTATGTTTTTTAAGAAAGAAATGTTTCCATAGCATTATTAAATTGTTGATTTGTCCCATACACACAGCAAAAAAAAAACTTCCAACAAAAAAAAAACCAGTGTATGGTGAGAGGAAAGAGAAAATCATAATAATGATAAGAGTTATGTAAGAGAGAGAATGGCATGCAGAATGATATTCAGAGAGGAGGTTGTGAATGAAGAGGCGAAAGGCGAAAGTATAGATTTCTGAATGATTTGCAACTTGTTTTCGACAAGAAGACAACATTCAAATCAACAAACAACTGTTTTTGGGCTGGAAATTAAAGATTCAACAATCATTTATAAAGAAGAATAACATTAGGTTACTCTCTCTCTCTCTTTTCATTTCATTCTCTCTATCCCTCTCAAAGACATTTTCAAAGAGACAAAATTGATCTGTTAGATGAAAGAAATGTTGCTTTTGAAAGATATACATGTATAAATGGATCTCTCTCTCTTTCTCTCTCAACCTATTCCCTCCTCTTTTTCCCTCTCATTCATTATATGAATGACTTCAGAAAGATGGAGGTAAGGAGAATTGGAAAGAAGGGAAAAAATGAGAATGAAGAAGAGGAAAGTAAGAGATGAATGAGGAGAAGGTGGAGCTTCAGTCTGAATGCAACCGCTCACCAATGCCTTCGAAGTCGAAATTAGATGTTCAGTTTACGTGAAAAACGTGAAAATGTGTGTTGAGAAGGTAAAAAAATAAAAAAAATGCAGACGAATGTCCATGGTTGAAAATAAAAAAAAACTGAAAAAGGCAATGAAGAGAGAGATAGATAGATAGAGAGAGAGAGAGAGTGATTGGAAAAAAAAGGAAATTCATAGTTTAATCATCTCTTAAGTACATTTTCAATTGGATTTAAACAATACAAATATACTTTAAGTGAAAAGTGAGGGAAAAGCCTTTAACCAGTTGCCAAGGAAGCCGAATGAAATGTTCAAATAATAGTTGAAAAATACAAAAGTTTATGAATTAATTAATCTTTCATGTGATATGGGCAACACAGAGGGAGAGAGAGAGTGAAGAGTAGAGTAAAGGAGGGGGGGACATAACAGACTGGAATTGAATGGAATCGAAAAGAAAGCTTTTTGTTTGAGTAAAGCACAAGCACAGGCAGAACACAAATGTGTTGAATGGAGAGAGCGAAGACAATATGAAAAGGTAAAAAATCACAGATTATTAAGGTTTTTGTTCTTATTATTTTTTTTTGATTTCACATGAAGCTGCGATCAAAATTACTATTTGAAGCTTTTAAAAAATGGGAAAAATGAAAATATATTGGCTGTTTTGACTTGAAATGTTCAAAGGGACACAGAGAGAGAGAGAGAGAAACGATGACGAAGGCGAAGGACGAAGATATCTGTGAATGAACTCACTTAGAATACCCAAATAAAGAAATAAACCAGTTTGTGAGTTTTGTGTAGGATGAAAGAAATGAAAATAGATTTTAGGATGGATTTGAGGCCATAAAGCGCCACAGGTGATGAAGCTTACGAAATTACAAAAAAAGAAGAAGAGATGAAAATATATATTTAAGAAAATTGTCATCAAAAATGATTTGGGAGGAGAAGAATGTGGTGTGGATAGGAACAAGGTACAAAAAAATGAAAATAAATGAGTGAAAGGTTGTTTCTTCCTTTTTATCCCTTTTTCCTCTCTCTCTCAAGGTTTCCTCAGTGTCAGATGTATGTGACGTTTGAGAGCTATCAAGAAAGATTTAGTAAGGTTTTTGAAGAGTAAAAGCAGATAAAAAGAATAAAAGATAAAGAGAGAGGAACATGATAGAGAGAGGGATAGAGAGAATAAAAAATCCTAAAGAGGGAAAAGGAAATTGTTGTGTCGAGACAAATTGGCCTCGTTTGGTCAACAAAAGCAAACAGCAAAGAGATTCAGATGACGTCCTTGATGTTTAAGTATAAGAAGAAACACAGAATGTGTGATTTCAAAAAAGACAGATGTTCATTTATCAAACGGCTGATTGTCATCGATAAAACTTTGTTGAGAAAAAAGAAAAAAAAGAGAAAAAGAAAAACCTTTTCATGAAGTATTTTTGTTCAAAACGATATTTCCCTCCATCATTATATATTACTTGACACGTTCTCTCTCTCTCTCTAGATCTATCTCCCTCTCTCTCTCTCTCTCTGTTGCTTCAAACCGATTACTGGTTCATTCACTTTCTCTCTGTGGAGCTGTCAAAATTTTTTTTCTTCAAAAAATGAAGTAAAAAGAAATAAAAAAAAACAAATTTCATGAACTTTAATTGGTCGAAAACCCTTGGAATGAGAAAAAAAACATTTTTTAACGATAAGACTACTGATATTAAGGAAAGAGGGTGAGAGAGGGGGAGAGAGAGACATGGGAGAGCAAGGGGATAGTTCTCATTAATCTAAAAAAAGATCCAACGAGAATAGAAGGAAGAACATAAGCATGAACTCTTTTCTCCCTAGGGGCATGTCTTTCTACTTCTCTTTCCTACATTTTGTCCTCTCCGTTACATCCTGTCTTCATTCTATTGTCTTTTTCTCTCTCTCTCTCTCTCTTCTTTTCTCTCTTTATATAAATCTTTTTTGTCTTTCTCTCTCTCTATCATCTCCTTTTACTAAATAAGATGTGGTGGTCTGGATTTTTGATGTTTTAAAAACAAAAATAAGAAAAATGAAAGCATCTCAGCAACCTCCATTCTCTATTAGATTTTCAACAATCAAATTATTCTCCTTGTTTGGACTAATGAACGAATGAAATATTATATTTATATAGATGAATTGATGTATTATTAGTATAACGAAGATACAGCCGTTCACAAGTGATCTACCATATGCTAACTATATGCTTATCGCCATTCCATTTCTCTTTTATTTTTCACGTGAAATTTCACGTAAAACAATACATATAAGCTCATAAAAATTAGCATAAATTGGTAGTATGTAGTCAAACATATTAATAATAAAAAAAGAAAAAATATATACAAAATATGACTAAAATTGAAGGAAAACGACGGAAAAAGGAAAGTTGGACAAGTTGATTACTTGGGCTTAGAAGATTGGATTAGTGTGTAATACTAGGTATAATCTATATATTCTATATATATAGAAAATGACTACATTTACTATAACATCTTTCTCTTCCTCCCCTTCTCTCTCTCTGTGACAATCCCTCCTTCCCTCCCTCCCCCTCTCTCTTCAATCATCATCATCATCATCTTCTTCATACTCTTCATATAACACAATGAAATGAATAAAAAAAATAAAAAAAATAATGTTGTATGTTTAAACAACAGTTGCTATAAGATGAGGAGGAGGTGGAGGAAGGTGATGTCGATGATGATGAACATGATGGTTCGTCTCAGAAGCTCTAAAACAACTAAAAAGCAAAGAAAATTGTTGCGGAATTTTGTACTTTTGCATTGAGTTCTCCTCAACGCAAAGCGAAAAGAAGAAAAAAAGGAGAATAAATGGCTATTTTCTGGCTTTTTATCCATTTTCCTTTGTGAGAACAAACGAAAAAAGGAAAAAAAAAAGAAGTCTAAACTTCTCGAATTTCAATATGAAACTTTCAGATGACTTTCTCACAAAATAAGTTCTCTGATGAATGCAACACACATATGGAGACATGCATATGCATACACATCTACATGGCCATCCACCATATTCTGGGAATGAGAAGAGACGAAGAAGAAGACGACGAAGAAGAGATGAAATCGAAAAGTCAAAAGCCTATAATTTGCAGTTAAAAGCTGAGCTTTTGGTCAAAATCTAGTGTTGTAAAATCAATTGAATCAAAGATTATCTTTGTTCAAGCTAAGACTTTTTAATTTGGAAAAGAAAGAAAAATTGAATTTTGTCTCAAACAATAAATGAATTAAGAAGAGTTCAAGATTTTTCTTTTAAAGCTCAATTTTGCTTCCATTTTCTTCTTCTTCTTTTCTCATTTTTTATTTTGTTTTTTGCTTTCAAAAACATTTTATTTAAATGAAATAGATTGTGTATGTGAGTGTGTGTGTGTGTGTGCAATGGATCCAAATGACTTACGTGTTTCTATAGAGGGAGAGAGAGAGAGTTAAAGGTAGATAGAGAGATATAGAGATATAGAGACATAAGATGGATATGAAGCTTTAACCATATTCATATAGGTTAGAGAAAGAAAAATATATAGTAAAAAAATAAAAAATATGGGATTAGAAAACGTGAGACGAGCATCATCACCATTTGCCATGTGAAGAGCTTGCTAGCTTGCTTCAACAAACGAAGGCTGCATCTTTCATCATGTTGATATTGTCATTTGGAAGAAAAAAAGCAACCGTGCTAAGCAAAAGTTTATTTGAAAATGAAAATGTTAATGAATAGTTCACTTCAATTATGTTAATGACCCCGTTGTTATAATTTCAAGAAAATTAATGAAAGTACAAATGACAGAAGCGCAAATGAAGTGGAAGATGCGCCTTTCGTTCTGGAATCCAATGCTTGAGTATTATAGTAAACACTGAAAAAGAAAAAAAAAGTTTTCATGATCAATAGGTGAAGCTTCTTACTCAGCATGATAGATTGAACAGGTTTCTAAATGAGGTTTGGTTGAGTAAACGGATGCAGCATTCCATCCTCCATACTTCTCAGTAAGAACTTCAACGATAGCTTGATCATCCCTGTAGAAAGCATATTATATACAATTTGAGACTAGGTGAATCATATAGATAGTCAGATGAAATACGAACCAGTCAAGAACTCCTTGATTTTTGAAAACATCCGTGTTTTCCATATGTTGTTTCCATACTTCAATTGAAGTCAAAATATCAACTCGAATGTTAACTTTATCAGCAGCCGAACGTAAACGAGTTATATAGTCTATATTGGCTTTTGAATCAGGATTACTGATGAAATAGGTCTATAAAAGGGATATTAAGTAAAAACATTGCGTCTTCAAGTGATAAACGTACGTCTAACCACATAAACTTTGGTGCTAATGGAATATTCGATAAGCTTTGATTAACAGCTGATATAACATCTTCAGGCGACTTATCCTTGCTTGCATCAGTGAAAGAGGGAAGAAGCATGAATTCTATTTTAAAATCTTTTGCTAAAAAAACATGAATGATTAATTGAGAAAGTTAAAAGGTTATGAAAACATGCCTTGACTATACAGATCATTGATTACATTCAATGCTTCATCTTCAATAGCATCATTATAATAGACACTGTAAAGGTACAGAGATATAGAGTTCAAATTGATTTGTATAATTAAACTGACTATATAAATAATGAGTCATATCCTTCATTCTTCATACAATTTAAATTTTTCATTAAACTTCTATCATACCAATAGAACATGCCTATACCTTTAGAAAGGCCATTCTATAATAATCATATCAATATACAATTTTCAAAAATACAAGCAGATATGATAATGAATTGAACAGAAAACAATAAATGAATGTTTAGCTTACAGATGCTCCACGTGCAGCTAAGGAATTGTTCACGAATGCTCTATCTCTAATAGACAGAGAGAAGGCTGTCGAAATAAATAGTAAAAATATTAAAAGTTTCATAGTTAACAATTGGTTAAGAGAGAGAATATGTTGAGATGATGGCTTGCGTCGTGCTTATAAACTCTTATGATATGAAAATTCGTCATCAAACAGTCAAAAGTTCCTTATCATTTAGTTTTATTCAATAGGTGATATAAATGATTCAACAAAAAATGCATAAAGGGGCAACGTGTGAAGTGAAGAGTTATAAAAGAATTTTGATATCAATTAATAAGCTTAATATAGATGAGACTTAATATGCTTTGCGACCTAAAATAATCACAGACACTATGAAAGATGATATTAAACTTAAATAGGAACTTGTCTTTGTACTTGCTTCATATTTCAGTGTTGTGGCTCTTGGTTTAGTTGTTGTTGCAGCTTTTGTTGTCTTCACAGAAATTTTTGTTGATGTGGCGGGTGCTACTGTGGTATTTGGTGCAACCGAAGGAGCTGTGGATGCAGAAGAAAGTGTTGATGATGCAGGTGAAGATACAGTAGAAGAACTGAGTGTCGTGTTTGCTGGTGCGGCAGTGGAATTAGTAGAGGCAGTATTCGTAGAGGTTGATAAGGAACTTCCCATCGTGCTCGAAACAACGAGCGGAGTTGTAGGTCCGTGTGCTAACCATACCGGAACTCTTGAATCGAAAGCTGTCTTATCGAATGTAGTACTGAAAATGTTTGTGTTAGATATGTAACTATCTCTAATATTTTGCACTCTTACTCAGGGAAGTTTGTACCACAAGCTTGTTCTATGCTATTGGCTATAACAGCTGAAGTACTGTTCCAACCTCCATAAGGAATAAGCTGTTTAGTCAAATCTACTGCATCTTTGTCCCTACAAAATCAATTGGTTATCGTTAGTTCGAGTTTTTTTAAAAACAACCATAAGAGCTGATTCTTGGAAGAAGGAAGGTTCCAATCCGCAGTGTACGTCATCCAAGACAATCTGGTAGAGAAATACCCAACAGTCCATTGAAGGTTCTGAAGGAATACGTGGTGAAACTATTAACGATCTAAGACATACGGCTGCATAACCCGTGAAAGTTATGAGATACTGACGAACAAAATCTGAGTCTGTGTTATCGACAAGTATGGATTCAACCTGAAATCATGAGTAGAAGAGCTTGAAGAGAGCTTTGGAAATAGCTTACATCGATCCATAAATGTTGTGGATCACTAACATTGATAGCTAGAAGTCTACCATTTATCCTATCAATGACTATGTCAGGGGTCTCAGTGTCCGTAACAGGATCTGCGAAATCCAGAATAACTTTTAGTTCCACGCTGAGTTTACCTAAAATTAACTCTAAAATTCCAAAAAGGAATAATTATGTTGGACAAACTTTTTTGAATTGCAAGATACTGCAGTGGATTGATTTGGATATCATTTCGGATCTCAGACCTGTAATGATAGTATGAGCATGTTGCAAACATCAAATCAACTAGTACCCTATGAAAACAGAGCTATATTTATTTAAAGCTAGGCAATCATATGGAAATGTAGTAAGTTTATCATTGAAGTTATCTGCTACACCTTTAGCCTGGAATATGGAGAAGACACTTTTATGATAGAAGATATGTGGACTTACCAAATCGGCAGATACATAAGAAATGAAGAAGAAGAAGAAGAATATAACATTCATTTCGTTGTAAGCCTCAGGAGTCAATTTCCAATTATCTTTCCAGTATCTCTCTTTTATATGGATTTTTTTTATTCTCTTTTGATAAACGGAAAGTGCTCCATATTCAGATGTATTAATCATCACTCGGTCTATCATCAATTAAAGTATTTCCAAACTCCGACACAAGACTTGGACATGCTGACTTGCCGTCCACCCTTTTTGACCTGTTGCCATCATTAATGAATCGTAAAACAAAGATAACAGGTGTAAAGCTTTCAATTTGCATTCCAATCCTGATGTCACTTCTGATTTGGAAAGATGCGTTAGTGGTTTCCCAAAAAAGAGAGCTGTAGACAGAGTGTTATTCCCATTTTGACATGGCGGCTCACAAAAGAACGAAATCATAAAATAGATATTAAAATGCTTTTCATTCATTCAGAACCTTTCGTCGACACAGAACATCCTCGTATGCCTACTCATCAACAGTCAACACTGGCTTGGTGTCTTGAACCGGAAAAAACTAAAATGGATCATAAAACTATCCAAAAAATATATTTAACTTTTCCATATTTGGGTATTGACGCTGTACTAATCTCAACATAGGCAATGACTAATTATTTCTTTGTGGATACGCCCTGTTTTACGATGCAAATGAGAGGATGAAAGGAAGGAATCAAGAAAGAAAAGATATTTGCCAGAAAAACAACCGTTCCTCTCAAAATCTTGAGCAAAATAAAATGATCACGTCATTGTGACGGATGTTCAAGACTTGCGTCATTCAAAACGAAGTTCACGCAATTACATTTGTGTCCTTCCTCATCCTCAATTAGCATACTGATGTCACGCTGCATTCCACGTGGCAATACAGCTTGTAGTTGTGGAAAATCTTTCATTGACAACAAGACGAATCCTCAATGTATGTTTTGATAAATAAGTTTGCAATAAATGAATCATTTTGTGACAAACATAACAAATACCAAGATTACTAATATCATTTTCACGAAAATCCAAGTTTCCATACGCTCACGTTGCTTCCATTCCAGATGACTTCTGAAGAGAGATTCGTGACATCATTGACAGTGCAGGTAGATGATTACAGATCTAAGGTATGCTCACATCATACTTTGTAGTTGATTTCTAGCTGTTATCGTGTTTAAGCATGAAGTCATCTATGAAGCTGAAGACATCGTAGGTAGTTCATCTAAGAACGGCAACTTCGATAGATCGAATCGAAGTCAAAGTCTGCGTCTTCCCGTCAACAACTCAAAAAATGTTTGTTTTGTCCAACCAATTCTTTATTTTTCATCAAATAAATTGATAGAAAGGAATTTTTCATTCAACAAGTTTTGTAAGAAGATGCCTACGTAAGGTAAGAAAACCTACTCTGCGCTGTATATCATGTTCACAGGATTCTGAAGCAAAATTACAATGTCGTCCACTTCATTCAGCTGATTGGATCGTATATGAGAGCAGAGTATTTTCTATTGATTTCTCACATGATTTTCAAAGTTTAATTGTTTTAACAGATTCTACCCGAACCACAAGTTCACCAAATCGTTTGTTCAGAGGCCAAGATTGAACTTACGCCAGACCAGCAAGAACTTACTGTAGATATTTCGGTGTAATGTTCGATGATATGGAAAAGTGGAATATGAAGATTGAGAAACCGTATAACCATAGAATAGTAAGACTGCTTAACTATTCTGTCCGTTTTGTAACCTTTCGTTTGTTCTGACGTCTCATCAAGACACATATCTAATTAGCATAAATGACATCATCTAACCTTTAGTTGATTTTGAGTGCGGTTGTTCATTCCAAACAAACATCAAAAAAAAGAAGGAAAGGTTCAAGAAAGAACTTGGCGTTTGAATAGCCTCAGGGATGGAACGGCAAGTTAGGAACTAAAATAGGTGATTGATGGCTATTTCATCATTTGAAGTGATTGATGTTCACATTAACACTATGTGATGAAATTAAAATATATATAATCTTTCATATAGTTAGTAAATAGTTATCATCAAGTAGAGGAGGCGACTGATACCTTATGAGCGATACATTCAGCTTATTAGTGTTTTTTTCATTTCCTATCATGTTCTTCATTGTTTTAATTGAATAGATTAGCGTTGTTAAACACCTGATGAGTAGATCTCTGATTTGAGATAGGTAATGCTCTTCTCGACCATTTCTTCCCACGTTGCCATAAATTATGAAGACACTGAGAGAGAGAGAGATATTGCAAAAACATATCAGAGTACAAGTTATTTCACAGAAGCCTGTTTCATTGAATTCATACCGTTTCAGCAACTTTATCAGTAACTCTTGTAGAAGAAGCAAAAAGTAATGATCAAGAACTAATAAATCTTCTTAATAGAACAATTTCATTAAATAATATTTAAATGAAACGTTTTTTGATTTTCAACCAGACACATCACTGATCACTATTTAATAGCGCGTACGCAGAGTTCATAGGCCATGACATAATGATATCGAAAGCACACGTCAGTTATCAGAAATACAAAAAAAAAGAGTTCTAGGGAAAGTACTTTATACATATACATATATATCTATGATATAGTTAATAAGTGTAATAATGAGATATAAGAGACGTCAACGATGCAGATGCAGATGATGACGATGCAAAATCAAAATCTAAACTCGTTTAAGCGATATCATTTGATTCAACAAATCTATTGATAAATAATAAGCTTATACATCTTGTCATTCAACTCTCCATACACACACATATATCCACCTATGGAGATATAAGCTTCTCCATATATATCTATATTATAATCCATTTTAATTATTTTAATAACATATATAGATATATGTATATATAAATCTTGTGTGAATGATCTATTGGCAATGATTTCTCTTGATGATTTCATATCAATATATCATCATTATAAATCATTTCATCAATTTTATTTTTCAAAGATGAAGTTCGATTTTTATCAAAAAACGAACTTCATCTTTGAAAAGTAGTTTATTCGTCTGTCTTCACCATGACTGAACAACATGTTCCTCTGTTACAGAAGCAAATGCCCATATTTGGTAATTATTACCGTATAATTATTATAATTGTATCATTTTTGTGTTTAACAAGCATATGCTCCAATTATAATATTATAAATTTTACATTTATCTGTATGAAAGATGATTATTCTATTACATATACAATTGGAAATCAGGTAAGAGTTAGACTCATAGCTTCTCCTCCCTCATACACACAATGAGCCTTTATAGACAAGGAGTGTATTCGACTATACAACAACTGAAAAATCCTATATTCTATGGGCTGTAGCTCTTGGTACTCTCATCGGAACATTTCCCATCAACTATCTTTATACTCTTTATGGAGCCAAGTAATCTCAGTCGCCAGCAATAACAATACTCAAGCTCTTATCTACTTGCAGATATCCTTTTTTCATTTGTGGCATGTTGTCTGTTGTGTCCACAGCTTTAACTCCATTGGCTGCTGAGACGGGTCTCAAACATTTTCTTTTTATTCGTTTTCTGCAAGTAAACTCTTTGGCAGATTGAGATGACTTTTCAAACATTCCTTTTCAGGGATTAGCGTATTCAGCTGATTTCGCAGCCATCGGCTTAATATGTGTACGATGGGCACCTCTATCAGAGTTAGCTATCTTCATTGGAATATTGATATCTTTCACACCCTTCTCTAGTATCGTTACAAATTCTGTAACTGGACAGGTATAAGAAGCATAGATAACAACAATAATAATGAAAATACATGATAGTTATGTGTGACACTCGGCTGGAGATCATCTTACTATTTCCATGCTTTGGCAGGATTTGTGATCTTCACCATGTGGCTTATCTGTTACAAAGATGATCCAAAAGATTGTCACAACATCACTGATCGAGAACTATACGTGATTCAGAAAGGAAAAACCAAGCAACATATTGAAGGAAAATCAAAAACAGTGCCATACCTGGTAGAGTTATGCAGTTCACTAAGCTTCATCAATGCCTCTTTTAAGAAACTCATCACTGACCCAACCATCTTAAGTGTATGGTTCACAGCTTTTGTAGAAATGTCTGTCATCATTTTGATCGTCACATACACTCCAATTTATTTTCATCGGGTTCTTGGTTACAGTATCCAAGCCACAGGATTCATTGTTGCTGTGTCTACCTTATCTCAGATACCTTTTAAGGTTGTCGCTGCAGTTTGCAGTGATAAAATCAAGTAGGCATCATTCTCTTTGTACCAAAGACCAGTTAATTTCTAGATGTGTTTCGGAAATTTCAAAAATTTTCTTCTTCAACACTCTGGCTGTTGGTATTCCGGGATTGATCTTGTGCTTTGTCGGGTTAGTTCACGTGAATATCAGTTTCTTGAACTTTGATTCAGGTACATAGATCCATCATATGCAACTGTATCTGTCATCGCTTTCACTTTCTTCCATTGCTTCTCCAGCATGAATTGTGGAGGCTTCTATAAATGCGGAACATTGACTTCAAGGCATGAAATGATTCATCATCTTCCAATGTTGTTCCTCTTTTAGACAATATGCTCATGTAGTCATTGGAATGATTCAATGGATGAAATGTGTGGCTCTTTTCACTTCACCTTTTATGGTTCGACAGTTCGTTGAAGATGAAACTTCATCCGAGCAATGGACTCCTGTTTATCTCATTTGTGGAATCCTGCTTCTAACAGTTAGCTATATACATACCGGGAAGTAGTTCTAATACATTGAAATATCCAGGCAAACTTTACGGCATACGTTACCTTCACGGATAAGCCGGCAAGTTATACAAAGGATGAAGAAGTGGAAAAGAACGTGGAGGAAGAAGGAAAGGTTCAAATAGAAGCTTCTATTTAGGAAATATAAAAATGAAATCATTTATTGAATAAAACTATTAAACATCAAGTTGATGTCAGAAGCTTATAATCTTCAACCCATTTCTTGTACTTTTCGGAGTTTTCTCCTTGTAGACAAGAACTATGACGATCCGCATATCTTTCAAGGAAGTAAGCTAACAACACACGATGAACGTATATGTATTGCTGAACAGGCAAACACTTAGTTATGTTAGGGGAGATGAAAAGCTACTCACGTATTCGTTCTGAATGGAATATGGTCTCTGACTTCTTAGTTCTTTCAATAGATCATTCATATCCATACAGTTGAGCTGAAATCTCAGGATAGCCACAAGCGTTTGACATATGTTTCATGGGAAACTAACCCCAGCTTGCATTTTTTCCTGAACGTACGCAATCGCCACGATTGTTCCAGTTCTGCCTATACCGGCAGAGCAATGAACCAATATAGGTTTTGTTGATCCACGAACATGCGAAAGAACATTCTGAAAAGTGATAAAGAGCATAAAACGGTCACATTTTCAAAAATCCGAATGTACTAACAACGGCAGTAAGATTGGTTGGCGGAACTCCTCTGTCTGGCCAATTTTCCCATTGGTAATGGCTTATCATGCGACTTTGATTTTCACCGCTTCTGTTTTTCCAATGAACAATGAAACGTGAAACACGAACGAATGGATCTTCAGCTGAGAGGTTTTTAATCTGAAAAGTACATATTATCTTTAAAAAACAATTATAGAAATGATAAATATACATCAATGGTAGTGACCATGATGGCACTATCTCCCTCTCCAAACACTCTTGATGTATTCTTCTCCAAAGGATAGTATTGATGACATTTGATTTTTCCCTACAAATTGTATTTTTAAACTCCCAATACAAACAAACAATAATTCTAGAGAATGATCAAAAACCTACACATTCCATTGTATTACAGAGCATTATAATACTTTCAACTTCCTCTTGAACCACCATAATCCAAAACGCGAACTGGGTTCCTTCTAATGGCCCCTACAAACACTACGGTAACCATTTCTCTAACCAACTATTCCATACCTGAGTACAAATGAATCTTTTATCACTGTTAGGAGTTGCCACGAAATTTGCATGAATATAATCATTATCTACTCCGGGCCAATTCAAAACAATTCTTCTGTCGTCTTGGCAGGGCACGTCTTGGTATCTTGACAATTGTAATTTCTTAATTCAATTTCCTTGTTGGTAATTGATAACCTGTTGAATTCACGGTTTTTCAGAAATTCATCGCAAGTCATGTTATCTGGTATCCATTTGGCCAACATTTGAAACTCTTTCACAAGATTCTGAACCCCCATATCCAGAGCTCTTTGAACCCATGCTTGAACCTATTATTTCGCATAAGATAATATAATACAAGAACATCAGAGAGTTAAAGTTAGAAAAAGAGTTTGATTAGACTTACAATTTCACGAGCTCTCGAATTCGATTTTGGAACACGGAATGAACTCTCACCCTGAAGAGGTAAACTTCAAAGCTACTAGCTAATATTATCCCTACAGAAGGCTTTTTTTGTTTCTTTTGGTTTGGGTTAGGACTGTCAGCTTGCGTTCGATCAGCTGCGTCTTTATGCTTTCTAGGACGTAAAGGTGATGGAGCTTTTGGTTGTTCGGATTCCTTTTTGTCTTGATTTCCAGTATCTTTTGAAAAAAATGAATGTTCGAAATTGAAACAGCAAACTATCAAACTGTTGTTATCGGAACTGTGCTCTTGTTGGCGTTGCTGCTTCGGCTTCATCCTAACGGCATTGTTGAGTATCTTTTGCAATCTAAACTTTTAATTCTTTTAATTCTTTCAAGAAAACGTTTTGTAGGAAACTTTTTGCGAAGACACATTATCCCAATTGTTTTTCTCCAAGTACACAACCACCCTTTCGTTCTTTTGGAGAAAAAAATAGAAATTTGAATTTCCACGTAAAACGTGAATGTTTATTTTCATCTTCATATGAGTTCGGTTGTGCTCACATGCACCATCCTTCCTAGCCGCATGTACATAAACCGTGAATGACACTAACCTTTCACCCACAACTCATATTTCGAATTTGAACGCATTACTCAAGCGCAATCTCTTGGCTGATACGATATTATGCAAATTTCATATTCAAAAATGAAAATTCAAACAAAAATTCTGCTGGCACTGCTTTGCTACCCCTCGAATATGAATGATTGAACTGTTTCGCTTGTGATTTCGATGTTTTCTTTTCTTTTCAAAAGAATTTGCTTCGCTTTTTTTGTTTGAAACATATGTTTTCAACAAAAGGAAGTTTCTAAAATCTTTTCTTCTCAACTACTTCTCCTTCTTCTCCTCGCTTCATTCTCTATTTTCTCTCGCAAAAATGTGAATATCAATAAATATCATAAATAGAACATTCACCCATCAATCTTTTATCAGACCAATATCTCATCGATTCATATCCCCCCCCCACCGCTACTAACCGTTCCTTTAATTGTCAGTTTCATTCGCAAATAAAATCAGATTTTATACTTTTGTATATTTTTTTTATAAAAAATTTTAAATTCTTGTCCATTTGGAAATATCATTCAATTCATTGTGGCCGACCAGCCAGCCAACGAAGGCATTTCATTTTGTTCAAAATTCGAGTCGTTGTTTGTCAAAGATGAACTTTCATTTCCCATTCTAAAATGAAATAGAGAGAGCAAACGAGAGAAATAGATGTAGGAAGAACGAGTACGCATAGAGATACAGACTGATAAAGATAGAGAGAGAGAGAGAGAAAGAGAAAGAGAAACATGCATGATCTCTTGATAAAAACGTTGATCGTAATAAACAATTCTTTTTTTTTAATCTTCTCCCATTTTTTAGGATATTTTCAGAGTTACAGGACTTCAGCTAATCATTTAATGAGCGGACCGGTTTCAGTCACATTATGGCAGTCGGTTCATCCTACATCGTGTTTGATGTGATCCTCCTCTAATGAATTTCTCTATACTTTTGACTTTTTAAGTTGTCACCAATAAGAGAGAGAGAGAGAGAGAGAGTGAAAGAGAGAGAAAGTGAGTTGAGATTGATAAAAAGGAGAGGGAGACTGAGCAAGATTTGTTGCTTTTTTTGAATTTTTTTGGAATGTTTCTCTTACTCACATACTATGTTCTCTTTTAAAAGACATGAATAATATTTTACATAACTTGGAACTGAAAGTCAAAACGTTCCGTTACATTGTCTTTACGCCTTCAGATGACTAACTATCTTTTCTTTTCTTTCTTTTCGTGTTTTTTTGGTGCTTAAGTACTGCAAATCGCAAAAATATTGGCTTGTTTGCTCCTTTTTCCTTCTTCTTATCGCTGTTGGTGTTTCTATGTTTTTCACTTGTTTATCTTAATTGAATGAAAAAACAATATCTTAACTATTGCTACTTCTAATGCAATACCTCATAGATATGATAATAGAAGAGAAGGTAAAGCAACGGCCAATTGTTCGAGCTCGGGATACGCCATCCTTGGGCATTGCTCTCCTGTATGGCTTCCAGGTTTGTATCTCCATGCTGCATCTCGAAAATGATATATTTCAATGAAGTTTAGCAAGTAATGGTGTGCGTGTCAGCGTTACTTACGGTTCCTATCCTTCTGGCAGATGCTTTATGTCCTGGAGCAGACATTAGTAAACCAATAACTCCATTAACTCACTTCATTTGTTTTCAATTTTCAGCAAAACTTCGCAATGAATTAATTAGCTCCACATTCGTTGGAAGTGGAATATCTACGATAATTCAAACAGTCTTCGGAATGAGGTCCTTACTTCTTTTATGCTAATTACGAAAATTCACATTTCACGTGAACATTTCGCACTTGTCACATAACCACGCAGCGGTTGATCATAAACATTTTGGATGAAAAAGTACTTTTCTTTTTAAATTTCAGATTGGCTCTTCTGCAAGGAACAGCTTTTGCTTATCTGCCCTCAGTACAAGTGTTTATGCAACACGAGTATGGTTGTAACACTAATAATGAATCTCTCATTGTACAACCTGAAGAGTACTATTCTAAACTTGCCTTGGTTAGTCAATGATAAAATGATATTCGCCAAACGTCACACTTTCAGATACAAGGATGTTTAATAGCTTCCTCGTTAGTTCCAATTATTATTGGAGCAACTGGTTTAGTGGGATTGCTTACCAAGCTTATTTCTCCACTTACCGTATGAGACAGAACTTAAAAAGAAAAACTTCCTGCACTGTTCAGGTTTCAACGCTTATGCTTCTCTTGGCTTTCTCCCAAGTTGGAACTATGGTTGATAGAATAGAAAAACATTGGGTGGCAATCATGTAATTCTTAAGCTATCCTTCATAGATCAAACAACAGTTTCGATGAAAACATGGTTTCAGACAGGCACTCACTTTGTTCGCAACAATTTTATACTTGGCGGATGTTAAAGTTCCCTTACCAGGTATACGTAACGGGAAGCTTCACTGGTATAAATATAACTTGTTCGGAGAATATCCAGTAAGATTCTTTTTGAAACCCATTATAAGTTATCTTTCAAGTATCTTATTGCCATTGTGATTTCTTGGGCATTCTGTGTGGTGTTAACAGTTTTCGACCTTGTTCCACCGGATAGTGCTGCAAGAGTTGACAAAAACGTTTCAATTTCGGTTATACATGAATCCAGTTGGTTTGCTGTTCCTTATCCTGGTTAGATCATCAACACTCAGTGTACAACCTCTGCTAATGTTAAGGAAAGTTTGGAGCTCCTTCTTTCAATGGAGCTCTGTTTGTTGCTTATCTGTTATCCGCCATGACCAGTGTATTTGAATCCGTCGGAGATTATCATCTGGCTGCAAAAGTTTCTGAAGAACGTGCTCCACCCAGTCATGCTATTAATAGAGGAATTATGGCTGAAGGCAACCAACCGCTCTTCCACGTTTTATAACTTCCTGCACACAGGTCTTGGCTCAATGGTTTCCGGTTTGCTCGGACCTGGCGTGGGAATGACAACTCATACTGAGAATATTGGAGTTATTGGGGTTACTCGCGTAGCATCAAGATGGACTATGGTCATAGCTGGTCTTTTCTTGATTATTCTAGGCTTATGTACCAAAGTATTACAATGATCTCTATATAGGGTAAAAAATACTGTTCCAGGTTGGCGCTATCCTCTCTACTATTCCTGATCCACTCGTTGGTGGTGTCTTAGCTTCCTCTATGGCTATGGTAGTTGGAGTAGCTGTGTCGAGCTTACAATCTGTTCGAAAACAAAATGTTGTTGCGGTTATTTATTATGAAATATTATAGGTTGATATGTCTCTTTCTCGAAATATGGGAATTTTCGGATTTTCCATGATGTTTGGTATGATCGTTCCAACGTATTTCACAAAACATCCAGTTAACACAGGTTTGCCCAATATTTTGTTTTGTTAATCAAGAACCATTCAGGAGTTGACTGGATTGACACGACCTTATCTGTGTTCTTAACTTTGCAAATGTTTGTAGGAGCTATGTGTGCTTGTATTTTGGACAATACCATCGGAGGTTGGGTTTATTCTAAAAAACCTGGTTAAAGTTCTTTTGCAGGGGCCTCTCGTGAGCAAAGAGGTTTGAGATCGAGAGGACAGGTCTATGAAGGATCTCTACATGACGATACCTACAGTTACCCTCCGTTCGTTATGAGAATATTAGATAAGGTAATATACAGATAATCTGAAACAAATATTTTTATACTTCTTTAGATGAGTTGCATTCAATATATTCCATTTATGCCAAAGGAGAAGAAAGTCACCAATAAGGTTGATCCGTCATTAGCTTTAACTATCAACATTGATCCTAACACAAGGCTGTAAAAGCTTCATCTTATATTGATCCTCTTACCAAATTTGACAAACGAAGACATTGTTCTAATCCGCCATCTGTAAGACACTCATCTTGCTCAGCTTAGAATGTTCTGATATCTTTACGTTATTGCTTATAAAGCAACTCCTTATAAATAATATGTGTATTGTTCATACTTCAATGAAATTCTTTTATCGATATTTGTAAACGGTGTTGTATTGAGAGAAGTACGAAAGATCCAGCCCATGATACTCTCTGTTGAACAGCGAAGAAAGTCCTATGAAAATCGGACGGCACAGAAATTAAATGATCTAAGGAAGCTGTCGACACGTGATTGCTAAATTGTCAGATGTTTGTCTTCTTGCTTGTTACTCCTGTGTTAGCGTGACTTATACTGATCATGTGTGCCCTACAGGATTAGTCTGATTAACAGAACTTTGGAACTTCAATACGGTGTTATGAACTTCCGGAACTTGAAAAGATCGTCCTACAAGAGATCGTGAACACTGGTTGCTCTCACAAATGTATCTGTTACCTATAAAGTTTGAGCAGGGAATGTTCATAAAACTAGCATTGAAAACATTCCATTAATGTAACGGCTTCATTGGTAGTAACAGAACACTTTCAGCGCTATATCTTGCAATATTTCTGCTAAGGTATTTTGATAGAATATCGGACTTAAAGACTATTTCTACTATGGCCCAGATTTATACAAAATCGTCTTACTACCGTTCTCCGGCAAACATGGTACTCTACAAGCTCAGTAGAGTGAATTGTACTCATGCGTTTGTAAGATTATGTTAATGATAAAAAATAAGAGCTGATCAGAAAGGTTAGATGACAGAGAGAGGACATATTTTAATCCAAGACCAAACATTGGAATTAAAGAGCAAAAGAGAAAAAAAGTACAGTCTCCTTTAGAGTAGGGCTCCAAAATCTATAATGACAACGTATCTATCTCTTTCAAATGCACTTTTTTAATCGAGTCTGTTGTCGTGCTAATCAATTAATCAATGTACTCTAGAATGGATCAGTAGGTTGCGTAACTCTCGGACAATCGATATACGCTTTTTAACTCTTAAAATCAACTGGCTCCGTCGTGCTCCTTATTTGCATGCCACATAGCGACACGAGCAAGTGTACTTCGAACTTTCATTTGTAGCTTGAAGGAGTAATGAGCGGTCCAGCTACATGTTTTCATATCTTGCACCCGATGTGACTTAGCGGTGGTGCTTTTTTCGTGAGGTGAGCCAGTTGGAAGGCTAACTCATTACATCTTTAAAAATCTTTTTCACCATCCCCCCCTCTTCTCAGATTTGACAAACGAAGACATTGTTCTAATCCACCATCTGTAAAACACTCATGTTGAGCAGCTTGGCTGTTTGGATACGATAACGCCCATGAAGCAACTCATTATAAATAACATGTTTATTGTCCATACTTCAATAAAACTCTTCTAGCGATATTAATACACAAAAACTATTTTCGTTAATTATAAAGACATTCAGGAATAAAAGTGTATCAAAAAAAATCTACAACATCTATGTATAGAAAAAAAACATTTACAAGTTTATGGCTACTATGTAGATATGCGACCACGCTGTTGAGAATTATAAAACACCCGTGAAAGAAAGCTGAATGAAACATATGAAACAGTACAAAGAAAAAAACAAACAGCTAAACACTAGAACATTCTTGTCACCAGTAATTCGAAAAAGAAAGATTTGAACAGTTCAGGAGATCGAAACTTTGCATGAAATCTTATTTCAATCAACAAAGAGCGAGACCAGACAAGACTTGACTTGGCCAAGCTATTTTTGCATCATGTCGTTTATAGGCAAACAAGAAGTTCTTCCCATCATTACGCATTTTATCTCGAATGGCATCAGGAGTATCAGATGAATGCAATGCAGTTTCGAAACCATTCAAAACCAGATACCTTCAAGTAAAAAAATAATTAAAGTAATTTACGACATGTCTTACAATCCAAAGTCTTCAGGGTTGGTGATGCCTTGCTGATGGGCAATAACTCTACATAGTTTGGAGGTAGTCATTTGAGGTACTCCAGGAAATGTTGCATACCTGTAATCAGAACAATATGAGACAAGAAATGAAACGAGAAAGTAAAAACAATCTAATTAGATCTCTCGCACTAATAAGTCATCATTAACCCCTGACGTGTGATATGCCTAATAAGCAAACATCAACTTTTCAATTAATCACTATCCCCAAACAGAATAAGCGCGAGCTGACAAATGTTTTTCTTGTTCCAACGGAACATGAGTCAACCCGCAGCACTCTAAATCAATTTCGAAACTTTATGAATCATCGCCTTTAATTTCGAGACATATTGTCCCTTTAGAAAAACGCATGATTCAAACGACTCTCTCTTAGATAGTGTAAATGCTTTACGAGGAAATAACAAAAAGACTCACTTAATACATCCGGCATTCACATCTGGAATTGCAACTCGAAGAAAGGCATCGTTGGAGTCATTCGGAGAATGACAAAGGCGTGAAAGATCCATGCTATTCATCATACTGTTCTCCTTTTCAGCTAGCTTTTTAACTGCGTCCATACTTTTCAAAATATGGACAGCAGAGAACAAAGAAGTTAAATAGTAAGATGCATCGCCTTGCGTGAGCATATGCTGAGGTAATAATTCCCACATGTACCAAGCCTCGACTTCACAACCGACAGTTGATGTTCTGGCGAGGATGTATACGAACCATCTAACAAGATCTAAACTCAGAGGAAGTTAGTCAGTGAAATTTTGGAATGTTTACCGTCAGCTGGAGGTAATCTAGAACCCTCAGAGTTTTCATCGCTAGAAGGATCCTGTGAAAGCATGACGAGATTCACAGCTCTTAATTATCTGATGTACAGTAGTAGAGACACTATGCTAACCTTAAAAGATTTTCATATTTCTTCAATGGAGAGTAGTGATTCTGCATTTTCCTTAGGCAAACTTTTATTTGTTCCATGATGTTGTTGGAAGGAACAATTATCTGTAGAATGACAAATGAAACAGATCTAAGAAATTCAAAATTTACCGCTTTAGGATTACTGAAGCGGAGATTGGCTAACGGTATACTTCTTACAGCTCGAATGTTTGTAGTAACAGCTTCCAAAGCGCCTGTCCTTGAGTGTTCACGAACCATAACATGGTATAAATGAGGCTTTATACGCTCTGAACAGAAAAAATTAGAAAACAATGAATCCCAAACTAGTTCAATCTCATACTGTTTGACATTGAAAAGAAAATGAGAAAAACTAACTCACTCAGTAATAACTTGTGAAGCACAGCTTCCAATATGGCATCGATGCTCAAGATTTGGTTGGCGTTCAGTCGATTGCGTTCTTCTTCGATTATTTGATGCAGATCCCCCTCTCCATGTTTAACGAGATAATTTTTGATCCCCGTCAAAAACTGGCGAACATTACGGAACACAACACTGGGATCAGCCTCGTCACTCTCTACTGTACACTCAATAAATCTTCGTAGGGTAGCTCCAAATATGGTAGTACTATCCTGAGCTAGCCTGAAAAAAGATCGAATTTGAATGTGAACCGAACATCTGTCCTGATATTGCTTACTTTTCCACATAATGCTGAATGACAAGACCTGAATTTGCACTTGGTTGTTTCGCCTGATCATTCATCATTGGTGACATGTATGGTACAGACGTGGGCAAATCATCTAAGGAACCCATTTGTAATGCGTGTGAATATCGTGAGACAGGCCTGGGAAGCTAAAACAACAAAAGTGAAAATTAGTTTAACATTGAAAACTGACCGAAAGCATTGATGCTGGAGGGCTACTTGCTTTTAATGGACGACGCATAGTCCCACATAAAGAAGCATCAGTTCGACTATCGAGAGTTCCATAACGACAGCTAGAAAAAACAACGTTTTATGTACAGGATTTTCAAGAAACCTCTGTGAATCTGATAACTCCCAAGCTTTGTTTGTTACTTTATCACTAGGTAACGGTCTACGATCAAGATCTCCATAGGGCCAGTTAGAATCGGCATCATCATCCGATTCAGCCATTTGAGTGGAACCTGCGGTGACATCCGAATCAGAGTCTTCTTCCATAATTGGCTCAGTCAATCCTATATCACATTAAATAGCATTCCGTCAATAAATATATTTTCTTACTGCGATCAGAAGAGTCATCTCCATGATGGGCTAGATCGAGAAGATTTTCCCATACGTTTGAGTCCCATGGCTCGTTGAAAACTGTTCCAGCCACGCTGACATTATCTTCATCACGACCCCCTAACAAAACATATCTTGAACGAAAACAAAAGAAAAAAGGATATACCAAGGAAATCTTGTCTGAAATTATCAAGCTCTGTGAGTTGTGCATATTCTGAAGGCTTTGTGCAATCCACAATAGGACTTTCATTTGCCACGGTCATCTTGTCAGCACTTTGATGAGGCAATTGTCGGACCTAGAAAAGGTCATGTGTAAGAAAATCTAGCATTTAAATATAAATTAAGTAGGAATTATAGTATTAAAGGTTATACTGCTCTCGTATAAGAAAGGCGTATAGTAATAAAAGGAAATTGTGCTTGAACGAGCATAATAACCGGGAACTAGAAGCTGTCACAACCGAATTACACCAGGTGGAGTTGTATCTTATATTCAGAACAAGCAATAATTAAGGGCGACCTAATCGTAATGACACCCTGCTGTTCCTCATATATTGAAATCATAAACACAGCCAGATTTTCCAAATCAATACAGGCCAGAGTAGAGACAAAGCTGTTGTTATTACCTATTCAGGTCAGGAAGGAATCCGCTTCCCGCAAAATAACAGAGACAAATTAGAGGATTATGGAAATGTTGGTCAAGTAATGAAAGTTTAAAACCTCGGGGTGTATAGAGAAGTACAATCCCCTCGCAAAAAATGACTTAGAGAAACTCGGAAAAGAAACATAATGAAGTTGGTAAAGAGGACTCGTTTCGCATTAGATGCAAACCAACCGCACAAAAGGATACTCTGGGTGTATCGTATTAGAAAGGATGGTCACAACAATGTAAAATAACTGAGAAAAGGAGGAAATAGTGTGCCTATAGGACAAGAAATCTGAAGAAGGTCACAAACCTTTGCAATCCTCTGCCGGTACTTCAATTCAGAATTCACAGCTGACCAGTTGGTTCCAAGGCTTTTTGACGGTAAGAAGCACGATCCTCGGTTTCCAGCTGTATGAAGTTGCTTGTTAGTCGCAGCTTCTATTCCTTTCGAGCCAGTTCGTCTCCAAATTAGCTCACTTTCTTTCTTATTCTCGTTACTAGTACTTCTGAAATTAATAAACAATTAGATAATGCGATAAAGAAATCTGTGATTTGTATATGCTGAGGAAAGGCAACAGTGGAGTTAATTGGATTTGAACATAAGCGGCCATCTGCCTATTGGATTGAAGCATAGGTCAGAAGCCAAACCGATATTGACAGCAGCGATTTGTAGCCAAATCACGTACACGACAAGTAATTTTTTATACAGAATAGTGGCAGATTGCAAAAAGCACTGACCAAGAGAAGATGAGAAACAAACAAGAAACGAAAGAGCAGAAGATGATATTCAGCGTGGTAGATGAACATGAAACACAAACAGAGGGATTCATTGAGGAGCTTGAGAGCCTGCTTGAAATCCATCCAAATACTCAGCTACTCCGATGATCATTTTCCGGTTAATATTTAGTTCAACAGAAAACAAGAGGACAATCATAACTGCAGAAAACTATCATGAAAAACATATGGTTCTACAATAGACATATGTGCCTTTAATAGGAAATATGACACTGCTCAAGAGGGCAACACTTGAAATACTTTGAATCATGGCACAGCCGAGAAGTGACAACAAAAATCATCTCATCAAGCAGATAACAGATCTATTCGAAAAAAAATTTGCTTGAGCATCAGCAGGATGTTTATATGATTGAAGAAAATCGATGAAGCGAATGAAATCTGAATAGAAGATGGTGGAAGTAGGTGAAGCGCACAGTGATGGCATAATAAATGTATGGGAATCCTTAGACTAACACAATGAAGATTGTCATCCAGTTGACCTTGGCAGGAGTTATTAGACAGAATCAATTAATCTAGCAAGACATGAAGACGCCGCGAAAGGAGAACGACTGGAGGAATATGCAGAAATACGCAGGAAAAGTGAGAGAGCCATATTCGTTTTCACGCGATCTTAAACCGAAACAACGAACGGAGTAAGAGTTTTGGGCTGTTATAGTACAATAAACATATTTAGACATGATTTTTAACAATTGATTAATTCTAAACCAATAACTAAAAAAAATGGAAAAAAAAACAACCGCTCCTCTGCCTCGAAAGAACTTAAATGAATACATGTTCTCTCAGTCCTTACGTGTGTAACACGTAATCATCTCAAAGAAAACAAGAAAGGAGGAAAGAAAGGAACCCAGGAAATTGAAAAGGAAAAAATAAGGGAAGTATGGATATGGAAGACAGTAGAATCTTACTGCAGAACGTTAATTCTGCCTACCTAACAATCTGAACAGGAAAGAGCTGAGAAAGCTCATTGGTTATGCACTGGGAGACAAATGAACGGGAACAGTCATTAGTAAATGGAAATATGAACATGAGAAGCATAAGGGCAGAACATTCACACAACACGAGCCAGAATGAGCATATAACGGTAATGAAAAGACTCTTGTGTAATTAAAATGTTGAAGTGCATAAAATGAATGAATTAAAGGGGTAGAAAGAATACAAACGAGATTCCAATGAGTGGTCAGCAAGCACGCGAAGATTAATTGCGATAATCAATAATATGAAGAGAAAAACTTGGACCTAAGCTAAAAGAAAAGTGTTGATTTGGTCGAGATAAAGGTCCGGACTAGAAAAGACCAGTTGCAAATACAAACGGTATACTGGAAAATGGCCAACGATAAAAGCACAAACAGTATAAGTAAATCGAGAACTATTTGAGAATGAACTCGCTTGTGAAAACATTAAGGCCAAAATAGAAAAAAAAACGAGAAATGAGCGATGTGAAGGAGGAATACATTTCAGTTGCAATGGAGAGGCAGCAGCATTCGAAGCCGTAAAAAAAAAGAGATTCGAGCAAAAGATGAAAGCCGGCTCCAACCACGAGCAGGATATGAGGTGGCCAATAAAGTGCGTTGGAGGGTCAAGCCAAAATGATTATACAAAGAGGAGCAACTGAACGAAACTAGCTGTGACCTCGTGGCACCTGCCTGTATGTCCTCACAAGTATTATATGGTATAGCATAACATTTCTAAATAGCAGCTAAAATGGATCAAAAGGCGTGAAATGATCCGCAAATACACATATAGCCACAAGCATCAACAAAATCGAATAATAAAATGAATAGACTGGACGAAATCGTAAGAGGACTGAAGAAAATAAAGTCTTCTATCTGGGACGGTCAAGTCACAAAAAAAGAACGGAAAAATAAAAAAGACGATAATACGGTTGATACTTGGCTCAGAAAATCATGGGATCGCTAGAGACATAGTGTCATGGGGTTGGACACTAATAACCGGTTTAAGAAGCTACCATTGAGGTTCGCGAGAAAGATTTGAAACCTGAGAATAGGCTCATCTGATTCCACAGAAATATGGGAAAGCCGTTGAGGCGATTTACATCGAATATGACATATATCAGGTAGGAAAGAGAAAGTTCCAAAACACAAATACGATAAAAAGTCTTAGAAGCGTTGCAAAAAAGAAGCAAATAAAGAACGACAGACGTACAAACAGTGGCTATAATCTTAATCTATATGCATGGAGAACGCATCAGTAATCATATCACGCCTGGTTTGACAGTACCAATCAGGAATATGCGAAAGAAGAAGAAAAATACATAATATACGTATATATGACAAGGACATTTCTTATATTATTTAGGAGAAGTTCCAGATTCATTCGAGACTGGAGAAAACAGAGTATCAACGGATGTGTTTGAGGTGAGCCGACAAAGAAGCCGTTAATGAGTTGAAATAGATAAAGTCTTGAACGAGGAAATAATGACTGAACATAATGAAGATATAGAAGAGAGAAAGCAGGTTATTAAATAAAGTATGAAAATAATTGAAGAGAGATGGTTTACCAATAGAAGAAAGAGGAAAGATAGAATACTACGAGAAATGTGCTGCGATCGTAAAGGACGCTTTACAGCAGTCTGAAGAAAGCACGATGAAATTCATATAGATATTACATTTCATCATGAAAAGGTTTAAAATTATAAAACAAAATGAGAAATATATATATATATATATCTGTATTCTGGTTTCGAGAAGATGAAAAAACGACCAAAGGTGGAAGAAAAGAAACTAAGGGGGAAGCATGGATGAGAAGACTTGACAAGGCTCGAGTTTAACTGAGAACAAGAGATGAGAGAAGTGATCAAAGTGAGGTTGTGTGTTCATCTGGACACGGAAGAAACATAAGAAAAGGAAAGAACGAGATAGGGTAGTGAGACAAAGATGCAGATTTGAGTATCGCTCACTGAAGAAACAGGAAGGGGAAAGGAAAACAGTGAGAAGAATACACAAACTGAGTAAGAGAGAAAGCGTCTAAAGCAAGCTCGATGAATAGACTTATACCTTCGAACAACAAGAATATTAAATAAAAATAACCGGAGCGTAGAGTTAGGAGCATATTACAACCAGTGAGAAATCTATGATACTCATACATTATGAAGCTCATCAATTAGTTAAGAAGGCAGGAAGTCGTATACTGATTAGGATGCGATAAGAAAATGATAAATAAGGTGAAATAAGGACAAAGACTCTTCTTGAGTACGAACTATTAATGAATGAAGAGCTTCTGCTCATTCCAGAATAAGCAAAAAGAAAGATTTCAGATGAAAATTCAAACGGAAATCGCGGAGGAAGAAGCAAAAAAACAGACATGGACAGACAGATCCAACACTTGAAATGAACCGGAAACCGTTCGAAATTACGATTCACGAGATAGAAAGTGGCTGGGAACACAATAAAGAAAAAAAGTCTACTCACTTGGTACAATCGTAAAGAGGATTTGGTTTGTTATTGAAGTTTGGTATAGAAACTTGACTCTCTACATGATTGTCGACACTTTCTCCACGATCGTTTCTACAAAAAGTAACAAATGGTGAAGTTAAAATGTGAAAGTAAAACCACAAGAAAAAGCCGAACCTGTCATTGCTTGATGAGCTGGATAATGTGGAAGAAGCATACAACTCCTCTTGGTTCAATCGATTGAAATGTTTTCGTCTTACAACTGGAGTTATAAGCCCTTCATTTATGTTCTATAAAGAAAATAACTTTTTTTAATAGCGTGAAAATAGACATACGCTAAGTTCCCCGTTTCCTGTTCTACCTAACTTCTCTTTCAATGCCTTCGCTGATTGAAGCACAGACGATGATGGCTCAGGCACAAGATTCGGAACTGACAACCGATGTTCCTGTTTCTGAGGATCATGTCTCCAGGACGGTGACATGTTCACTTTTCTAAAAACAATAATAATTAGTAAAAACGAAGCTGTTAAGAACCTCATGGAGATTTGAGGGCTAGCGGTCATGCTCTTCGGAGCAGCAAAAGCAGGATTAAGCATTTCATTAGTGGATTGTAGTCTGCAACGAAAACAATTAAAAAAGCAAAGAACTATTCTTGTAGATTCAGAATATGGAACTCTCAAGATCTTAGTGGCAAAGAAGGTATGAAGACCTTCATCCATTTAACAGAAAGGGATTCTGACACACAAAAGAATAAAAGAAACTAGAGCAAGCAGAGGGAATTTATATATTTATACATATACAGCCAATTTCTTCCAATAGCAAACAGAAAGAACAGAATACGACAGATCCTCACATTGCTGTACACGTTAACTGTTGAAGACAGTGCAAGACAACGAAAACACTGAATCACGGAACAATAACAAGAATAGGACAAGTAGAAGCGCGAGAAGTATGAGTGGATAAAAAAGAAAAATCACCTACCTCTTACGTCTCAATTCTTCTACGCAAGTTTTGGTATCCAAGACAGTGTTGGGCGGACGCATAGGAAGGCGTTGCTGTTGTAGAGGCTGTATCTAAATATTGAATAAAGTGCAATAGAAGAAGCGGTTAATTTCAAATGACTTCACTAGACAGTAATAGCCATCAAAACTAGAAAAATTAAAAAAAATACCCTTTGACTGGGGCCGGGAGATCCATCATTATGCCTGACTAGCCTGGCCACTGAAGATGGGCACAGGTCGCTTCGTTCTCTCCTCAAAGCGGAAGTATTTTTAGATCCCACAACCACTAAAAGCAGATAATTAATAAAAAAAATGAATGGCGCAGGGCGACCAACCCTCCCCAAGCCAGTTTTTTTCGGAAAATGAAAGTAAGACATAAACTCATGTAGTTCAAGTAGACTAGAACCTTCACGCAGTTCACGTGAACATGAATGTTTTGTTCAATTTGAGAAGTTGCAAAACAACAGTAAAACGAACGTAAAACATGAAATTTGAGATAGCTGAATCTCAGTTAGGTTTTTGCGAAACTCAGAACACCCAGAGTGCGAGGTGTGATAAGCGCAGAAAAGAAAAGCAAACTGTTTGAGCAAACAAAACTTATTTTGAACCAAGTACAAACAGATTAAATGTATGGAGTAATAAAAATGATACAAAACGTACTGTCTTCTGGGCCACAACCGGATTTCAGGTTCATCATGATATTATCCAAATCCCATAGTGGTCTGGATCCAGGTGTGACTTCAGCAACATCATAAGCTGAACGCGAGCTGAAAGTCGATGAAATAAGTATAAATAAAGGGGATTAAAGAGATCATCACACAGGTATTCATACCAAAAACAGGAGACCATTCAAAGTTGTCGCTCACTCAACGGATTTGCTTCTCACTTAATCGTTTTAGATTCCAAAGCAAAAGCAAGTCATCGTAACAGACGTGTGCTCGAAGAAATTTATGACCGCCCAAACTTATTGTGACAAATACTAATCGCTAGGCTGCCTGTGTCTTGGTCTCGATAGAGCTTTCTCTCATTTTCAATTCTCTCTGTTTTCTCAACAGAAAAAATTCAGAGTCTATAGGTAACTTTACTGCATCGATCGAATGCAAAGATCTTCAGATACAGATGGCTCTGATCACTTCAGCAAAAAAAGCGACAGTTAAATAACTATTGCAAAAAACAAAAACACTGAAAAACTTCGAAATGGCCTACCCCTTCAGTGTTTTCTGACGGTCAGCTGCCGGAATGAAATAGTCACAATGAGCAAGTTGAACGGGGTTATTTTTAGCTTTGCTGTTCGAATCTTTCCCGAAAATATTGCGCAAAAAAGAGCGTCTTAAAATCGAAGATGATTGCTGCTGCTGATTAGCTAGAGAGGCTATAAAGAAGAACGCTTTTATAAAAACATCTCTTGAGAACTTACATTTTTCAGATGGAGCTCGTACCGATTGAGAGCGTCTACTAACGCGAGACACTTTAGCTTGCACTGTAAAATACAACACATAAGCAGTGATATCAAACGGAAACATTACAATCTGATCTTTCTTGCTTATTAGGAGGGGAAGAAGTTTCTTTTTCCTTGGCCGCCCCTAATAAATCTCCATGGACTGTTGCAAAACGAGATGGGTCTTTCCTACCAGTTGATGTTCTTTTCTTATTCTGAAAACCACGCACGATTACGTTTGATCTTAGCTAAATTGTCAAATAAAAAAGGTCATTATTAGAAATACCTGTATTCGAGGTGCTTCGCTCACTGCATAGTGAACTGAGGGATGTATCTCGTCGTCTTTGGAAGGTCCAATACCGCCATGAGAACTTGAAGAATCATTTGTGCGATGTGAAGACCGCGAACTACATCGCGGTAATGACATATCGCTACTCCAGAAATCTGCAAAAAAGATTGAAATTAAAACAATTGACAAGATTTGTATTCGAAAACATGAGGATCATGTGAGAAACCGCAGATGATTGAAGATTTCGAATGATGACAAGGTGAAGATCAATGCGTTTCATTATGAGAGTTCCGATTATTCTCAAATTAATTAAACTCGCAAGGCGCGGGGAAGTCAAAGAACACGAATTGTTTCAAATCAGAGTTTGTGAATACAGAGAGAAAAGTGGTCAAACACATGAGATGATTCGAAAGAAGAGGCAAATTAGAACCATGTGAGAAACGGCACAAATTGCCCAAATGAAAAAAGCATAACTGCGGATGAGGAGAGGAAGAGAGGCAAGAAACTCAACATCGTTGTTCTTATGATGAAAACTTAGTTCGGAAGCTTGTCCATTAATAGGCAATGCAACATAAGATTGCAAGCGGAAATGAACTGCTGAAGCATGTTTCGCACGTCTTCATTCTTAGTCTTCCTCAACAACGAATTACAACACACAAATGGATAAACATTAGTATTGGTACAGAGCGAATTCAACGACGTGGAAAAGATGCTGGAGATAGGACATCCTTATCATCTGGAACAGAAATGGAACGCAAGAATATAAGGCTGGGAATTGATTATGTAGTCAATAAGGTCTGTAAAGGCCAACAACAGGCTGTATTAGGAGGGAATCGCAAATCCAGAAGGTCATCCGAAACGGATATATCGGCGAATAGTATTAACGTTTCGTCTGCACAGGTAAAAAAAAACGTTTCGAAAATTTCAAAACATATGTTAGCCGAATCAAGGATATTCAAGTGGGAAATGTGATCAGTGCAGAAACTCAACGCTGGGAACTCGGTGATGGGAAATTGCGGAGTGGGGAGAAAGGCAAGCAGTTGACCTTATTATAAAAGACTGACCGAATTCATAAGAGAAATCATATTTAACGACATCGGAACCAGATTCATGAAGGTACAGGTGTAAACTATGATTAAGAAGATAACAATAAAAATTGGCTCGAACCAAATAAGGCACGTGAGAAAGAATATATTTTCGAAATCAGTTTTAGAGCAGAAAACGCGAAATGAGAGTAATGGTGTGTCGCAGAGCACGAGAAGAGTGTGTCATCTTAACAACATATGTTCTAAACAACAAGTTCCAAACGAGCATATAAGATGTCTCTGATGGAAAAAGGAAAGAAAAAGCACGAAATTTAAGACGAATGTACAACTAACTAACCTTGGCCTAGGAGAGCAATGCTTTGGAGACCTTTCGTGCTCTCACAATTGCGAATAGAAGCTGGTAGTCTCAACTTAATCTGGAGTTCTTCTCTGAAAACAGGAGCAAGTTGTAAATATTATGCAAAGTACAAACCCATCTATGCAATAATGGGCAATCAGCATAGGTAGAGAAGTGAAAAGTAAAGGACTATTCCCTATTCTAACCTGAAATTTTTTATGAAGGTCAATGAATTATTAAAGCCATAGAAAACAGCTATTGCAGCTGACAAAACTGATAAGAAGTATGACTAATAACACCTACACCTCGATTAGGGACCACTTCGATAATATAATGATCAATTTCTATATCAAAACCCGTCGGAAGTTTGACAGAAATAGCCATACAGGAAGGCCTTGATGCAGACCTAACCACAAAGTTCTATAAAAAAAAAACAGATTGAAAGCTGTTTTTATGACTCTTCTTACCCCAGGCTCCATGTTTCGTAACATGTATGTTACTGCCGGTCGGCCAACATTAGGAAGATACCTAAAACGATAAAGTTGAAACAAAGAGAACAAAAACGACTACCAACCATATGGAATGAGACCTAATGATCTTTTCTAACAGCGTTGGTTTTCTATCCGAAGTTCTCCTCGAATACAATTCCGAGTTCATGCTAGCTACATCATATAGATTTGGAGGTGGTGGAGGTCGCTGAAACTTTTTAAGTTAAGCGCTGAATGCAAATCACAGATAATGGAGACAGGCATTCAAATATGGAAAAACTTACTTCTTCAAAAGAATCGGCAATTTCTTTAGCTAGTCGGCGCTCACGCAGCTGCTCTTCGTTGGACAAGCACTCAACACCAATTTGTAAGGAGTTTTCCTTCTTCAGAAATCCATGCCCGCCTTCTAAGTCAGACATGCTGACGGAAGGCTTAGATAATAAGCCACCTGAAATAGCTACATTTAGCCAAGGGTTTAAGATACATATAATGATCGAGGTTTTATGAAGAATCGCAACTAGAATGAAGATGGATGACTAGTCGATAATCGACTATAGAATATGAAAGGCAAATACTTCCCTGTCCGTCTTAATCCCCGACGTTTACTAAGCAATATTGGTAAATATTCTGGAGAATCTCCAAATTTCTCAGCTATATATTGTTTTTATTCATAATATGGTCAAAAAAAAACTTTCATCGGTTGTTATTGATATGAGAAGAGCTGGTCAAGCTCATTCAACGAGAAACCACGTGGCTCCACGTGAACAAAGTTATTTCAACATATGTCAGACTCGGGCACGGTTGTTTCCGATAACAATTAAAAGTTGAAAATCAATAGCGAGACGTTTATGCATTTTCCAAACTACTAAACTTTGAAAACAGACTGGTGCAAAAACCACAAATGTGGGAAAGAGATGGATTGAAAAACTTCGAAAGTATCCCTCAACATTGAGAGACATCGAACATTGTGATAAGAAGTATGAAAAGAAAAACAAACAAAATGAGATTCCTACCTGAATCAGGTGTTATATCTTCCACTTGAACTTGTATATTGTCTTTTTCAGATGAAATCCTGTAACGAACAATCATCACAGCGTAATAAAAGAGAGTGTATGATTTTGAATTTCTTTAGACAAATTAAAAATCGATGAAATGTGCAAAAAGGCGAAAGGAAAAAATGAAAAAGACTTGAAACAAGGCTTAGTTACATGACTGAAATTAAAGATCAAAATATGAAGTTGAACAAACAGTTGATGAAAATGAAAGAACAAAGAAATATTTTGAAGCTAATCGGCTGTCAATTTGTGCGAAGTGTTCAGTAGGTTTAGCTCACCGAGCCAGAATTAGATAAAAATGTTAAACAAGACGAGATTACGTTGGAAAACACGAAAAAAAACGAAAAAGAACAAAAAGTTAGAAAAGTTTGAATAGAAACTAACGATTTGTTGAGATCAGCTACATTATTAGGGCAAGAAGGCATCACGTTCCCGATCTCACAAGCTTTTAAAGCCGTCACATGATTATCATCTACACCAGGGTCTTCACCCATACCTAAAACTATTCGATAAGTAAGCACGAGCAAATAAAATAATAAAAGCATAAACATTCAGAAAGATAAAATAAACCGTTCATGAAGATATTTCGGAATTTTACAACGACTTCACAATCATCAGCATCTTCATCGTCATCAGTGTCGTCAGAGGCATCGGCTGTCTTGTTGGGGACAGTTATCGGAGCAGAACAAACAGAAGATTTCGGAAGAGGGGAAGAGGAAGATGAATAGTAAGGAATGATTGTTCTAGGCTTGGGAATTGGCGGAACAGCTGCAGACATGGCACTGAATGCTGCAGAAAAAGTGGTACCGGGACTGTTCGGTTTCATCTTATCAATAGCATTGACGGCAACCCGACCATTACCAACAGATGAGCGGTGATTGAGACAGAAAAACGAGAGAAGGGGAGGAGAAACAACAAGGTTTTGGGGGAAGCATCAACTAGAGAATCTGACTCATCACGCCCTTCATCCTAATGTCTCACTAGTTCACGTCTGACAGAAGGAACGCTCAAGTCGGGTTCATTGTGAGAAATCGTTGAAAGTTAGGAGAAATAGGGCAGAGCGAGAGATTAAAAAGGCATTGACTAACACTTGGCTTTGGATGAATGACGGAATTGAATGATAGCAAGCGGCTTTGACGTCAAGACAGACAGGACCGAAACGGTAATAGGTGGATGTGAGGACAAGGTAATTATGAACTAGATATGCGCAAAGTCAAAATGTGAGAAACATCAAGGAAAGTAATGAGAGTCAAAGACATAAATAATAGACGATTCAGGTAGATAGTTGGATGGTGCATTCGTTAGTTGGCTGACGACCGTGACGTACAAAGAAGAGATTTTTGTGGTAATTGGCCGGATATTTACTGACTGCATAAACATAAGGACAAAGGTATTTCATTGAAATAGTCAATAACAACCGAAGTGTAAAATGTAATGAAAGGAAATTGGTATTTGCATAATCAGTAATCAAAAAATAGCAAGGAAAGGCAGTGCGTTAGGATTATGAGTATAATTGGCGCAAAAAAAGTGATGACACCATATATGTGTGTGAGGATCAATAACCTGTAAGTCAGATGATCTGATTGCTCAGACTTTTATTTATAATTGTAAATAGGAATATTTCAAACGCAATTCACACAATCGCATACACGCACACTGTCACACACACTGAGCGCCTAAGTTTCCAAATCTGTGCAGTGCTATTTATGATCGGTAAGAACGGGAGATTTAATAAGGTTCGCCCCAACCATTTCAATCAAGCTTGTCATTTTTGATGAGAGAAATGTATCGGTAGCTGATATTATGTGAGAAGCAGAAAAGGAAAAGGCGCAAAGCGGTCGAATAAATAGGAGCGGAGGATGTTGATCGTCGTTAGACGATACGCACAAGTAGGCTCTCGATATGACCTTCTGCTTGATTAAACATTCCCAATTGTACTAATAATGAATTCCAAAAGTAACACTTATGACTGGCAGCGTTTTTGAATTCAGTTATGAAACGTGTTGTAGATATCTGATGTAGAAGGGAGAGGTAGATAGAGAGAGAGAGAGTGAGAGAGAAAGTAAGTTCCAAATTTGTATGCGATGAAGGAAAAGCTGATAATTGGAGATTACAGTATAGTCTTAGAATCATAAAGTTGAGAAAGCAAAGCAAAAAAACATTGTTTTAATGTCCACGTCGACAAAATTGGGGAGATGTCTGAGAACAGTCAGGAGAAAGGTAAACAAAAAACGAAACCGTTCATGATTTGTTGAGATATTATAGATTTCTGGATTTCTAAAAAAAGCCGCATGAAACAAGTCGGATGAGAGCGGAAAAAGAGAGAAGGGGAGTAAAAAAACTGATTTTTCACTCACTATACGGTTACCAATGGATGAAGAGAAAAAAGATGTCGAAAGATGTAGTTGAAACAAGAAAAAACGACATGAAGCTAACAGCCGACAAAGAGATGTGAAAAAGAAAAACGCTGATGGAGAAATTTATTCGAAGTTGTTGCAAAAGCTATGATTGTTAAATTGAAGAAAAAAGTAATTGGGAAACAGAAGAGATGGAGATGGAAAGGTGAGTACTTGAATAACAAATGGACACAATGAAGAGCAACAGCCGGTCATCCCCAATTGTCGATGGGGCGATAGATTACAACAAAAGTAAGAAGATGATGATTAGAAGCTAAGCTAATTCAGCTTAAAACTTTTCAATATGATCAAAGCTGTCGGACTCATCATTTTCGTTTTGAAGCAAACGAAGAGCTGTTCAAAAAAAATGAAATTCGTTCGTTTACATGTCTTGTCACACAAAGAGAGAACTGCATCAAAATTGAAAACATTTGTCGAAAATCTGATAATTCGTATCCAAAAAAAATATTCGCGCAGATGAACTAATAAAGAAAAATAGATTTTGAACAGAAATCTCGTAAAGCATAAGAGACACATGTTCAGACAAATCTCTTACCATCATGGCAGTGTATGAAACAGAAAAAAAACTGATGGAAAAGAATGTCATTTAGCTGAATTATGAAGAACATGTGTTAAAATGGCAATCGATGAGTGAGTATGAAGACCACCAGTATAATAGTCATCATTGGCTTTTTCTAACTTCATTCATCTTTACAGTTCAATTGTCATTTATGAGATTCTGATGAGAAAGTGAATATGTGACTCAAAAAAAAACTTCTGAAGAGCCAAAGGGATATACATTCTGGACAATTACTCTAAGTGAATCATTAATATTGTAAAAAAAATCGTGAAATAATGGGAAAAATAGCAACCGACCCTCGTCGCAATTGTAAACTGAAATGAAACCAACGTGGAAGATAGACGTGGGATGTTTCACGTATACGTTTCACGTGGCAAGACACGCAGTTTTTCCTGTATGCTAACTAACGCAGAAATGAGTTTGCAATATATTTTTATTCGAATATTTTCATTCAAAACAGTGTGAATTTACAATTTGAATATTTATAAATCTGAATACAAGATAGAATTGGAAGATGCTTTACAGAGAACTAAGAGTATGTGGAAAAGCTTTGATCTTCTTCTTTAATATGGCATTCGTTCCAAGCAGTTCTTCAATGTATGTCTGAAAAGAGCAGAAAATAAACAAAAATAGTTTAAATTTTGGATGGATGGGGGAGGATGAAAGAAGTCGGAAAATGAAGAGAAAGACAATGCTTATGCTTTTGAGAAGAAAACGTACTGAATTGGATATGGATTAGCTACAGCTTGCCATGATTCTTGATCCTCAAATTGCCAGTATCCCTGTTTCACCTGAACATTCAGAGTTTAGTTTGTTTGAGTTGCAGTTTGTTATGATTTACTTGTGGTAAATCTGGTCTGGCAGCTTCCTGGAACAGACGTTGTTCAGCAGCTTCGCTTTCTGGATCTCCGTGATAAGTTGTTGTTGTAGTTCTCACAGTTCTCCTGGAAGATTTATAATAGGAAGTTACAAGATGCTATTGCTGATTACTTGATTGGAACTTGTCCCTTGTCATCCAAGAGGTTAGCAGCCCATCCACAATGGAAAAGAAGTATTCCAACGATAATTAAAATGATGGCAAGAGGAATTAAAGCACCAGCACTAACAGTTACGATATATGATAAACTAAGGAGATAAGACTTACATGTTTGAACATTCAACAGCTATACATGTGAGAAGCATTGCAAGAAGAATCATAACACCTACAAAGAATAAGACAGCTCCCAACATGAGAACACATCGTCTAATAGAATAGATGTTCAGAAGATTAACTTTTGAAATTATTTTACCTGGCAGGCCAAACACCCATATAAGCTGGAAGACAAGGGAAGCAAAAGACAGGGAATGACCTTCTTGCATACCATGGTTGGTATTCTCCATCAGTAGTGATGGTAACCATCTTCTTAAATAAAAGAAAAAGTTTAAAAAAATAAAAGAGAAAAGCAAATTGTTATCATCTGATTCAATCAATAGTATTAGAATGCCATAGGGCTCAAAGATGCTGTAAAGAGAACAGATGCCAAGAAGAAGATGAAGAAGAAGAAGCTTCATAAACATCGATTTATCGAGTAATGTAAAAAATATATTTTCTATTTAATGTATTTATTAAATGTAGAGTGAAGTATAAGATTTCGTTTAATTCGAAAGCAACAAGTCTTCAGTTTCAATCTGTGCACATTGAAAACAGGAATAACCTTTTGTTTTTTACGAGCAAAGCTCTTCTCCTCTGATTCTCTGAGCTCTCACAAAATCAAATCGAAGATATAAGGTTTGGTAATCCTATTGAAGAAACATGGGTAATGCTGCTCTCTCAGGTAATTAGGTGAATGAAATAGAAAAAATGTTGAAATATATGAAACTGCACATGATCTGATCATAAAACATAGGAAAAGTGGTGTTAGTTCGGAGGATTCTCCTCAACATTCACTAGCGCTTCTCGCCTCCAGTCAGCCAGCCAATGCGCCCCCACTCTTTACAACAAAAGAAAAACGAAAAAGACTTTAAAAATATTCGAAAACGAACAGAATGAATTATAAATTGTCTTAAAATAGAAGAGAAATTAAGTGAAAAACGATTTATTTTTGTTATTCTCTCAGACAAAATATGAAATTTGACAGTTTTTTTTCCATAGAAATTGATCTGAGACATACACAAACTCAGAAACGAGAAGTCAATATTTACAGACACTTTTACCTTATTTGAACATATGAGATCAGAAAGTTTTTTTTGTCAAAAATTTTTTAAATGAATCATCGTCGATGTTCCTTCTCTTTTACATTATCCAGAAAACAATGATCGATGAATGAGTAATTCTCTTTCAAATAAATGAAAATATATTTGAACATTAGGAATGCTCTGAAACTTCTGTTGAGTTGCCAGCCAATAGAACTTCCGTTGAGTTGAGCAGCTAAAATTAGTTTTTCTTCACTTTTTCTTTTCAACACATTGCTCTCCCTACCTGAGAAATGAAAGATGTATCAGACGAATTGGTTGTTTCCAATGTGTCGTTTGTTAGAGAAATCTGAAGAGTACGAGAGAATAATACGTAGATGGGTTTATCACTTACTAGAGGTGATTCTGTTGTTGTCACAGGAGCGGCTTCACTCTGAATATATGGCGATCACTTGATGATAAGACAAGAAAGAAACAAACTGTTTTCTTATTGAAGAACCATTGACAGAGTCGTAAATGAGGATTGTCCGAGCAAATGGAATATTTTGAAAAAGCTGGAGGAGCTTCAACTTTAACCTGAAGCATTGGACATGTAGGGAAAGGAAAAGTGTGATGATGAACCTCAAATCTACATAACGCTAGTGTATCATCAGCTTTACAAAGTTTTTTCCTCAACGATGATGGAATGAGACTTCTATGTTCGTAAGAAAAAGAATTCTTCAATAAAAATGTTGTTAGGATAAGAAATATAAAAATGAAAAGATAAGATACAAACCTGGTAAGTGATGGAGAAAAAGATTAAAATGAGAAAGCGCATAACTGAAAATATTGGAGCTGAAAATGAAGGAGAGGACGAAGAAAAAATTGTTCAAAAGGAGAAAAATGTCCAGTTGGACAATGAATGAAGAGTTGGAAATTCAGAAGAAAGAAAGAAAACGGAACGAGAAGAGATAAAGAGGCAAATGGAACAGTTTCAAGGGGTTGTTCAAGCTCTTGAAAGCTTAAACAAATCTCAAAAGACATGATAACACACTAATTATATAAATAGTAATATCTCATTCAAAACAAGTTCGACTAAGCTTAACAAGATATTCCATGAAAAATCGCAAAATATGAAAAAAAAACTTCTTTTGTACTCTGTGATTGAAAACCGTTTCGCAGTCAAGTTGCTTTGACAATGCTTGTAAGCTTAAGCAAGCTTAGAGCCTGTTTTCTTTAGAATCTAGGCAGTGACAATCTCATGACATTTCTTTCTTCTTCTATTCTCTTCCAATACAAATGAAAATGACATAAAAGGAAAGAGATGCTCTGTTTTCTGATTTTCTTCTCAAGTTGTCGTTCGCCAAGTACCTTTGAACTTTATCCTCCGAGCATTTTCGAACCGAGAAAACGATGTTATCAAGGGAAACTTTGATCACTGACTATTCTTCAATACGGCAATAAGCAGTTACCTTAAATAGAAGTATGAATGTTCATTGTGTCAATTTGAATGTCTGTAACATATTCCACAACCGCTCTCAACGACTGAACTCATAAAGAATAAAGTTTACGTGAAACGTCATGAGACGTCACATCTGAATGTGTAGCATGGTATCGTTATTCAGAGATTCGAGTTCTTGTGTTGTTATATTGGTGTTGTTTTTGTCCGAGAAATTTTCTTTTTTCTCTCTCAAATATCTTCTCTTTAATATAAAAAGGGAGAGAGAGAGATGGATCATCAGCTGACTGATTAAGAGCCTGTAAAAGTAGGACAAAAACTTTAATGTTTGATGAAGGATATGTGATGTCTAAGTTGGTAGATAAAAAGGTAAAATTTTAACTTTGACCACAAAGAACAATCAAAGTCCTCCCCCAGGAAAAGCTATCGAAAACAAGAATAGTTTCGGGGTCGAAAAATACTTTCGAAGATTTTTTAGAATGGGTGGTGACGTGTTTATTTTGATTTTTTCCCTTTCTGTGTCTCTCTCTATTATGTTGGTGTTGTTTCACACTATCACTCTTATTTGTCTGTTGATCTCTGATAAGAAGGTAATATTTCGGTTTTTTTCTTTTGTGATTGCAATGATAACTTTCATTCTCTCGTCTCTCTCCTTCTCTCTGATCGTTATGCTCCCTCTTCTTTCCACTCTCTTCTTCTTTCTCAAGATTATAATGTTTAAAGTCCAGCCTCTGTAATTTACTATTTAAGGAGTTAGTGATCTTCTTCTAGTTATGTTTGTCATTCATAAGAACGGTAAAAGAACAGCTGTTTGGTCTATCTGGCCAAGATGTCACAGGCAGCTAAAAACTGGTATCAGGTATATCGTCTTTAACTATTAAATATAAAAAAACTGATTGTTATTATTAAAAACTTGTTCATATTATGTTCCCTTATTTGGCTTCATCACTGTGACTTATAGGTTGTGAAAACTGCTCCCAAAGGAAGATTCAAAGGAATCAAAAGAGATTATCAAGTACCATTTTCGGAGAGATCACGCTCTAACTTACTATCTTCAGGTTGAAGATGTTTTGAAGTTGAGAGGATCTATCGATATTGAGTATACTCTGGCAACTAGAGGAGCGAACAAAGTTTAATATCGTTTTCTGAGTGTTCTCATCTCCATTTATAGTTATGGCAGTTGCTTCATACTGATCCATATGTTGCTGCTCTGGGAGCACAAACAGGAAATCAAGCTGTTCAAATGGTTCGAGCAGGTCTCAAAGCTATTTATTTGTCTGGTATAATCTATTTTGTTGTTGTCCAATTATTTTCCAACCTTAGGTTGGCAAGTCGCTGCTGATGCTAACACAGCTTCTGACATGTACCCCGACCAGTCGTTATACCCAGCCAATTCTGGACCTGAATTGGCCAAACGAATCAACAAAAGTTTACGAAGAGCAGATCAAGTTTGCGAAAATATGTTGAAGAAGCTCAAGCTTCCCTTTAGATTGATGCCGTCGAGTCAGAAGACTACTTGGCACAAAGAGATTGGTATGCCCCTATTGTTGCTGATGCAGAAGCCGGTTTCGGAGGAGCTTTGAACTGTTTCGAACTGATGAAGGTACATAATAAAAAGAAATAAAACGTAGAATTATAAGAAAGAACAAATAACTTTGTTATTCCATTAGAGGAAAGAACATTTCATGTTTACAATCGATGGTAATCAAAATTCCGATGGAAAACAAAAACATCAGAGATATAGAATGTTATCAAAATGATTAAAAATCATGGTCAAACTATGATCTGATCGAACTTTAATGCACTACAATTGATTATTCTGGTGTTTAGGCTTATATAGAAGCTGGAGCTGCTGGGGTGCATTATGAAGATCAATTGGGTTCGGAAAAGAAATGTGGACATATGGGAGGAAAAGTAAGGATGAACTATAATCAAGACAACATATTTTAACATCAACTGAACAGGTTTTGATTCCAACGGCTCAGCATATACGTCATTTGAATGCTTCTCGTTTGGCTGCTGATGTTTGTGGAGTACCCACGATTATTGTTGCCAGAACTGATGCTGAAAGTAGTCGTCTCTTAACAAGCGATGTTGACGAGAGAGATCATCCTTTCATCGATTATAGCGCGGGCAGAACTGTTGAAGGATTTTATAGGTTTTTGAAATAGTCTAAAAGATTTTAAAGGCTTTCTTTAAAGATTAAAAGACAAAGACTCCATCAAGTATTGTATTGCTCGCGGTATTGAATATGCTCCTTATTGTGATCTTATTTGGATGGAAACTAGCCATCCTACCATTGCCGATGCCAAAGACTTCGCTGAAGGAGTTCGAAGGGTATTTTCATTTGTGTCTTTCCTGCTTAATCTTCATGTAAACAACAGGAATATCCTGACAAAATGTTTGCTTACAACTGCTCTCCTTCCTTCAACTGGAAGAAGCATTTGAGCCCAGCCCAAATGGAGAAATTCCAAAAGGTATACATATAAACTGAATTTACTGATATATAATCTACCGTTAAGGAATTGGGTGCTATGGGATTCAAATATCAATTCATTACTTTGGCTGGTTTCCATGCAAACTCCTTCTCTATGTTCGACCTGGCACGAAACTACAAAGAAAAGGGAATGGCGGCTTACTCTGCTCTGCAAGAGAGTGAATTTAATGCAGAACAGTAATCCATTTTGCCTCTCACGTTTGAACACGTATGCTTAAGGTTCGGCTATTCGGCAGTCAAGCATCAAAGAGAAGTTGGTACAGGATATTTCGATCACGTTTCTAATGCGGTTACTGGAGGAAAGTCGAGCACAACCGCTCTATCAGGTGAGTAGGAGCCGATTTTCAAAGATTATGAAAGTTGTCAAGGTTCCACTGAAGAAGCTCAATTCCAAACTACTGGAACAGCAACCGCTTCGAGTGAAGATGAAGAAATTGTCATGGTATACCCTCAAAACTGTATCATTCCTATAGTGATGTATTCAGTTAACCGCTCCACCACTCCAAGGAGACGAACAGATTTTATCCCCCGATGCTCTCCGTTTCCTCTCTGGACTTCACAAAAACTTTGAAAAAAGACGTCAGAATTTGCTTAAGAAACGTAGCGTTGTTCAGAAAGGTGAGAACAATCTTTAACCGAAAACTTATTTTTCCTTTCATCTAGACATCAATGAAGGAAACTGGTTCCCTGATTTCGATCCCAACACTGTCGACATCCGAAATGACAAGAGCTGGAAAGGAGCAGAAATTCCACATAATCTCATGGTAAATCGAATGAAAAAAACAACCGCTCTGTTATTAGTTCAAAACGAAAATGAAATTTTTCCGTTGTCGTGATTTTCCTTCTAATAAGTTAGTTATAGGATCGCCGAGTTGAAATCACTGGACCTACTGAGAGAAAAATGATAATCAACGCTTTGAACTCTGGAGCTAGCGTAAGAAAATAAGAAAATGTCTTGATGAAAGATTGTTCTTGTTAGGTTTTCATGGCTGACTTCGAAGATTCAAATGCTCCAACATGGAGAAACCAGCTTGAAGGACAAGTTAACCTTTATGATGCCGTTCGTAACCAAATCAGCTTTACTCATCCCTACACTAAGAAGGAATATCGCCTTGTAAATGATGCCGCAGGCATGCAAACATTGGAAAGATGATTGATAAACTTTACAATTTCAGTTCTCAAAGTCAGACCACGTGGTTGGCACCTTCCCGAAAAGCACGTTCTTGTAGATAATGAACCGATCTCAGGATCTTTATTCGATTTCGGATTATTCTTCTTCCATAATGCCAAAGTAGAACTAGTTAAGAGTATTGTGTTAGAATATTTTTATAATTGTAGGAATTAATCAGTAAGAATAGTGGACCATACTTCTATTTGCCAAAACTGCAATCAGCAGAAGAGGCTAAGTTATGGGCTGATGTGTTTGCCTATTCTGAAGACCAACTAGGTAATTTCAATCAGCCAATAACATAATACTCTATATCTTCAGGTTTACGTAGAGGAACAATCAAATGTACTGTACTGATTGAGCACTTACTCGCTAGTTTCCAAATGAACGAAATCATTTATGCTCTCAAGGATCATATTGTTGGATTGAACTGCGGAAGATGGGATTACATCTTCTCATACATCAAGACTTTCCAAAATCATCGCAAATTCTTGCTCCCTGATCGTTTCCAAATCGGTAACTTTGTCTCAACAGTTTTCTCTTGAGTTATAAAATTCAGGAATGACTGCTCCATTCATGAGATCATATTCTTTGGAAGTCATCAAAACTTGCCATGAACGCGGTATACATGCAATGGGTGGTATGGCTGCGCAGATTCCAATAAAACACGATCAAGTATGATAACCATGTTTTTATTACCTAATTATAACATCATAGATAGCAAATGAAAAAGCCTTATCTCTTGTTCGGCAAGATAAGGAACGTGAAGCTTTAGATGGACATGATGGAACTTGGGTAGCTCACCCAGGATTGGTACCAATCGCTAGAGAAGTTTTCAATAATTGCATGCCAGATAGAAACCAAATTTCAAAACAAGTATGGAAAGCGCTCATTTTTATGAATATATCCTTGTTGTTTCCGGTTCCAAATATAAGTACTACTAATCATGACTTGACATCTATCCCAGAAGGTACAAGGACGGAGGCTGGATTCCGGCGGAACATCAGTGTTACATTAGGTTTGAAAATACAGCCGAAAACGGAATAATCAGAGCATTGAAGGATATATGGATTCTTGGCTTCGTGGAGTAGGATGTGTTCCCCTGTATAATTTAATGGAAGATGCAGCTACAGCTGAAATTTCAAGAGCTCAATTATGGCAATGGTTGAAGCACGATGCCAAACTTGAAGGTTAGCAGTCCCATCGAACGTTCCGATAAAGCTTTTTTCCAGACGGTCGAACGATCGATGCTAATATGGTAAAACAAACAATCGCTTCCGAGACTGAACGACGTCTGATAAGAGCAGGATCAGTAGTTACAAGGTTTTTGGAACACGCTTTCAATTTTGAGCTATTTTGTTTCAGATTACCAGAAGCTGCTGAGCTTCTTGAGAAATTCGTTACAGAGGATACGATGAGCGATTTCTTAACTCTATCAGCTTATGATAAGCTTGTATCTGCAGGACATTGATATCTATTTCATGTATATTTTTATTCAATTATTCAATAAAGTTTTATATTCTTTACAATGGCGAGGCTGTGTAGTTCAAACTCCATTTACTTGAACCACCTTTGGAAATGAATTCAATGTAGATCAGACCAGTGTTGGAAGTGAACGAAGTTGGGTTTCTGAGCATACTGTGTGTTACAAGTGTATAACATCTCAAATATACCTCTTGCATTGAGCTGCTGGACTATATCTATCACACACATTTAAGAATCCGTCCTTAATGTTGGTGTCGTTGGATGTGGCAACAAGCTTGTATCCAGCAGGAGCACTCACAACAACATGACATCTGTTGATTAGATTGACATTCATGGGGTACTCAGGAGATGTCACCTAAACATAGTGCACTTGTCAAGCTATACAAAGTTGATATTCATACTCTTCCGCTTGTGGAGTTGTTGATGAAATAGGTGGCGAGGCAGGTAGCTGGTAACGCCCCGGTAAAGGCGGTTGCGACCTGAGCTGGAGAACGATCTGAAAACAAAAAAGAATAGTTAGTATGGTATTCCATGATTGTATATTCACCTGCTCCGCAAATGGAAACTAAATCCTCGGAACAGTCTACTGATTGCCAAGTACCGGCTAGGAAGATGGGGTTTGTAATAGACATAGCTCCGCATTGTCCGACTCCAGGATCATAATAAACTAAAAATAATACATTCGGTCAGGAAATCTACATATATAATTAGCGAACCAAGATTGCTGTAAGTTTGAACAGAGTTATCGGTCCAATTCACATTGATAGGACTGGTGGGTCGGAATCCAAGGTGAGCCATTGAGTTGTTGGTCTGTTGGTGAATAAGCCAATGTACAAAAGCGTTTTGCTGAAGAAAAACAAGTAAAGATTGAACTTTGAAAAAACAAAATGAACCCTTTCAGATTTGATACTAGCCAATCGTCCTCCTGATTTCTTGCAAGCCTCATCAGCTGTGGTAGCATTGAGTTGGGATAAGATAGGCATGTAACAGCGGTCTTCGATTCCACTGTATCCCCTTTGACATCCGACGTCTTAAAAAACACAGTGTCGACTAAGACAAAAAAGCGTTCCAAACTGCTGGTTCTATAACGGCAAACATATCCGTCAGCCAATGTTTCATAATCTCCAACTCCCCACATTCCCAAGTTGTCGACGTAAACGAAAGGTGCAGCCGAAACGTTGGTAGTCAAATCTTAATTGAGACGAAGTAAAATATTAAAACGAGAACTCAAAAGCTTACAGAAGTTATTGTAACTGAGAGACTCTCCGCTATCACTGTAGCAGTTATTCAGGCCTGTACAGGTAATTCCTAACCATATGAAATCGAAAATGGGAAGAGAGCTACTGATAGCAATATTGGTCTAGAATATTTAGGTTGATTTACAAAAAAATGGTTCTGAACTCACAAACGCATTCTCAATCGTGGCTAATTCAGATCCCTCTGCTTGACATTTCTGGTAGGCCGAAGCTCTGTCAATCTTGTTACCTAGGCGAACCTGAAACATTTGAAAATTATATTCTATTTTGTTGTTGTTTCTCACTCCATAACATTCACCATCTCCGAAATCCTTGTATCCATCAGGACAGAAAGTAGCGGAAGCTAAAACAAAGTACTGGTTAACAGTGGAAAAGCTTTAATTAATATATTACCGGAAGCAACCAGGAAGACGAGAAGAATACTTGACTGCATGATGTGCAATGAGTTTCTACTGAGAAAGTTTCTTTTATACTATCAAGATAACGTTTTCTGACACTATCATCATATTATAACCCTCTTGAGAGATAAAAGGTTTGTTCAAAAAATGATAACATCACTTCATAGCTTTTTAGTTGCTGGCTTCATTTCTCGGGTTGGAAAACACCCTTCGCTTCTGCATCATTTTCTAATCTTCCAGCGCAGTACATGCATTTCGATTTCAGCAGAATGATTTGAAAACATGTAATCATTGAATTGATGACAAATAACATGATTTTAATAGAATACTTAATCGGATAACAGTAAAGGATCTATCCTTACCCACCTTTCTTATCAAGAAACTTGTACCGTACCTCAGCATTAAGAAGAAGTGCTTTGAGATTATTGAAACTGTTTCGTTCATCAGATTATGATTCATTGGCAAATTATTTATGACTACATCCAGCCGTATAGGCGTCTATCATCCAACAACGTCTAACATCCAGCACAGCAACCGACCTCTACCTCAGCATCTAGTTAAATGAAGTTTATACTTTCAGTTCACGTAAGCAGACTCGTCCTTCACGTTCACATTCATTAGAATATTGTTAACAAAATACTTTATCGCCCGCCAGAGAGTACAGAAATAGAACAAAGATGTGAAAATAATTGAATCAAAGTCATTTTACATTTATTTCAATAGAAGTCTGGGATAAAATACATTCACCAAGTGTTTCGTCCACTTTTCTTCTGAACTGTTTTCAGAGGTTCCCCTTGAAGGTATGGATTTGGCATCTGATGATGATCGATGGAACGTTTTTTGCGTGGTACCAACTGGAAAGAATGGAAAATATCCTATTTCTTCAATATATTTGTTCATTATGAGTCTCCATCTTTGTTGGAAACTTATTTTTCGTATTATTTTTTCAGTGATTTTCCGAAAACAATTGAGACAAGTACTGATGCGGATAGAAAATAACAGCACACGATAGGAAAGTAATTCAAAAAAAAACTGTCAAAGCACATAACATAACAGTCGAAGCTTTTATTTTCAATTGGTAAAGCCTTATACCTCATCCGAACTGCGCTTCTCGTGGAATTTCTTGGCAATCATATTTCTGTGAAGACCGTTCTCATCAAGAAGATCTTGTAAAGTTTGTCCAACATCATTAGCTTCCTTTTCGGCGCAACTGAAGGTAATACATTACACTTCTGGATTTATTCAGATTTATACTTGAACATGTGTTCTTGATCACAGATGCAGTGTTGTTGAGCTTGATAGTTGCGAGAGAAATCAGCGCTGAAAATTTTTTTTTGTTTCTGTCTTCCTTCTTACACGAATTTCAAAAATCTATTGTTTCAAAAATATTGTTTACCTATTTTCGAATTCTTCCAAACATCCATCGGCACCACTGTAACCAATGGGACATGGATTTGGGGGTTCGCAGTATGCAGGCAAGACATTATCCGATTTAACCTAAATTATTCTTTTTTCAAACATTTTTTATTAAATAATTCAGTTATGAATTGAAATGAACCGAATAACATCTATTACTACGCTCATCATGCTTCCATTCAATCTAGAAATGCTCATCTCCCTTCTTCATTCTGTCTTGTCATTCATCCGGCTTCCTCTCTAATTCAACTCATCAGAAATTATTTTTCAAATATTTCTCAGCTCTCAAACGCTTTTCTCTTTTTAATATATACATACTTCTTGGCGTTGTTGATACTCATCAGATTCAGTCAGTTTTTGCTCTCCTTCACCGGCGCCACCTGCAATGATGGAATTCATGAAATTGATTTTTAACACCAATGAGGAATTTCTGAGAAAATTATTTCAAATCTTACCAGTCATGAATTTATGGCCAAAAGATAATGGGGAAGGAATGTTCTCAGCATCCCGCGAGATCAAATCAATGAAATCTCCAGAAGGGAGCATGGAAAGATCTGATGGCTGAAAAAGATATTTGAAAGTTCGTTATGATCTAAGAAAATATGAATTTGATTAAAGAAACTCTTTGTGAACTTTAATTCGCAAAAAACGCAGAAGAAAGGCATGAATATGCGCCGCTCGGCATAAAATCAGCCAATTTTTAGCATTTCTCATATTTTTAAATATAAAAAAAATAAGAAAAATTAGATAGGAGGTTCTGAAGGGACATGAGAAACATTTAAACTTACAGTTTCCAGATCGTAAGCCATTGTCATGGCTGTTAAAGCCAAAAAAAGGGCCAGCATAACGGTTTTGGCCTCTTGGTTGAGAAAGGAGAAAACGCCAAAGGAGGAGGAGGACAGCCGAGAGCTCCAATCAATACGTTGCCGCAGGCACACAAGCTTCGCAGCTCTTCAGTGAGCCATGTAGGGTAAGAAGAAAATAATATGGAAAAAGAGGAGATGTAAAAAGTAAAAGCGAATTGTATGGGAAATAAGAGAGGCAGCAGACATGTTGAGTTGTTGAGAAGTCAGAGGGTTGAAAAAAAAAGGAAACATAATTGCAATGATGAGAAATCAGACACACACACGTACTGGTAATGAAAGCTACAACGGGGGTGTACCTGGCTGATTTATTCTGGAAATAACCAAGTAATATATGATTGAAAATCTGGGAAGATTCGTTAAACAAATATTTTCATGGAAAAATGAGAAATTCTAATAATTTTCGAAAGTTCAATCTAAGAAGATTGAGAGACAGAGAAGTATATTGCTTGAGTACTTCTGGAAGTTAGCTGCTCAACTTCAATTTCTATGAAAGATTTTAGAAAAATTATTTTTATTCTTCAATTTCTCTCTTTTCCTTTTCGTATTCTCAAAGCACAGAAGTATCACTGCGATGCCTTTTGAGAGCATTCGATTATCTTTCTCAAATATTTTTATTATTTTCTAGCTGAAACATAATGAATGAAGAGAGTTTGTTCGATGTGTTTAATGTTTTTCTTACTTCATCGAAGAAAGTTTAAAAAAACTTTTTTTCTCTTCTTCTCCTTTGTCAAAGATATAATTCGAGCTATTTATGCGGATAAATCCTTTTCCAAGCTAAAAAGCAGCTTATTCGATGAAGAGCATATCTTCTATCGATAGAGAAAATATCTCTTTTTTTGCCAATCCACATCATTGCCAACTTCAGAGGGTGTTCACCTGTTAGCGCACTGTCCCTCCTACTCATATTTTCTCTCTCTCTCTCTTTCTCTCTCTGCCTACTCCAGACTACTCCGTTCCATTTCAATAGCTAGTGATCCTTCCTATTTAGAACTTGTTCTCCGAATGTTTAGTCATTTATGAATATTTTTCTTATTTTTTTTTCGCTATGTCACCTAACAACGACTCTAATGAGAAAATAGAACCTTTTCCTCCATTTCATGCCATTTGAGCCCTTTTTCAAGTTTTCATAAATATCAGCTATGAGCCTCTATTTGAACAGAACAAATTTTCGTTTCAATTAGTTTCAACATTTAGATTTCAGAATAGAAATTGACATACAAACGGTTGATGAAAGAAAAGCTGATCGAAGTGGATCATGTATGCCCATCTTGGTCAATACCTTTGATTGATAAGAGAGCGAAACATTCATCTGTTCATTCCGTTAGTTATTTCTTCCTTTTAAAACTATTATCAATGCCCACCCAATAGTCTTACCTGCATCATTCTTGTCAATTAATTTGCATGAATGCTTAATATGGAAGTGTTTTGTGAGAGCATCATTCATTCAAAAGATGGCGATAGGATCGGTTGTGTCTATATTACTCGGTGACCAGTTCGAAAAACATTTTTTTACAAAGTTTTTTTCGATTTTAACTCTCTTTTTTTTAACCTCTTCTTCCTCTCTGTGTTTTTTCTCTTCTTCTTCAGTCTTCTTTCAATCTATATTTTGCTTTCTAATACTTGTTCAGAATGTTTCTACGCACAAAAAGAGAGAGAGAGAGAAAGACAGAGAGAGAGAGAAGCGTTTTCACATAGTCAACAGCTTGTTGGAATTCACGAAAACATGTGTAAGATCTTCGCCGTCTAGCTTCATCCTTCTTTTTTTCTCTTGTCCTTTCATTCCTTTAACTTTCTTTGTGTTCGTTTACTTTTAAATATTTTTACGTCCTCGAGTTTGTTCCAAATAAGACGCGTCAGAGAGATCGTTTGTGAACTTGTGATCTCTCATTACTCTTTTTTTTCAAAATAATTTCCATCTGAACCTTTTCCAAACTTATTTCAATATGTAATCCAATACGTGTCTTCTTTCCTTTTAAGACCTCCATTATTAACTTCGTTTCTAACGCTCAAACGCATTCCCGTCCTATCACATGGTCATCAAATCTACATTGCCTCGAGCCATACTGACATTCTGTCAATAAATTCAAAAGAAATTAAAAATCGTTAAAAATATTTACAAAGAAAATATTTTTCGTTTCTGGAGAGAAAAAAAAAGAGTTCATATCATATTATTCATGCTAATTTTAAATAACAGATTGAGGTTCACTAGATTTGAAAGGAAAACCTCTTTCTGACATTCTGTGTTGGTGAGCAGAACAAATTTTTTTTTGAACAAACGGTTTTTGAGAACAGCGGAAATGTCTTTCGTGATTCTATCCCAGGGTGATATCATTGTCGCCTTTATTCCCTCTTTATTTCTATTCCTTCACTTTTCCATATTGATTATTATAATGATGAAGAAGAATAAGAAGAAGAAGAAAAGAAGATGATCATGATACAGCCTTGAACTGTTCCCTTCTCTCTTCTAACCTCCGTCCCCTCGCAGTCCCTTTGAATTCATTGGGCATGGTTATATCACATAACAAAACGAAAATCATGTCTGTCTCTCACTCTTTTAACAATCTCTTTTACATTTCCCCTCTCTCTCTTCTTGCCTTTTCAATGGACATGTTAAACTTTCTTTGATCGTCCCTTTTCCGTTCAAACTTGAAACGCATTAAAGCTTGTGTGGGCCATCTGATTAAATGAAAGTACATCCATTTTTGGATTTTCAAATTCACTTTCATCCAGCCTACATTCAAATTAACCATAATTTATTTGATTTCGAACATTTGTCTACTCGTCTGATATATTAAAAACCAGATTGCAAATATAGAAAGTTGTCAGTTTGTTTCAACTACTGCTTCGCTCCATCCTTTGCTTCCTCATTGTCGTCTTTTGATATTTTCTCCGTACACACACAAAAATAACTTTATCTTCATTCATTTTCAAAATTTTTAATCTGTAGAATGTGTAAATTTATCTATTCATTGATAAATCATATCATGATTAATCAACCTTCTCCCTTAATATCCTGCTGATCTGCACCATCACCAGGTGGAACTATAAACTTCTTCTCGTCCGTCATCATTATATTTTACAAAATCTATATTCTGATGCTAGGTGATGATGATGTTACAGCTTGTTTTAACGAAAAAAAGTGTTCTATTTGCTTTTCGAGACACTCTTCTAATGTCTCTTTTCCCCAAGTAGCAAAATCTTAAACACAACCAAAATCTTAACATTCTCCAATATCTCAAACATCATTAGGCTTTTCTATCGATGAAACTTATGAACTTCTTCCTCCCCTTTTCTTCATTCTTCTCTAATTCTCTCTGTTTATCCATATCCATCCTAATCCTTATTTTTTTCATGAAATAAAGCTATGATTTCACGCCATTCAGATGTTCCCTCAATCCAGTTTCCAAAGCTTTCAGAGGTTTATTCTCATCAATAACTGTTTTTTCCCTTATTTATCAGTTGTATACTTTCAAAAATGGAAAACCCGTCACTCAGTTTCAAATATTGCGATCGATCGATTGCACAAACGAAAATTAGAATTCTCTGTTCCCTACTTAATGTTATATGCTAACACCACGTAATTCACGTGAAATTTGAAAATAACTTTTCCTTTCATTTTCGATTACTTCTGCTGATATGCGGTTGCGAATCTTTTTCTCAGTTTTTGAAGAGACAAAAGCTTGCACCTCCATATACGTAGTCTGTTCACTTTTTGGAGCACATCCTTATTTGCATTCGACCATAAATATGAAACAGGATAGTTAAAGTTTTTTTTTCAGATGAGTGTTATGATAAGGAGCATATCACGTCTCTCTAGACGGAAAAAGAAGATCCGGGAACTCCCGGTAATATCAGAGAACGAACACATAGTGCCTTCTTCCCTGACGCCCGTCGAAACAACGAAATCGTAAGTTCTTTCACTAGATTTTAAGCAAAAATAGCATCTTAAATCTAATTCATTGCGATGAGTAATACAATCTTAGTGAAAGTTGAGTGAATATAACAACTCTGAACATTAAACTTAGTACGCAAATGAGCGTCAGTGAGAAGATGGGAGTAGCTCACGTTAAATCTGCGATGCTAAGCGTGTATGCATTTTTTTTTCCAACTTGAGGAACTTCTCATGTTTCACATGATTTTTTGAGTTTGAATTCATATTGTTCTTGAGACTAATGAGTATTTCATTGTTTTTTCGAGTCCGATCTTGTTTACATCAGTGTAAATATTGATATTTGGATTTCGGGGTTTGTGATTCTTCCTGTATATGGTAAACGTTTTTATCTTTGTCATCATTAGGAACTAGTTGTATTAATATGGACGTTTCAAGTGATATTGATTAGTTACTTCAATTTATTTGTTGTCTGACTGTTTTCTCTTAGTTCTGCATGCATAGGCAAATTCTGAGCTTTTCTACTTCCGTGCGCTTTAAAAGTTTTTTTTGCCATTTCTATCGATTCTCAAATGTTCACATAAGTTCAAATAGAAGATTGTTCTTAATTTTCGCTCAATTCCACTCAACATTAACTGCGTGGTCTATATGCCATTGATGTGTTACTTTCGCTTGTCATTTTGTGTTTGTTGCAAACTAACATCTTCTCCCGTCACCTTTCTTTTGTTCCTTAATGGGTTGCTGCAGTTTTAGGACTGCAATTTATGCTTACTTTCGTTCTTGATAAGTTCGTTGCATTGAGTCTCGTGATAATAATGGACAGAAGTTCGAGGCAACTGTCAACCAATCTATTTGTAGCCAAGTCTCCCCCACTAATTGATGGATATCATATGAAATGTTAAAATGAATGTATCATATGTTGATTTTATGCGTAAATCAATGCTTACTTGTAATGCAAGAAGTTTCTTTGAAGTATCGTTAATGAGTAGTCTCAATCCTTAAACCTCCACTCTTGTGAATGTAAACATACTTCTTCAGTTGAATAAATTTACTTGGAATTTAAATTATTTTCAGTAATTTTCTCGGACGAGGTATGGACCGCCTTCGCAGGTCGATTAGGCAGTCTTTTCGACGGAAACGTAGTCCAGAAATTGGGACTCCTTCAGAATTAGTTGGAAATGGTTAGATATAAAAAAAATCTCTTCAAAAGTTTTTCTATTTTTAGGAAGCAGTAGTGGACGACCAGATCATCTGTATCAACCTGATGAAAACGCTGTGCGGACGGGATTATGTAGTTTTCACGTGAAGGTTCAGGATATTTTTCTGAATTTAAATATTCGTTTGAATCTTTTAGTATTTGGGTGCAGTGGAGGTATTTGAGTCTCGAGGAATGCAAGCTTGTGAAGTTGCTCTAAAACGTCTTAGGGTATTCACTCTTTTTCACTAGAAATACTCTCGAAGTGTTTCAGAATAGTCAAAAAAGGCCAGTCAAGGCTGTGTTGTATGTATCGGGAGACGGCATCCGTGTTGTGGATCAACAATATAATCGAGGACTCATTGTTGATCAAACTATTGAAAAGGTTTCTTTCGCATATCTGTTTTGGTTTATTTTTTTCCGTGTTATTAGGTCTCGTTTTGTGCGCCGGATAGACATAATGTAAAAGGGTTTGCCTATATTTGTCGTGATGGAACTAGTAGAAGATGGATGTGCCATGGTTTTCATGCATCGAAGGACACGGTTTGAAAAAAAAAGTTAATGTTTTGAAAAAAGGTTTTGTGTTTAGGGTGATAGGCTATCACACGCTGTCGGATGTGCTTTTGCTATTTGTCTAGAGAGAAAAAAGAAGAGAGACGAAGAAACAACGGTTACAGCAGAGCAGGCTCTAAACCCTGATTGGGGAGAAAAAAGGTAGTAGATCGGATGTATTTTGAAATTTTGAAATTATTTTCAGCCCTACTCACGTTCCTGTTCCGATTCCTGAAGAACCAACTAACTATGCACAACGAACTAATTGCGCTTATCAGTCTTTCCGGAAACAAATATCCATCAGTGAACGTCTTCAAGACCCACAATCTGTGATTGTGAATGTTGCCCCTGAGAAGGTTTCCACTACTGATCCAAGCATTGCTAAGCCTCGCCCAAGTGCCAATCCTGCATTGTTCCAAAGACAAGTAACAACACAATTGAGAGATGCTTAACCTCAATGTTTTTCAGGGTTCTCTCCGTGCTCCTGAAAGTTCAGCCAATGCCCAATTCAGAAGAAACTATTCTTTGCGAGCCCCATCAGTTGAATCAGCGTTGTGCACTGTGAGTCTTTTGAAAATATTACATGCCATTCTGCCGAATTTAAATGTTTTTGTGAAATTCGTTACATTCTTCCGTCATTCTCATGTTTGCAAACTAGCCTGATTATGTAAATTTCACTGTTTGAGCCTGTAATCGTTTACTCGTCTCATACCTTTCCATTCGTATCATTCTTATAATGCGTCAATTTAATCGAACCTTCCCCTCCCAATTCAAAGAAACTATATCCGAATATTGTGATATTGAATATCTAACTGCCCTTCTGCGAAAATTGAAAGATGATGTTTGTGATGAGATTGTCCTGAAAGCTTCTAGTCTTCGGTCAATTCATGAAAATTATTACAAACATCGTCATTACCGTCCCTTAGACTGGGTCTGTTTTATAACCTGTTTTTCCATTCTCACTTACTTTACAATTATTTCAGAATGCTGCTCCTACTCTCTTCAAGGAGCCCATTTATGAAGGGGACGAAGAAGAACCTGCCCAACATACTTTGGGAACTGCTCCGAACGATCATCGTTTTGCTTACACGGACAATCAGAGTTGTTCCTCTCATCTTAACGATTTACTGGGAGGACCACTCATATCTACTCAACCTTCAACATCGAATTCGATTTCTCATAACTATTCTCAAGTTCCTGTTGCAAATCAATGGAGTACTTTCGATTCTTCCATGAATAGAAGTCGACCATCAACTTCAGCTGGAATTCCCTCCGCACCATCAGGCGTCAATCAACCCATAAGCGTTAACACCCAATGGTATTCAGCGTAGTATATTTTTTTCTCTATTCGTATGCTTGTTTGTAGGAACAATACCAGTCCCCCACTAAACTCTTCTCGTTCAAAAGCTGACGAATGGCTAGACGGTGCCGTTCGTTCATCCATGAGCTTCTCTTCACCGCCTACGACTGCTCAAGTCACACCAAGCCCATCATTCACTAATGGAATACCAGCAAACATAATGAACGGCGTAAATTTAGCGTCCAACGGTACTCTATCTTTTTCAAAAGTTTTCATAATATATGATTCAGCGAAAATGATTCCAAATTTGGAGAGTCCACTGACGAGTGGCCCACCTCCAAGTCACCCACCACCTCCTTTGCCTTTAGTTGGTGCTGTTGCTAATAAAGATAACGTGAGTAAATCAGCTAAGTATATATATTATTGCTCGTTATTTAGGCTATCAGGCCAAACGCAATATCTAATACTGACGCGTTCGGTCAATCTGTAAATTGGGACCCTGTACCTCAGGCTGTGATGCCAAAACCTGAAGATCCATTCGATATTCAATGGAGTCGTCTAACTATTTCCTCTCACAATCCTTTCTCTGCTGAGCTAAGTCAAAATCGCGAAGTAAGCATCTGATTTTGACGTATTCCGAGATTTTTTTCAAATTGAAATATTGTCAAGCCAAACGAAATTGACCAACTTTTAACTTCTTACCCTTTGCGAAACGGGATCATCCAAACAATCGGTTTTATGTATAAGACAGATTAAGATGTAAATGTAATAAGCTATGCCCACGAATAGTCAATGTATTCTTGTTAGAATACTATGGTGATAGGAACTTTAATTTCTCTGTCCAATCTTGTCTGTTATGTTCAATTATTTAAAGAAGTCTCTCTTATATCTCTCTGCTAACTGCTCATTATGAAATGTGACCTTATTAAGAATTTACTATAACCTTTGCCTCCTTTTCCGGTTATGTAGAGCCATTTATGGATTTCTGAGCTGATTCATTCCGCAACAGGTAACAGTATTACTGAAAATATTTGCTAATTGAACATGTGATACATTAGAATTAATAAAAAGTTTAACTTTCATCTCTTGTATTATCTCTGTGAACATTGCAATTCAAAAACTGAACTGATAGAAGATTGTTTCAATGCTTTCAACTGTTTATATCGTATTTCGGACCATTTGTTTAGATAAGTCTGATGAAATTTGATACAAATTATCTTCCAACAGGTCAACTGTTTATCCCGATTTACAATCAATTTACAGTTGGCCATGATTCTATGGACAGGTCTGTTTGCTTCATCCTCTTCTTCAGACTTTCATTTCTTCAGGCTTCATTTTCATACTTCCTTTTGTAACATGTCAGATATCCGATTACAATAAGAAGTTGGAAACTGACTTGTTCAAAAACTATAATAGTCGTCATCGTCCTGTTAAGAAGGAACAAACCACTGTGAATGTGTCCGTCTTCATAAGCATAAGCCATGTGGAGAAAGTTGTAAGTTGTTTTTTTTCTGTCAACTGGTTTTGAGAAATAATGATCTTAAGGATGAGCATGAGCAAACTATGCTATTACATGGGTATTTATGGTCATCATGGGTTGATGAGTATCTGAACTGGAAGCCAAGTGACTATAATGGAACGACCAAAACCAATATTGATGCTTATCGTATCTGGCAGCCTGCTCTTGCTCTTTACAATAGGTTTACAGCTCCCTTTTCAATACCATAGCTTGGAAGTTTAGTGCTCGTGGTAATGCATGGCATTTGTACATGAACAGTATCCCAGCAATGATTAGCTCTGATGGAAGGGTCTGTCTCAAGTTCTCAATAATAAGACATCTTTCTTGTAAACAGGTGTGGACTACTGGGTCTTTCTCATTCTATGTGACGTGCCGTTTTGATTTCACAGATTGGCCTTATGACGAACAAGTATTGTTACAATTTTCTGATTGAACTAATCAAAATATGTTAAGGAATGCCCTATTGTTATTTCCGATTGGGTATATGATTTATCGAGAGTTAATCTAACTGATCCCAATCCGGATGCTATCTGGAACAAACCTGCTATTCGTCTGAACTATGACCCAACGTTTGCTAGGGAGAAGAAGCATGTCGGAGGTATTTTTAAACATAAGCAAAACAAACATTTCAATTTATAACTTAACGAACATTTATTCTTTTTTTATGAAATCGGCTAGGAATTGCCATTGTCCAAGTTTGAAAAAGAGAAGGCTATGATGGGATACTGAAAAGAAAAAAAGCGATCTTAGATTTGACTTCCACGACGATTCGTTCTCCTTCAGAGCCGATTCCACTCGTAGCGTTGTGGATAAGTATCTGGCATTAGTATAGTTGACGCAATCAATATTCTAAGAAAAAATACCCAAAACATCAAGTAGTTTGCTTGCAGATCTTCTTTTGATTAGAGTCCGTTTGTCTGCCTGAGGCATTTCTTGCCAATCGTACCTAAAAATAGTGAATGAATTAAAGTGAAAAAGAGCGCCCTGAGAATGGGATGAATGCAACCGCTTGTTGTGTTCTTCATGAACGAAATGAGCTTCGGCAATTTTTGATGATTCGAAATTTATTCAAACTTCAAATAAAAGGAACAAGGATCTCGGGCGTTTTCGAATAATAATCAGGATTTACATATTTTCTTTTGTTTTGTTTTTTTCCGCGAAAAGGAAACAAAAGATTTAATTAAACAGCATTGCTTTCTATTTTTTCTTGGTTATGCTTTTTTGGATTGTAGTAGCCGATGATAGAGAATGCTCTCTTGCTCTTTGTGGTTCCATTCTTATGAATAAGAATCAACAAGATGCGATCTCAAACTGAAAACAGCTTCTTGCTGTCTTGTACAACCTGTCAATCGATTGCAAGTAAATAAAAGTTTGAAGCTTAATTGGGAATCTCACAAAAATACCTTTGTCTATCTCGCGAACATGCTGTACTTTTGAAAATTTTTCTCAAAGAAGGGCATTGCAAGAATTACCATGGGGATCTATTAGGAAAAGCAAAACTTGATGAAACGGCCCTAATTGATTTTCACTTCACACCTACGGAATCTTCAAGAATCTCACCCTCACATCATAACTGTAACATATCTTAACAAAACTAGTTAACAAACCATTTTTTTGACACATCAATGTCATTCCAACTGTACCACTTCTTAGCGCGTTCAATATTTCTGAAAGGAGATATTGGTAAGAAAACTTTCCAGCTCAATAAGCAGAAAGTTAAACATACAGCTTATTGCTATCAGAAGCATAGAGTATTTCCTGATCTGCTAAAGCTGAATTTGACGGTATAACAGAAGCTGCTGTTGCATATGTTGTTAGTTGTAAGAAGAGCATGATGTAAACGAAATACAAAGACATTTGATTCTCCATTACGATTATCTTCAAACATAAAATCAACTGAGCTTTAATCAAGAGTATATGATGAGAAAAGAAAGAGCTTAAATAAAAAAAAAGAAGATGACAAATATCGAGGCTTCCTTTTCAGCTCCACCTCTTCCATCTTCTGATGTCGTTTGGCCCTTTGTATTAAGTTCTATCATGACTCTTAGACCACGCCTTCATATATTTGATGAAGAAAAAGCTTTTTTGCTTGAAACAGATACAGTAAGAAAGTCATAAAGAGTGGGAGGTTCGAAAAAAATATCAAAGCGAATGTGTTTGTGTATTCTGTCTTTTGAGACTGAAACCATATTATTCCGAAGGGTCAAATCTTGTAGTCCACAGTAGATGGACGAGTAAAACATTTTTTCGGCCTCAAAATGAAACATAGTGTTCAGCTATAAAAAAAGTGGAACTTCAACGAAATTTATACAAGCCATTTTAAGGCTGGGAAGTTTCTGATGCTTGGCGGCGACACTGCTATTGGGGCCCAGGAGGATGCAAAGAACAGTTATCTGGCGACAGTGTAAGTTTTCATAGTTTAATGAAGCTATGAAAACAATAGATGCTTATGAAAATTCTAAGTTGCTCTTTTCAGCCCGATTGGTATTGGTCACTTTTGGAGTTTGGTGTGAGAGTAAAACGTCATGCACCGTATTTCCGTTTGACGGTCGTGTTTCCAACGGTTTGTGACATTTCTTTAAAAATTCGGGAAGGATATTTAGTTTTTTTCCAAGTGGTAGCTGTGACGTAAATGATGTCACTTAAGGGAATTTACGTTGTGAAAGTGAAGTGGGTGAGAGGTAAATGTAGAATTTGAGGTGCGTGAAGAGATCTAAGTAAGAACGAGAGCAATTCGATAGTTGATGGGAAAACTAAAAGAAGGTATGCATTAGTCATATCACATGTCTAACGTTTGAAATGCAACATTTATACATAAATTGAATAGCTAATTAAAACAATGGGAATGAAAAAGTATTGAAGATCAGAATTCACGTGAGCCATCATGATGTGTACTTATAGGAACTTAGAAACATTCGAGAAGTATCAAAAATTGAAAGGAATAACTCTTTCGTAGGTCGTAAAATCAAGAATGCAACCGCCTCCCGGCTCTTCCTCGGAGGGAATGAAAATTACTTCACGTACATGCGTGGGCTTAATTAGCATATGCTTTACATGTTAACATGTTGCTCAATAAACAAAAAAAGCTTGAAAGGAGAGAGGAGACGTGGAATTTATTATTAATGAAGAAAATCTTTTCTATAGGTTGAAAGGGAGAAGATAACGTTATGTATATTTCGAGGTACACAAGCGTCAAAAAAATATGAAAATGATACGGATTTAAGATTTTTGGAAGTTCTGCTTGTTAGGTCTTCTGATAAAATGAAACAAAGGCTTATTATGTAAGCGACTGACGTGTACATATACATATATGTAACAGATACTAAAGCAGAAATCAGTCTTGTCTCAGTTTTGTTGCAAATTGAAAGAAAGAGAATAGAATGAACCAAAAATCTGTTGTTGTCTAACCTACAGGGCAAATTAATATAAAATCCCTAGAGAAGTTCCCCGCTTAAAAAAATAAAAACTGTTTTTAATGCGATAGAGCATAATTCGGAAGTGCTTTCGCGTAGTACATTAAAAATAATAATGACATAAGAACAAGATCGAATTTTTTTCAGTTGATTACATGCATCCTAACGTTATGTTCTTTCTGGATTGATACGAAGAGTCTAGCCGTCTCTTTACTTATCTTTAATATCCTCTTACAAGGGTTGTACGGATGGGACCTGATCAGAGAGCTTCCGCCAGGAAGTGGAGGAGTTCCTAAGATTGGTAATGAAGACTTATAAGTTTCGTAGTTTATGTCGTCTTTAGTATCTCTATACGGATTCAATCTTGCCATGACAGCGCTATCTTTCGTAATTCATGTACTCATTCAGTACTTCGAGGTTATGCTTCCGGAAAACTTGGAGCTTCCTACACAGGTAAACTATCAGAACTGAGAACCGAAAAAATATTGTTTACCCTTACAGCTAAGATCTTTACCTCAAAAGCTTAAAATCAGCAGACTGTTCGAAGTACAAGGTCTCTCTTTCGACCCTATGTTGTGAGTTTTAATATCAACTTCTACTCTGATTCGGATGATTAAGAATGTTGAATGCGGATACACAATTTGAGGATCCGAAAGAGTTCAACTCACCTCTAGCTTCTGTCAATTCCTCTGACGCTCTGTCTCAAGAACAGGGTGACGTTCTCATAAATATGGATACGGATGGAGGTGAGCGTGAGATTACAGACAGAGGGTATACTAACTCGTTTTAGGTACTGCCAGTATCTCATTAACCACACCATCATCGTCTTCATCTCACCAGGAAGAGCAGCAAAGCTCATCCAAAAACTCGGAAAAACCAGAAAAGACAGGACAAACAGCTCGACAAATCTATCTGATCCGAAGATTCTTATTTTGCCTTTTTGCTATAGGATATGGCATTACAGTTCCTATCTGTTTATTCTAAATTATAGCAATTCCAACATAACAAGCTAAAATATCTATTTACAACAGAAAAATAAACACCTTTCTTTATTATTTTCTCAGTAGAATTCTTCGGAACCGAACAAGGTTGACTTTCAACGCAGGCCATATCAAGGCTAAGTTGCGCGTATACCATTGTCTGTAAAAGTTGAGCTCAGTATATCAAGTCAAATATTCAAACTCCTACTTATTATACTCCATGAGAGCATTATGTCTTTCATCCAGGAATTTTTTGTAGAACACTGACATATCATTCGCTGTTACATGCTCTATCTTGCTAATCTCATTCTTGCGCTGCAAAAGTATGATAATTACGAAGAACATCATTCGCGAACTTTTTCTACAAATTCCAATTTTTTTTTCTCGAATATTGTGTTATGATTAGCCCAGAATTCTGAGTTCCACCTAAAATAACTTTCACGTCAAACTAGCTGCAAAACACAATCAAACTTGTTAAGTTCTTCTCTGGCCTCACGATAATTAGTCTCAAGAGGCGTCTCGTTGTCCACACGTCTCAGCCTAAAAACAAACTCTAAGAAATATCACAATAGTACTCCTACTTTATAGGTCTAATCTTGGAGGTACGATCAGGTGGACCTACCCAGTCGAATCGTCGATCCATACGAACGCGATCGTTCATTTTCAGGATCTAATGATGTAAAGCATCAATTCATATATCTATATAAGAACGAACGAGAAGTATGGCGAAAACAACGCGAACTATGATACTTCAGGAAGAACTAATTGAAATATTTATAACATAACAGCTAGAAGAATAACAAAAACAGGAAACAATAAAATGTTGGAATGATTATAACAGTTTTCACCTATTCGAGATAGTGTCTCGTATTCTCTTGAACATCAGTTGGTATTCGGTCAAGTTATGTCTGAAACATCGAAATATTAATGAAATCCAAACAGCACAGCCGCATTGCAAAAAATAGTTTCCAAAATGAATGCGAAGAAACGTCATCGACGGAGTGTTGTAATCATCATAGGAACTTACATGACTAGAAGAATGGAACATAAGAGTTCTTTCGTGTTATTCAAATGGTGTAGATAACCAGACGTATAGTTCTTGCAAGTGTAGCAAGGGCAATCCGGGAATGGAGAAGTGAAGTCATCAGCATGTCTGAAGAATCGAGATGAATGAATATAAGTGATTACTAAGAGGTACTTGTCATCATTATAATCAACTACAGAGAATCGTGATGAATTGGGATAGTCATCAGCTAAACGGAATGATTTTGCCTTAAACAGTCGTATATCTATCAGCGAGAATGAATATTAAACCTGTTCAGCTAACTTAATGGCATACGATGAATCAAACAGATCAACACCCAATTTGGTAAGGAACAATACCATTTCAGGATTGAAAGAGCCACTAGTGAATCTCACTTTTGTTGGAGGTAGAGGATCCTATATAAGATTAGGTGTACGTATTGTTCATTCAGCTCATCTTACGAGAGTTTCTTTGACAAACTTTGTTAAATCCTCTTTGCTGAAATCTCCTTGACCTTCAGTGAAATCATGCAAATCGATCTGCATAGGAATGTTTTTACAAAGTATGATGATAATGAAATACATTGAACCCATCTCCGTCTTTAACTAAGCTGATATCAACAGCACACTTCCTCCGATAGTACTCATTAAATCCCCCACCAAGGGAAAGAATCACATCACCCTGAAATTATAATGAGGTTGAATGAAGTATACTGTTGATTATACCTCCGGTTGAGGATGTTGATCATTGAAGAGAGTTTCAACAAAACATGCTGTACGATCGATAGCCTTTGACAATCTCTTGTTCATAGCATCAGGAGCTAAGTCATAATCGAACAAAGTCTCGAATGAAGAGCATTTCAGAGCTTTCAGAATATCACGTTGGACAGGAACCGTTAACTGAACAAACTGGTAAACACGAAACTTCAGCAATAATCTTACACTTTTCTTTCCACTCTTAGTCCATATAGCAACTGACTTCTGATCATTGAAGCCTTTCTTGAACTCCACAAGAGGATCCATGGTACTGAGATGTACCGCAGCGCCGACCTAAAGATGAACTCAGACAAAGCACTCTTCACGTAACTCACAGGCATTCCGCAGAAGGATGCAACACCTTTACCAAACTTATCAATAATTGAAGTGCTTTCTACTCTGGAAATCGGAAAAGTTCATAATGATGACTCATGGAAGAAACTCACAAACTTGGCAAAGTCATTTGATAAATAGGATCTTGCTCTAACTTCAACTGTTTCTCAGCAACATCCCAAGTGAGGTGAGGGATGTGACCTCCTCTCAGATAAATCATGCAAGATGGAGTTGAGTGGTTGAGAGAAACGTTTCCTATGAAGTCGCATTATGAAGCCCAAGATCATGCAAGTCTCTTACCCCATTTCTCGATTTTTCCCAGCCTTCCCAGAACCCCCTGCGTCTCAACGGCAAACTTAACCATCTGAACAATACTAATAGTTATCTTTACGAGAAAACATCAGGTAATAGCATTGACGGTAGTTTAACCACGGGAACTGAACTACTAGAACTCGAAACCATGTTTTATTATATCCTTGAACAATACTTATACTCATACTTAAAATTGTTAAGATCCTGGATGCCCGTAACTTCTGTATTCTGGTTTCAACTCCCACATACTCTTGTGTGGAGGAGCAGCGTTGTATACTGCGATTTCCTGAAAATAGTTCTTGAGTTCATACAGAGGACATTTTGACAAACCTGTAAGATTTCTTTGACATAACCTGCAGGCTGCTGAGTTAACTGCTGGAGATCTTGTAAACTGTAAAAGACTGATAACCAAATCTGACTAATCAACCATACCGATAATACTGATGCTTTTCAAATGCGTGGAACAGAGATTCACGAACCATATCACGATCACCTCGCACTGTTTTAGCCCCCTCTTTCTTTTGCTTCATACGAGCCAAATCTTCTGAGTGAATAGATACTGGTTTGAAGTTAGAAACAGCCTAGACAGAGCAAGAACGGATAAGAATGAATAGAGAAAATAGAAACCTGGTCTAACTGTTTTACAAACTTTTTAGGTTGAACACTCTTTTGGAAATGCGCTATCTTCATTCTCATATATTCTTTGTTTCCTACTGGCTGACACTCTGCTCGTTTAACGACTCTCCCTTGGATGGCAAGTCTTCCAGATCTAAGATAAAAGGTTGGAATAAAAGAAAAAATTCTGCCGCCAGCAGGGGTCGAACCTGCGACCTTGGGCTTATTAGACCCACGCTCTAACCAACTGAGCTATGGCGGCATACATTCTAACAGATAACGAAACGAATTACAAACCTCATGTTAAGTTCGTCATTCAATCCCGACTTGTCCTCCTCCAGAACAGCCATTTTTTGCACAGGTATATCACGGAGAACGACATTGAACTCCTCAGGAGCTAAGACCAGAAATTGATAGAAACAGTATGACAAACTCACGTTTCAACTCAGAAGTGCTTTGTGTAGGTTGTAAGTCCGGCTTACTAACAAATCGCACCTAATACTCATAATTAGCACATATCGTCTGTTTCATAAGACTACCTGTCGTCCTCCACTCGAGATAACTAATCTTCCAACATCTGTACCAGCATTTGCTTCCCACAGATCGGATAAATACCGTGGAACCTGGTAAAAGAGAGATCGTCTAAGTTTTTTGAAGAAAGCTGTACCTTCATGAGCCATACTCCTCTCTTAGCATACTCACAATGAACGATATCCTTCTTCGGTGCCATCTAATGAATAAACAAGAGAATAGAAAAAATCCAGTGGATTGTTTTGAGCAAGAACTTGAAAGGCGAAAATCAACGCATCGCTGGTAAAAGAAACAGTACGGTAAATATAATTTATAGTATATTATTAGGACGTATAGTACAACATATGTGAATGAACAATCATACCATGGAAAGTGAGATATCGTGAATGTTACTTTTGAGTCATCTTTTGAACAAGACTTAATAAATCTTTCGTATTGAAGCTCTCATTAGGCTGCAATGTGAAACCGGCCATAGCTTTTTTGATTTGAAGAGTTTTTTCTGAAAAAACAACAGTTGATATTAAGTCTGTTTGAATGATTACCTTCATCTAATGGAATATCGTTAGGTATATACATTTGCTTGTCATGCTCATAAACAGGTGGTGATGTTAACAACTTGAAAATAAATAATTAAATTAACATATATACTCTGTCTTACTACGCTTACCTTATCAAACTCGGCTTTGACCTTTGGGGGAACATATGCTGGAAATTGATTAGATTTCTCTAACTCTGTAACAACACATTTCTCTTCTGAACTGCCTGATTCTACCTGCAATTTGAAATTAAGAATATAGTGGGAACGTAACTACACTACCTGATCTGCAGAAACATTTATAGGAACACGCTGATACCCTGCATAAGGATCATCACCGCCACTCTCGGCTGATTCATCTTTACTTTCATTATCTTCATCGTCTTCGTCGTCGCTAGAAAAACCTGGAAACAAACAAATTTGCATATTTTTTGTCAAGAACATTTTACTGGAATCTGATTCATTAACTGCTACAACTTCTATTCCCGTTCCATGAAACTCTACATCGAAACCCACTGACCAACCTTCTCTTTCATATTGAGCCACTTGAAGCAGATATAGATTAATTCATTTTACCTGTAGAGACTTACAATCTGAATCAGCTTCTTCAACTTTAACTGTTGGCTCTTCCGCTCTCGGTGGAACAGGGGTCATCAAGCTAATTAAGTTAAATTATCTCTAAAGCATAAATAGTTGAAAAAGCCGAATGAATTCCGAATACCGGACTTCGCGGTAAGACCTCGCACCCGCCCTTCAATATTCCGGGCTGTAGCTTCTGCTTACAACAGACTAGTGCAGTTATTTGTGATCTTGGTTTAATCGAAGATCTTAATTATACTTCTTTAATCAGAAATTTATAAATCACAACTTAATGAAGTTCACACTGTTGAAATTCCAGTTCGCGATCATACCTTTGAATTCTAATTGTGTTCGTTAAAATGCTCGAGTTAGGCAAAAAGCACGACCGCGCATTTTTATTCAGAATGAAAATGTGAAAGCACGACCAAAATTATTTTTTTTACGCGTAAAATGAAAATTCTGATGTACAACCCTCTTGTGCCTCAATGATTTCTATTTGAAAAAAGTAAAAAAATGAAATTTATTTACATTTATAGTTTTTGTTCTTCTTTGAAATTTATTATAGATTAATTCCTTCTCGAAAGCAAGCAATCATATTTTTTTCGTCTCCGAAGCAATCGAATAGATTCAATAATTCCATAACCTCGCCGACACATGTTAGAGACTCCTGAAGCGATTTAATTTAGTTATAAAAATTATTTTCTTGAGCTTACTAAGAAAAATGAGAAGACACTCATAATTTCTCCTAATCGAACAGCGAAATTGTCGGTCCCTCTCTGTCTGAAATGGTATTAACGTTAAGCAGTAGATGTAGTAAGCTTACAAATGATAGTTTTGGAAACTGTGGAACACTTTCCGACGACAATGAGCTGCTACTTTAGCACCTTCCGGGGACAGTTGAAGAGCTAAAGATATAAAATAAATAAAAAGTTGAATCATGTTCTACTTGGGTTCCAAAAACATAATCCGATAAGAGTCATGTATTCTACATCGCACAAAGCTAACGCTCGTAGAGCGTCTTGAAACTGTGGGCAAGGTTTATGATACACTTTCAACGAACTAAAAACAATTTTTCATCATTTTCAAAAGATATTGCATACTTTGCGACGGATATCCTTTTGCTCTCATCAACTGATGCTGGTAGGAAATCCACAATGTTTTCATTGTCAATGTAAGTGGTTTCAGTTATGGCGAGACTGAAAAAACAGAGAAATGGAAACCTCTTGAATGAAATTTCCTTACAATCTGCAATCTGGATGATATGGAAATTTCTGTATGGTCCTATAATGAGCCTCCATGTTCCATACAGCAAACACAAACGATTTACATACTTTGACCTGAAAACAATGCAATAGAATTATTGTTTCACGAACAACAAACTTTTTCTTCTTCTGGTAACTGTTCTGCTTCTGGAAAGACTGAGCTAACAAAGGTATTCACAGCAGATGCGTGAGCTATAAAAATCTGAGTGCACTTGCTATTCTTGCTCGGCAGAAAATCCTAATTGAGAAATATATCAGTACTTAATCATTTTTAACACTCACATAATAAGCTTGTTTTCTGTCTTCAGCACTGAAACATAAGCCCAACGAGTATTCTACAGCTCTTCGGTCGATGCAAAGTTGCCTTAATGGAAACATAAAACAAACACCTCAATGAAATCATTACTTGTGATGACTAGCTAAGAACTGGAGGTAATTTTTTGCGGCATCATCAGTGAAAAATGTATATGAACTCGGAATATTTGTGATGTATACAGAAGATTGAGGATGCGGGATGGTCTGTTTTTCCTACAATTCATATCTGAGAGGAGTGTGATGCTGTTAAAAACCTCAAAATCATGAGTACTGCTGGTAGGGACATTTGGAGATGGCAAATCCGAAGGACAAGGAGAGGCAGCAGATCCTTTCTGGCTTTGAATATCTGAAAACCGAAAGTTATATCTCTTGCTAAAAAAAGGTTCAATATTACTCTCTAGTGCCATTCCTGCCTCTATGCATTTCTTCAGACGACACTTCCTACACGTAGCTATATCTTCTAGAAACAAAATGAATACTAATATTAGAATATTAATCTACTAACTTCGCCTAATGTCACAGTTGTCACCACCTCTCCTACATGTGTAACTTTTCTTCAAAGACATTGATCTTCTGAAAAAAGCTGCACATGCTCGACATGAATCAATCCCGAAATGAGCTCCATCACTTCTTTCTTTGCAAATACGGCAACGAATGAAAATTCTAAAAACAAAGAATAGTTACTTGAAAATATCAAAATGTGAAGCCCACGGCCGGGATCGAACCGACAATCTTCTGATTAGAAGTCAGACGCCTTATCCATTAGGCCACGCGGGCTTACGTTAGTTTCAAAAAGTAGCAAAGTAAGAAAACACAGGTGAAAAATGAGTTGTCAAGGTTACGTCCAATTCGAAACATTCTCATTGATACACTCAATGAACACGTGATCTGTTCTTTGCTTTTTCGCTTATGAAAAACGGATAGGAAACCAACTAACCCTTTTCCAGAGTTCATAGTAGTGGGAGATGGCAACGAAAGATTTGTTGTTGTCATATAGAAACTGAAAGAGATTAAGTGATGTGAGAAGAATTATAATTGAAACAGAAAAAAAAGAAAGAACACGACACTTAAGGGAGTATTCATCATTTATAAATCATATGCCCTGTTAGAACACGAAACAAGCGTATATGGTCACAGAAATGATGATAAGGACTGATAGTGTTGAGAGGCAGTTTAGAAAAGACTATGAAATGTCATCAAACATTCTAAATAGAGAGAGTCTCATTTACAGTGTCTTTGTGGGATTGTAACATTATGAGCAACAATGTGCTAGACTGTGCTCAAAATGATGACTTGTAAATGACAAACTATGACCGAGCCTGATCTTTAACATTAAGCTATAACAAACAGATTCTTCATTCATGAGATTCAACTTTTAATTTCATAATAGGAATACTGTATGTAAGGAATTCAAATTGAAAACAATGAACATGAGAAGTTAGGAGGAAACCTTTGAGGAAGCTTGCCTAGCCTACAGGGCAATCTAAATTTGGCAAAACCTGGAAAATGTCGTCAAAATGTAAAATTTAATCCGAAATTAAGGCTTCTTTTGAAATTTCAAATTGTTGAGACAAAACAAATCTTCTATTCGTGCTTGTTAAACATGATTCGACTGCTCATTCACCTCATTCTCTATGCTAAAGTCATAACTCAAAGAGATGATAACGTAAGTTTGGAAACTTTTCACAAAAAATGGAAAAATCTTTGAAGATCATTCGTATGGTTATATTCGTCTCGGATAACCGGACAGATTTGGACCTAGTAGGTGAAATAGGTATCTTCAAAAATTATTCTACTGTTCAGTATATTGGATATAATCGAGTAGCGGCTGCCGTGTATGTTGCTTGGGACAAGATTAAATACGATCAAATCCTACCAGCATACGAATTGGAGTTTGGTTTACTCTACTTTGAACGTAAAATTTTTTTTTAAGCGCTAGGTTTGTAAAATCAAATTGCCTTGCTTATTTGGAAGCTGGCCTATCAGTTGATCTGATTGATCAAGGATTTGATGTTATAGTTGGTCCGCCATGTTCCTCAAGTTTACTCATAATTTCTTGAGAATGAGAAAAAAGTATTCTTCAGGTGCTGAAATAGCAGGAATAGTGGCAAAAGGAAAAAAAATTCCAATGTTCATCTGGGGACCGCCTGTATCTTTAATACTGAAGGACGACAATATGTTTCCAACTGTTGTCACTACAATACACAGTGGATATGAGTGAGTGAAATATATGAATTGGAGAAATACAAGAGATAATTAAGTGAAGCCACATCTCTGTTGCGATTGCTCGAATACTATCAATGGTATGACATTGCTTTAATACTGTATGTGGCAAGAAGTGATCTCACTCCTCGCTGCAAACTTATCGTAGAAGGCATGGAGGTAAGAAAATAAAAGCATTTGCTGTATTTGAAAAACTCAAGAGCCAACTGGAAAATAAAAAAATTACGATTGTGTATAAACGAGCATTAACTAATTCAACTGCATCAAACATACAAACAATAAGGGACAGTCTACGATTGGCTTCCCAGGTCTCTAGAGGTATTTTGCTTTTTAAGAGAAACACTAATGTTCTTATTTAGTTTTTTTGTTCTGCCTAGAAACACTAGTAGGGAGACGAAATATACTGCTAGCTATAGCCGATGAGAAGTTGAATTTACCTGAATATGTTTACATTTTCATAGAATGCAGGCGGTCAGGGTTTTGTGAGTGACTGAGTTATATCCATAATAACCGAATATATTCATTACAGCTGATGTTTGGATGGACAAAACAGCGATTCCGGATGGTTTAGACGAGAAAGCTTTATCAGTTGTCAAAAACACCTTTATAGTGAGACGTTTGAACGAGAAAAGTCAATTTTTGATCTTTTAGCTAGACACGCTTCCTTTGAACTCATCTGAACAATTTTATTCTGATATGAAAGACGTGTTTGTGGATAGGTTGAACTGCACAAGTTGTAGCGAACTCAATTCAGTATGAACACAAGATAGAACGCAAATCTACATATTTTTGTAGGCTTTTTCAAGCGCTGCAGAGTTAGCTGATGCAGTAATGGCTTATGCCTTAATGCTAAACAGATCACTTGCTTTAAAACCTACAGGCATGAATGGAGAAGAATTGACATTACTCGCTCAAGGATTAGACTTTCAGGGTTGGAAGAACTTTTCATTTTTTTAAATTTTTCCTCGCAGGGTTCACAGGAAGAGTATTATTGAGTGTAAACAAAACAAGAGTTCCTGTTTTTGGTCTTTATGTTTGGGATATGACTAACAAAAGTTATCCCATGGTCTACATAACAGAAAATTCGGGAGCTACTTTTGAGGAAGCGGTAAGATTGAATAGAATCGATTGGAATATTCTTTTTTAGTTTAAATTTGCACAACCAGAATCAGTGATATTCGCACGACATGGAGGCAAAGCGCCATTGAATGTGCCAAAATGTGCTTACGATGGGTAATCAAAAGAAATTATTATCAGAAAAATACATATTCTCAGGAGCCTATGTCCTCCCCCCTTTTTCGAGCAATACTGGAGCGCTGTTTTGGGAGGGTTTCTTGCTTTTTTGCTGATAGTCATTCTGATAGTATCTGGAGTTTACTATGTGATTCGAAACCGAAGAAAAGAGGAGGAAAGGCAGAACAAAATGTGGCAAATAGAATTTTCTTCTTTGACACTCCCCGATGTAATAAAAATGAACAAAGGAATGATTCATCATGTCATATTGTAGTATGGTAGTGGGACAAGTACAAGCTCACGTTCATTGCAAAGCACAATAACGAGTACTACAAGAGTGAGTCATAACTCCATGAAAGTAAGTCAATCAATTTGCAAGTATTAGTATTAGATATTACTTTGTTAAGGAAACGGAACAATATGCGTTCTATGTATTTGGAACCGAATCTTTGGTTGCCAGGAAACATAAGATTCAACCACTTGTGATCAGACCTTCAATGTGGGCAGAACTTAGAAAGGTTTGATATTTCGAACTCAGTGCTCGATCGGATACCCCGAAAGAGCTTTTACAAAAATTTAGGTTATTGACACTAACGAGTAGGTCAGATCCCTAACGTACCTTGAGATACTGGGTTAAAACCGAAGAAGTTGTCGAAATGAAAGGCTATACACTCCAAGAGCGCCGTATCCCAGATGGCGGCACTACTGCAGTCTATGTTTGTCTGCGCTCTCTCAGCATATAGCATAGCAAGTGTGTAAAAACGATCGTGTTAAGCGGGCAGAAATACTCTCATATACGCACGCGTAGAAACTATATATTAACACAAACTAGAAACCATGAACCAATTAGAAAATAGAATGACAAATTAAATTGAATTAGAATGAATTCACTTGAATGTAAATTGAAGAGAGGAGTTTCAGTTAAGAGCAGTGGACCATGATAACTTATGTGCATTCACCGGGTTGAGCGTAGAGCCTCCGTTCCTTCTAAGTTTGTGGAAGTTTTGCTCAAGAGGAAGTTTAAAGGTTGTGAAACATGAAAATTAAATAAAAAACAATAAATGCGAAACTCCAGAATGTCATTGCGAAAGGTGGAGTACAAATGGACTGGTTTTTCAAATTTTCTCTCATCCGCGATATTGCTGAGGTAGGTCTGTGTGTACATAATGGAAGAGAATAGAAACTATAGAAGAGAATGAAGAAAACAGAGTATTATACAAAGCTTACTAATCTGTTTTAAGTATAGTTCTGATGTTTCTATTCTATTTAGGCACTACATTACCTCCATCACAGCTCCTTTGGACCTCATGGCTGGCTATCAAGCTCGTGCTGTTTGGTAAATGATAGATGGCAGGTTAACGTTTCTCTATATGGATTAACAAGTTTGAAGTCTGCGGAGAGCAGACCGCTCGAAGGTGAATAAACACTAAGAGAAACTAATGACTCATCCTTTCAGAATTGCTTTGGACAGCACCAGAGCTCTTACGCGATACAAACTTACCGTTTTCAACGGCGGGGGATATATTCAGGTTCCAAAATAGATATTAGGTTAAATGAGTAGTTTTTAGTTTCGCTATAATATGCGCTGAAGTGATAACCAAAAAGTCGCCATGGGATTTAGAAAATCAGGACTACGAAGTGGACGGTGAGAACAACAATAAACTATGAAACGATTTGTATTATTCAGAGCTTTTACATATGATACGATCAGGTGGTCGAGAACCCTATCGTCCATCCCTTGAAACAGATGAAGAATGCAACAGTTCTCTCATATATTTAGTAAAAGACTGTTGGCTTGAAGAGCCCCAACAACGACCAACAGTAGACCAGGTGAAAAACTTGAATATTTGTAAAAAAAAAAAATCACAATGTTCTTCTAATTGAATGAACAACCGAATGCAACTTTCGACTTACGGAAAATGAAATCAAACATACGCAATTGACGTTAACACTTGAAATTTCCAAGCCACCAATGAAGGATATAATTATCAGTGTTGAATTACAGATTAAATCTTTAATAAAAGGTATCAACGAGAACAAATCTCAAAACCTTATGGATCATGCTTTTCATGTTTTGGAACAGTATGCTACAAACCTTGAAGAAGAAGTTTTAACAAATATAGAAACCTTTTCCTTACAGTATACTTAAGGTCCAAGTAAGGATGAAAGAGTTAACGGAAGAAAAAAAGAAAAGTGATATCCTTCTGTATAGAATGCTGCCAAGGTTTCCTATCACAGTTTTCTTACATACATAATCAATTTAGACAAGTAGCAGATAAACTCAAAACAGGACAATCTGTGGAGCCTGAGGCTTTTGAATCTGTTACCCTTTTCTTCTCAGATGTTGTTTCGTTCACAACATTAGCAGGTCGAAGCACGCCGCATCAAGTTGTTAATCTCTTGAATGATCTTTACACCATATTTGACGCTATCATCAACGAGCACGATGTTTACAAGGTAACTATAATTGAGTTATATACTCAAAGTTCTTTTGAGGTTGAAACTATTGGAGATGGATACTTGTGCGTGTCAGGTCTACCCCATCGAAATGGCAATCAGCATGCCAAAGTATACTTTCAAAACAATAAATGAAAGCAAGAGCCTATTTTAGGATGTAGCTGAAATGTCAAAAGCTCTACTGCGAGCAATAGAAACATTTCGAGTACCTCACCTACCCAAAGAGCGAATACAAATTCGAATTGGATTGCACACAGGTAGGAGAACATTGCATCATTTGAGTCTTGAGCTTTTCTAGGTTCTGTGGTCGCTGGTGTGGTGGGTATAACAATGCCTAGGTATTGCTTGTTCGGTGATGCCGTCAATGTGGCAAGTAGAATGGAATCCAATGGAAAACGTAAGCACAACACAGTTTTCAAAAAATGTTTAGTTTTAGCTGGAAAAATCCACGTATCAGAAGAAACAGCACGATATTTGACACAGGTTATTGGAGGTTATAAAACAGAAGTGCGGGGAGAAGTTATTTTAAAGGTTAGCCTGAGGTTCAAGTGAAAATGTTAGTATAAAAAAATTGAAGGGAAAAGGTGCTGTAACAACACATTGGCTGATTATCGAATGATCGTGATCCTAGATCATGAAAAATCCGTTTGGAATCTGTTCACTGGAACTCTATTAAGAAAATACTTTCCACTTCGGGGATTTCTCCCCATTCGTGTCGACAAAGTGGGCACTGAAAAAGAACTCATGTAACCTGCAACCTCCTATAACAACTCACTGCATAATGATTTGTACAATTAGCTCCTGAATCCTCTGCTTTTTTTGCCTTTGCAGATGAAACCCATCTTTGAATACATCTATAAGCTTTGGTTTATTTATATAAATTAAACATTTGAACGAACTGTCGGCATCCAACAAACTTCCTACAGTAAATGCATCCCACGGGATCAACAGAAACATCGTCGAAACAAATAGGACAGTCGCCATGCTCTGAGGATCTGAAAGTTTTCCGAAAAGTTATCCGCAACAAATTTACTTATTTGCTTACCTTATGAGCGACTCATTGAGTTCCTTAGCCGACGGAACCGTGAAATCAACATCGTCAACGGGTTCATATTCATTCCTATCATAGTCATCTCCAGCCTGATTATGGAGATGCTGAAATTAAAAATTTAAACAAACGAAAAAAAAGTTTTGATACATTCATGAGAGATATAATAAGAGGACTTCCGGGACCCCAGTTTTCATCAAAGCTGCTGGTAGGTGTAGATGAATCTCTATCACTGTCATCGTCTAAGAAACTCGACATCGAATCGGTTTCATTTTCTTCAAACATATGTATTACCGAAAGAAGAAAAAAACCAAACAACCTCCGTTTGAGCTCTCATCAATATCAGTACTCGTAATACTCTCTCCACTAGTATCCGTTGTGTTGTCATCATTTTCCTCTATTGAACTGATTTCATCAACTTCATTATCAAAACTGTCTTCATTGGAATTATATACATCAGAGAGAGCATCGAGATCATCTTCAGTGTCGTCCTCATTGAGAATAATACTTTCGTCGTTGTCCTCAATTTCTTCTAAGCTATCATCAATTACTATGGTATTATTCATTTGTCTTCTTCGGAGCCTAGATGGAGATCGGAAACTTGGGTCTGTTTCTGGCTCTGCTCTCCTCCTGCGACCTGTTAATATGGAGATTACCCCCTAAGCATTTTGTATAGAACTACCTCTGGTAGATGCTGCCATTCCGCTAGGAACATTCACCACCCTGTTAGTACCGCGAGGTCGTAGGTTAGGCATTCCAACAGTATTAACACCTAGAAATAAAAAATTCTTAAGTTAAATGTATTTCACAACAACAAGTTATGACAAAGACTCTAATAAGAAGCACAACGCTCTTTTTTGATTAGCATTATAGCGAGAGTTTGAATATCTCTATTGTGTCGGTCTCAGGGCGCCTAATTATAGATACGGTAATAGGATCCAGTAAATCATGCGTACCACGCAAAATAGTTGTTTGTCTCACTCCGCATGAATTTCTTTCTTATTATCGCTTGTATTCATAATTGGTCAGAGTGCTATCAATATTTAACAAATAAATAGATTCAAACAACGTTTATTACAAAAATCAACAATTCATTTTAAATTATGAAAACTCCATTTGTTCTGTTCAATTCAGAACACTGATTTGCGATAACTTCGATGACAGAGTCACAGTTTATCTCTACTGAGTACTGCTCGAGTTGTGAAATTATCCTTGTGAAGTATGTGTTCTTAAAAGAAGAGAATTTATGTTGACTATCACGATCTTACTGTTCCTAGGGCGAAGCATTTACTGGAAAACTCTTCTAGAACTCTTTCGAAGCAATCAGAGTCCTTAGCGTTGGTTTCGTTACTCGGCGAGACTGTTCCATTCAACTTGTTTGAAATATCAGATATTAAATCCTCGGCTAATATACGACCCTAGAAGAAAAATATTCCTTTTTTTTTCAAAAACTCCGTGGAATACAGAAACTATGTCGTCCAGCTCTTGTTGGGCTCTGATCTTCTCTTCTGGCGATTTGGCAAGTTTCTGTTTCCATTGAGCGGAATAAATAGCGATATCAGTGGAAGGTATAGAAAACATTGCGCTTTCATCGGCCAAACTCTGAAAAGTCAATGATGACGCCAATGATTATTGCCTCGTACTTTTTCCAGCGTCGATAATTTACTTTCATTTGGACTGAACAAGCTTGAGAGGTTCTGAAATTTTTTTGAGAAGCATTAGCTTTAAGTGTCTGAGTACTTTTAGACTGGGTTCAGGGTAAGTTATTCCGTGCCTGCCACCTTGATAGTTTTGAACCCAGTCTCGCTCTAAGGATAAACTACCAAAGCTGCAAGCTGTGGAGCTAAACGGCAAAGCTATTAAAACTGATTGAAGGATTCATTTACCTTCTAAGATAGTTTCTAACGTTTTTATATTGAGCTCCAAGAGTATGTCTCCTAATGTCATGCTGAAATACAAATATTACCCATAAAACTATGCAATGTTTATTTTAAAATATGGTTGATTGAGAGATTGGTGGACTCGTTCTACTTCCTACTTGATAGTCACTTTTCTTTCTCAACATGATGACTAACTTTCAAAGTATCGTTTGTCCAAGTCAGAGTGAAATCATCAGAATAACATATTCCTGAACGACAGTTAGCTGCATAGGAGCTTTGGTAAGCAGTTGAAGCTACCAATGCGTAAACTAGATAAAGTAAAAATAAGTTCTATGCTACATTTGAGACATCACCTTTGTCGTTGTTTTCGTAGCCTTCGAACATTTGGGCTGCTTGACACGCTTCTAGATATACAGCCATTGCGTTGAACTTGATCGACGATAATATATGTTGGAATTTCCTCTTCGTAAGCTAACACAAAAAGTTACCGATTTGATACAAACCAAAAGTAACATACAAAATCACCTGACGGCATTCCAAGTATACCCCCATGTCCATGGTCAGAGTAGTACAAGAAGACGTGGCGGTCAAGAGTGCTATTAAATATAGTTGTCTTCATATTTTTATGAAGTGCGCTTACTTTTTCAAAACTCTTGATGTTCCTTTAAATGTTACTGCCGATTTATCTCCTAGTAAAACTGCTTTAAGAACATTGACATTCACATCGTTGCCTCTATATCCGAGTTTCATTTGTGGAGTTAGCCCTATGACTTACTTATAATCAACTCTCAAGTTTTTATAGAGGTTTGGTCCGAATGGTGAGCTCCTCAATTCTCCTTTGTAGGGATTACTAAATTGGTTAGTTCTATGTTCCGTAAGTTTGTCAATGTTTACTCTGGATGATGTGCAATATCATCAAACATCATTGTGATGATGTTCTGTTTCGGCACTCCTTTTCTGAGTAGCAAATGGTATGTCAAGGCAACATCAGCCTGAATGATATATGGTCAATATAGCCATAAATAAGTTCGACTTGATGTCTGTAGTTACTAATTCCACTTGAACCAGCTATGAGAATGGCTTGTACATTAGAGCTGTTACTAGTAGGAGAGCTAGAGAAGGTAAATCATTGTAATAATCATTAAATGTTTCTCACAACTCATCCTCATCACTTGACGGTAAATACACGCATAGTATAACTGCTCCTGTTAGGAGAAGAAAGAACAAAGGTAGAAGTGAATATGAAATCAAAGTACAACATCTCGACTTATTTCTAGTAGGTTTAGTTTTAGCTCTAGTCGCGGGAGATCTTGCAGGCTCAGTAGCGATTATTATTTTCGTCATCCTCTGGTGAGAAGTAGAATCACAAAGAAGAGTTTTGATATGAGAGCCTTATATACTGATCGGTTAAAGCTGTTTATGTTTCTTTCACTGTTGGTTTTGATGAATAAGTTAGTGGCCAAGAGCAACTGTAAGAAATAGACCGTTCTAGGCTGTGCTTGTGTGTATTGTACCTTGAAAGTTTAATGTTCTACCCGAAGTAATTTTATTATGAATGTTGAGAAACAAAAAATGGCGCCAAGTAAGAACATTATCTAATCATGATTCGAAAAATAAACATCAATGAAATACTTCCAAATGACTCAATTCATTGTTACAGTTCTAATTCTTGTTGACGAAAGTCTTCCGCCTGTTCTGCTTGAGATAAGCTTTCCTTGTTTTTCCAAAAGATGAAACTTCATTAGTTCCTGAACACACTGGTGAAAACACGTAGCAGTTCACCCCCATAGAAGAAGCCAAACAGAACTCGTCAGTGTGAGCTGAAAGAATTGATAAACCAAAATGAAACGATGTTCAATAACTCTATGGCTTTGCCATACATCTAGTTTGAAAGAGAGATTCAGGTCTGCATGGTGAGATGGCCGAGCGGTCTAAGGCGCTGGTTTAAGGCACCAGTCTCTTCGGAGGCGTGGGTTCGAATCCCACTCTCATCAGTACCTTTTGTACTTTTCAATTTATTTTCAACTCATTTTTAGATTTTATGCATTCTCTTTACTCGTTTGTAAACACTGACTCTTCTAGTTTCGAGAAGTTTTCCAACGGTTCCTCATTTCACCGTTATCTTGATTTATTTGCAAAACGGAGGTGTTGAAGTTTCTGTAGAGGACTAACAATGTTTCCTGTATAGGACTAGCAATTGCCCTTGGCTGAACATTTGCAAAAGCAGTTACCAGTAGAACATTGACATAACAATTAAACCCTTCTTGAATTGGAATTTTTTTCGGGAACATATCTCATCGAAATGCATTCCTCATAGCATCTTCTGTCGGCACTTCAGCTGTATACAATAATTAAACGTTAGTAATCCCTTGCATCCACCGAATGCATCGAAATGGTGATAAGCTGCTCATTTCCGAATCTCTTCCTTTACGTTTGATCGAACATAGCCAGACTACAGCTCAATTTTGATCACAAGTTTTCTTAGAATATCACTTCTCAGAAAAGCTTTCATCAGACCAAAAAATTCTGGATTGAAGTATTCAAGGTATCTTTTCCAAAATCGGTTGTTCTCCTTTGCTCAATAACAAACTCTTTCTGTTCCTCCAAACTAACGCTTGTAAGTTCACCTTCTCTCCGCGTAGATGCCTAGTACGAAGAGCATCAAAGGCCAACAACATCACCATAATCCGAACTTATTAACAATCAATATCCCAATTCATTATCCTGGAAACAACCGCTAAACAATTGTTCACACTCGAAACGAGAGTCGAGAGACGGATCTATAGATGCCTTCATAGCAAATCAACTGTTTTTATCTTCATATATCTCTGTATTTCAAATTAGTACCTAAAGACAACTGGCGCGTGACGAGAGAACAACTTTAAAACATATTTTTTGTTCATACTCCTTAATTTATGATCAGTCTCTCTCTTTTTTTCTTACAAAATGAAATTAACTCCAACACGATTGCTTGAGTTTTAGTCAAGCGTTCCGTTATCCGAAATGTGGTGAGATGGCCGAGCGGTCTAAGGCGCTGGTTTAAGGCACCAGTCTCTTCGGAGGCGTGGGTTCGAATCCCACTCTCATCAGTATCTT